AATTTAGCCCACGCTTTACATATTGAAAACACTACTCCAGAAACTCTAGAAATATTGATATTTATTAAGGATGGCATGGAAAATGAATATATTGAAACAATTTCTACGGTTCAAATATCTCCATTTCGAGGGAGCTCGAACGACTTGATTGCTCTTATCATGAATGATACTTATATTCCATTGATTTGTCTTTATGACAAATCCCTCGATAGTAGCTCTGAAGATATTTTGGAACATGTAGCTTTAGAAACTGCAAAAAGAACCGTAAAAGGAGAGGACATTTCTGGTTCACTTGCTAGATTAAGTGTTATTTCTTCACTCAATTGGACTTCAACCGATGTAGCTTCAATAGTGTCCTCTCACATCGGGCATGTGTTAAATAATGCAACACACGTGTCAAAACAAGAAAAAGCCAATAATGGATATGTACGAAACAAATTGTCTATCGTAGATGTTTCAAATATGCTTGCTGTGACTTCCAATTTACTCTCAAAAGGATTTTCATCAAATATTACTGAATTTTGTGAGAGTATTTCCTCACTTGTGCTGAATTATCAAATTCCACAAATTTCCGACTCGCACGTTTTACAAAGTACGACATGGGTAACTTCAGAATTAATTAATGTTACAGTGGCTTCATTTAGACAAGAAAAACAGTTGACAAGTGCAACTCAATTCTCAGACGTTAATCTCGATCTCAATTATATTCTTAACGAATATAACGGATTTTCTTCCGAAGTGGGCCTCTCCATGATTATCTATGCAAGTGACGTGAAAACTGACATATATTCGTTGAATAATTCCATAGCCTCATTTTCGAAAGAATTTACGTTTTCAAAGAATGGTGTTGTTGTTCCTCTTACGAATCTTCAACGACCTATATATATTCAATTTGACTCTCTGTTAACCATTCACAATTCTTCCGATATTTCTTGTAGATTTTGGAACGAAACAACGCTTTTATGGGATAACAATGGATGTAAATTGTTCTCATTTAACAACATAACAGGAAAGATCACATGTGAATGCTCTCACACCACATTGTTCTCAGCTTTTGTTGAGCAAAATTCAACTTCTCTTTCAGGAGAACAACGAACTCAAGTCTCTTCCTTATTTATTACTCAAATAATTTTTGGATGTTTGTATATGATTATATCTTTGACGTTGTTTTGTATACTATTGGTGTTTAGAAAAGAACAACCTATTACCAGTCGAGTATGGACACCATTTATTGGAACCATTGCATTATTTGTAAACAGTTCATTACTCCTTGTCATTCAAAGAAGCGTATTATTGGCAGGCCAGAACAATATGACTTTTCAACAAGTTGAAGAAACACCTCAATCAAGTACAGTTCAATGGGAAAACGGAGATTTAACTTCAAATATCATTGCAAATATTGTGACCATTATCTCAAATACTTTAACTCTGACTGCTGTTGCAGCTTATCTTTACCAAGTTATTAGATATCAACTTTTGAAATACTTTTATGAGAAGATGCATCTAAAATTCGAGAAGGAGAAAGTAGCATTGATCAAAGTTGTTAAGTATTTCATTTCTCCCAAAACCATGGCAGTCATTTTAGTCTCTTTTGGAATTGGAAATATGGTTTATTGGACCCTTTTGGTTATTTTGATAAGATGTTCTGTAATATCCAGATTAACGTATACTCATGTCGTATCTATCTCATATACATGTCTGATAATTATTATGGGCATTGGAATTTGTGGTGTGGTACTTTTGGATTTTATAATGTCAAAAATGAGCTCAAAGAAGAATTCCGATCGAGTAGACATTCCAATCTCATCCACAATTGGAAAAAAAGATTTCAAGACAAATGTAGAGAAAGTTTTAAAGCCTCTTCACAATTTCATACACTGGCTGGTTGTACTAGATTCTCCGCTTTTTTTCAGAGTTGAGATGTTATTGTTTATGATTTATTTTGTTTGTCTCGTGTGTAGTCAAATTATTGGCCTTTCTGGACTTAGTTTTAGAGCAGCAAACAATTCCAACAATCCTAATATTTTGAAGAATATTCTTACAAACGACGCAATTTCATTAATATTCGAAGTACTTTACATTATTGTCTATTTATTTGTATTTGGAGGCTATTCTCTTGTGGTAGTTCTTGTTAACAAAATTAAGAAATTTAAGAAAATTGGTCCAAAAGGCAACGAGGAAAATGTGTTTAGAAATAATGAAATGATGAACGTGTTAAGACACACAGAAGGGAAAAAATTGTTTGCCAATTATTGTAAAAAAGAATTTTCTCTCGAGAACTATCAACTATGGACTGATTTAGAACATCATGAAGATATCGTGAAAAACCAACCACTGAAAAATGTGAAAGACTTCATATCGTTACTTTATAGAAAATATATTGAACCTAATGCTGTCTCTGAGGTTAATATTCCCTCTGAATGCAGAAAGCAATTTATTGCAATGCTACAGAAACTTTCAACAAATAACGACAACACCAGTATTGAATTGACCACCAACGCATCCAATGATGCAAATTTGGAAAGAGAAAATGTGAAAAAATGTTTGGACAACTTGTTGGAACAGATTGTGTTGAATCTTGAAGATACCTTTTCTCGATTTTATTTTTCTGCAGATTACGAATACTTTTCCAACATCATGAAGAAGCAACAAGAAATGATGATCCAATCAAACTTAATTTAATGTTCATGCAACATCGACATCACCACAATTTGACACAACATCAAAATCATGACATTTCTCAACGCAAGAACATCTATTTCACAATACCAGATGTCTAAAATTACTTTTTATTAAATTGGATTTGCTCTCACTTAATTCAAAAAAAAATTCATCAAGATCGATCGGAAGAGATGTCGTACGAACCTACCTCGATTCAACTTGATCCATATTTATTTGTGAAAATAATCTCATATCTACCCTATTTCTATCAACATGTATTTAAACGAGTTTCAAAGAATATTTATGAAGCCGTTACAAACCACCATCATGATTCAATTATGGAAAATTATAATACCAAATCATCATTAGAAATTCATGATTTCAAGCTTGTGGAATTAAACGATTACTTTAAATACAAATTACATTTCAAGATGCAGGATCCGATAGAAATTGCAACCTTTATTTAGCGTGGATTTCTATTTTTCACATTTTCATTTATCTGATGCATGGAAATATAATTTTTCATGCAGATGTTTGGAGACGTCAGCTTCTCACAGAGTGTCACGTTTTTACAATGAAGGATCTCGAACTCGCATCAACAAGAAATCACCCAAAATCACATCTGTGGAAGGATTTGAAATGTATTTTAAGAAGTGTGCGGATAACTTGGGGATCTGTATATCATTACTACCAAGACCTGCCATTATTTCACATCAATTATTTGTTACGACCTTTCCTGTCAATGTAGATTTGGATTGGAATCAAGCGCTTTTTGTATTTCGAAACAAAATTATTAGCACTTGTGAGCCTACTTTGTTAGCTCCCACCCTCAATTCTATGGACAAATATGAAACCTGTTCTGTGTATTCCTTTCTCTTTAAACCTGTGAAAAAACTAGCATTTGACACTTATTTGAGGACAAAAAAACCAAAGCTATTCATTAACGAGTATCAAGCATTTCTGAAGCATGAATTAGTGCTGAATTGTCTGGATAGATTTCAAGTGTTACTTAAGATTGCTCAAGAGAATACATATGAGGTGCAGTTTATTCTCTCAAAACAATTCTCAACGACACCTTTATACATCTTGGAAGAGCTAGATGCGTTGACTATTTCAAAACACAAAGAATTGTGTAAACAACTCAGTCTAATTCCTCCAAAATCGTCCAATAATGCAATCAAAAAGAAACAACTGAAAACTTTGGAAGAACAACAACAAGAAAACGACTTGTCTTTTAAGAATTTTAAGCTCTTTAATTGGAGAAATGATTTATTGCTGAAAACGTTAAACATTTCTGAAGAAGAGTTTCACAACATGAAAAGAAAAGAGCAACATCGTGAAAGCAGAGCAACAAAAGATTCTTCATCAAGCCAAAAGAAAAATCATTCCTGTAGTAACCATCCAATGGCTATATTGGGAGATTTCAATACTTGCAAGGATTATTATTACAATGATTATTATTATTCACATCCATATTATGAAGAGGATGATGAATAAGTATGGTTATCTTCCAATAACACAAAAATGAACCTGGAATGTCTTTTGAGAAATGAATAAGGGAATTTGTTGTGGCACAACTCTTTTGAGAGATTCGACATTATCAATAGTGACCACCTCTTCGGGATACTCTCACCTTCAAATTATACGGCTTGAACGTAAAATGAGGTGAGGCCAACACAGGATCCACATTTTCATCGTTGATTAACTCAAATTGATAATTTTGAAGAATTCTAGTGAGCACCATCAGCATTTCGTACAAGGCGAACTTGTATCCAATACATTTTCGGATACCCATGCTGAAAGAAACCAACGAATAATCAGAATGTCTCTTGTTCACTTCATCCGCATTGACAAATCGATCTGGATGGAAGGTATGGTGCAATTCCCAAACTTGGTCATTCTTATTGGCTTGAGTAATCAAAGGATGAATAGCAGTACCTTTGGGAATTTCGAATTTTCCAAGTTGTGTATTCTTAATGCATCGTTTGGAGAGAGAGCCTACAGGTGGATGACAACGTAAAGTTTCATGAATAATGGCATTACAAAACACAAAAGAATCGTAGAGTTGAAAAGAAGGATCTAACTTGCCATTTTGAAGAACCTCGTCAACTTCTTGATGAGCTCGTTTCTGAATTTCAGGACGTTTGGCCAACTCATAAATTACCCATTGCAGTGTATTGGAACTTGTTTCCGTGCCTACATTTTGTTCATTTACATCCCAAAGGTAATTGTCGATAGGGTGAAAATAACTCTCACTTACCTGCCAAAAAGAGAAGTAATGCATTCGATTTAACATGATCAGTAGTCAAATCATTATTTTCAATGTTTGCTTTCACCATCAAGCTCAACAAATCTTGTTGTGAAATCTCTTCACCTTTCTCAATCTTTTTCTTTCTCTCCACAATAAATTCATCCAAAGTGTCTGACCAATATTGAACATTTTGTTGGGCGCCCGAACACTGAAGGAGAATCTTTTCAAGCGAAGAGTTTTTCAATCGCTTCCTTCAACTGTTGACCTTTCCTGACAAGATTAGGGTTAGGATTCTCTGGGTCTGGAAAGATACAGATGGAGGTTCCAAAGACGCCTAAAATATTTCCATAATTTCAGTGTTAAAATGCTGACCTAATTCGGTGAATGGTAACTTACTCTTAGCCAAAACATCCAAAGTAACATTAGTGAAATCATTATTGGCAACCCGTCTAACACCATGGTTCCTTTTTCGTTTTGTTCCATACATGCCTCCCACTAGGTCTTGATCAACTGATCTGTGGTTTTGACAGCCACTTTACACATGAATTCCAAATTTCCGCTCGAAAATGCAGCTGACAACACTCGACGAGGTTTTTTCCAACGTTCAGTGTCGGGAGCAGATAGAATACTCTCTCCAAATATTTCAACGACTTTGAGTTTGTCATCCTTATTAAATAAATGTTGTTTTTTGGAACGTACCTCTTTCAACATGCCACGATCAGAAACCATGACAATGTTATGGAAAGGAGTTGAGATGCGAAGGGTTTTTGTTTCTTTATCCCATATTTTTCAATGATTTGTATTATTTCAAATTGATTACCAATGTAATGATAAGGAGCAAGCATCGGGCTCACGCAATGAAATTTTGGGTGGTTAAATGTAAAACAACAGTTGCAACATTGGAAAACCATTCCACCTCTTCCTCTTTTAATGGTCTTTACAAACAAAAAAATGTCTTTACAAGTTCCGTTAATGGTGAGTTGACACTCTCAACAATCGGAAAAAGCGAAAATACTGAACTGAGAGAATGAATACCTATCATCATTTTAATCCCGATTTATTGAATGTTTTAAATATAATGATCAGATTGTTCATGGTGGAGCATGGAGCATTCCGAACGAGATGGAACAAGATCATATTCGTGGAACCTATAAAGCCATTGCACAAGTATATCCTGAATTGTTGAGTGGAGAAATTGATGCGGAAGAGGCAGTAGTGAGAGCTGTGAGTTTTTAATGCTGCTTTGAAAATAATTTCAAAAATCAAAATGAAAATTATCATTCAATCACAATTTCACACAAAGATTTCAATTTTGGAGAATGATGAAACATTTGATGCCGGTAAAGGATCTTTTTTAAATTTGAAAGGACAAGTAGAAATGGACGCCTCTATTATGAATGGAACTACCATGAAATGTGGAGCTGTATGTGCCATTCAGAACGTGAGAAATCCCATTCGAATTGCCCAACGAGTCATGAATCAAACTGAACATGTGTTATTAGTAGGAGAAAACGCTTTGGAGTTTGCAAAATCAACATGTAAAAGTGAGGAGGAACATAAGGAATTATTTGTCGAGAGCGTAGAAGAATTATTGACTACACGAGAATTAGAATTTTTAGAAAGTATTCGAAATAATGAAGAGTTTACAAGTAGGACAGTTTTTGAATCAAAAATCGACTCACACCCACCGCCTTCAAAGAAAGGTACTGTTGGATGTGTGGCACTGGACTTGAATGGCAATATTTGTGCTGGCACTTCAACAGGAGGGACTCCAAAAAAGGTACGTTTTTTAAGAAGATCGTAAGGTCATGTTGTGAATTATCAACCTCCTACAGTGTAAGTTTTCACGTAATAGTATCAAAAAATTTAACAAGTTGAAAGTACCAGGACGTTCAGGAGACACTGGGATCGTTGGCTCTGGAACTTATGCAGACAGCAGTGTAGGAGGAGCATCCAGTACGGGATGGGGTGAATCCATCATGAAAATTCAAATGACAGGAACAGTGGTAAAGTGGCTCGAATTTCATAATACACCTACTTTGCCAAAAACAGCATCGATTTATTCACACTTAAATTTTGAAAGCTCCTCAAACATTCAACATGACGCTGCACAAAAAACAAATATGAACAAAGAACAAGTAGCCATAGAAACCATTATTGAATATTTGGATCAAAAAGTTAATGGCCTTGGAGGGCTCATATTTCTTTCAAAGGAGGGAAAGTATGCTGTCTCTCATAACACTGATAAGGTAAGTTGAACAACACGTGCTGTATTCAGTGGTCTAGAGTGTCATCTTTTTAGATGAGTTTTGCTTTTGTCCCTCATGACACCATTAACAAGGAAACTGGCCATTTTGAAGTGGTTTCCATTGTTTCACGCAAAAAAGGGTGTTGATTTTGCCATGTGTGACGAAACAACACGCCTTTCTACCAGTGCCCTATACTCAACAATACGCTATACGTGTGTGCACAATTTACAATACACCAATTCCTAGAATTATGTTTGATTTATTATTTTACACATGTCATCACTCTTCATCTTGAGTAGAATTTTCTACTGCCTCGAGTTCTTGCTCAGAAATGTCATTTTGCATAGGTATTGGAGGCTCTTCATCCCCAACTTGTCCCTCTTCGGTTGGTGCCTTGATTTCGTCTTCCTCTTGATGGATGTGTTCATGTGCATCATCAAGTGGCTCCTCAGTTTGATTATGCTCCTGTTCGTCCTCATAACCATTTTCATACTTGTCGTCTTGCTCGACATCATTGGAATTTAGTCCGTCACCTTCCTGTAAGTGATCATCATTTGTTTCTCCTCCTAGATCTTCCTCCTCTCCTTCACTAGCTTTCAATTCTTCTTGTTCACCCTCAACCTTATTAGCCTCAATTCCAGTACCAATAACCTCGAGACCCTCCATAACTTGTCCTGATTCTTCTTCCGTCTCTTCTTTCACATTTTCAAAATCATCGTGGAGACGTCTCTCAATAACATTTTCGATAGGTTCCTCTTCCCTTCGGTGTTGAATGTTATCAATTTCTTGCAAGACGTCCTGTCGAATTTGTTCTTGAGTAGCTTCTTTTTGATGCTGATGATCGATTTGTTGCTGTTCCTTTGGTTGCTGGCTACTTTGAGAACGGTCAACTTCGTGTTTTTCTTCAACCTTTCCTTCGTTGCTCTCAACTGCATTTTCCGATTCTGATCCTTTTTGCTCAGATTTCATTGACGGTTCCTCTTTCACCTCCAGAGGTTTTTGTACTCCTTCTTTTTGAGAAGAAGATTCTTTTTCCTCAATGGTTCGACGAGAAGAATGTGAATTGTTGTTGTTTTTACAAGGTGAGGTGCAATGATAATTGTATAAATGAATACCTAATTGTTGCACGAATCAGATAAAACGTCCTTGATACAACAATTTTTTTGTTTGTATGCAAATCAAAGATGACTTGTGACACCGGTTACAGTTGGCGCTTCAATTTTACAATTCATATCCAAATGTGTCATTCCCATTTTATTTAAAGGCAAAACACATACCGAGATAAGTACTATTCAAAGGCTCTTCTTCAGCAATTCACATGATTTTTCCAAGGAAGCAGTACTGTCACCACAAAGCCACTCCTTCATCAAGTAATAACAAATATTTTCTCTCACTGTTGAGTCTTGAACCTCAAAATAAGGATTCAATGTTTGGGCTTCATTCATGACATTTCCCTGAATATTCTCTTTTTCATATTGTTCATCATATTTATCTTTTCGTTTCTTCTTTTGAGAAAGGTGTTTGTTCCCTCGAGCCAACACTCCCTGAACAATTTCGTTCGTCATTTGCAAAGCGATTTGCATGGGAGAAATTCCTCTCTGCCTCATGTTGGGAATGGAAGACTTCCATACATCACATGTGGTATATATTTCAAGTTGAACCACTTGATCGCCATCTGCAGTAAACATACCCCAATCATTGATTTGGGAGGATTTTACAAGATACTTTGTTGTTGGCATTCTGTGGTGGTAGAGTTTTAGCGTTTTTTTGTTTGATCGTTAAAGCCTTATTATACATGTATGAGTATACATGTGAAAGCATGAGAATTGTAGTTTTTCAAATATTTCCTTAATCGAGCTGGTATTAGGGTTCATATTCCTTTTTGAGAGTCACGATCTCAATTTGCCAATGAAAAAGATCAACAAGGAACTGGAGAAAAAGTGAAGGGGACAAGTGCCAACACATTTCATCGACGAAAACAAAGTGAACATTAAATTGATTGATTCAACAGTGGATTTATCGTCACTGATGTTGTCTCAGGAGAATTGAACACTTTTAAATCAAACAAGCCCCCCACTCCGAACAAGTTCCAAGTTTAAACAAATCAAAAAAAATGTTTCAATCCTTCACAAAGGCCTTCCAAAAATATTATCACCATGAGCAGCAATACTCAGCTCTTCTTTCATCCGTACGACGAAGAAATATACTGAGCTGTCATCGGAATACTCTCTACACCTCTAAAAATTCACAATATGATTTTGATATTGAGAAAATTAACAATCATCATCAATATCGGAACTTTCAATCATCGTTATCTCTAAACAACGTAAAAATTGCTTTTCAAGAAGTAGCGAATAAGAATACAGCATTACAGGAAATAGATGCACTGTTGGGAAGACAGAAGCCTCCTGCATTTGAATATATTTATGTGGAACCATCGATATTTACAAATCCAGTATTTTGGAATTCTGATTCGTCTGTTAATCCGTATGGACATGCTGCGATACGATATACAAACCCAGAAACTGGAAAATCAATGGTCATGAACAGTACGTGTTTTTACTTTTGGTATCATTATTGTCATTGTGTTACACATGGACCTCCTTGTCAATTGTCAAATTTCCTTTCATGTTTTATCACAAAATTTCACAGTTGTTGGAAAACCAGGCCATAGAATGGTCAATTTCATTCCAGCTGAAGAATATTTATTTGGACATCCATCGAAATGTTCCATTGAGGACGGAAATGAACAAGGAGGCATCTATTGTAGAACCATGATTGGCTTTCGATTCGAGGAATGGCCACAAGAATACATCACAGCCATGCATAACTATTATCAAAACGTTCAAAATTTAGGAGATGCCAAACTCGCCAAATACAGCATGGTACTAGGGCCGATTTATAATTTATTAAGGAAAATTAAATGGTTTTCAGGAGTGGCAGAAAGAGGAAACTGCGCTTTTTGGACCACACAAGGACTTGTGAATGCTCATGTACTTTCATCTGCAACCAGTTGGCCCAAATATTCTTGCATGAAATTATATACCAAAGTTGTTTTTAACAAAATTGAAATGAAAGAGAAATGGGAACAACTCAAACAACGAACCTCACAAATGATTGTTCCCAACGCACTTCAATCTTCATCTCCAACAATTATGATAGACCACGACGAAGAAGAACTCTATTCTCGAATTAATGAAAAATTCTTTGAAAAATCTGAAACCGAACAAGAACGATTATTGGCACCATTTTGGAAGAGAAGCAATTTTAACATTGTCACATATCGATGCAGTGACGAGAGCGTGAGTACTTCCTCCCTCAAAGGTTGGGTCAAACCATTTCGACAATTGGAACATTTAATCTTCCAACAAATGGATGAAATGGCCAACGTAGTCGTTGAAGTGAAAACTAAAGAACTGGATAACGATGAGGAAATGTCGATTGCAGTGCCATCTTTGAAGGAAGCCACTCACCGACCTTTTTGGTAATAACAGCGAAGTGAGAACTATGTTCAAAAAAAAAAAATTATTTCAATTACTTCAAAATTCACTGGCACCACTGGCGACGTCAAAACCATTAATTTATTAATCATTTAACTTTATTATAATAACTAAAATATTCATCTCTAGATAACAAATTTCACACAACACCTCTGAGGTAAACATTCCGATCATCTTTCTCTTTAAAATTTTATATTGAACTTTCATGATCAAACAATAACAACAACCGTCCCATCCATGAATGAACCATCACTCACACCACCATCAAATGATTCTTCCGAAATGGTCTTTCCCTTGACTCGTTTCATGGAACAAGTCGGATTCGATGTCTTTCAATTCATTCTCTCCTACTTACCTCCCATTCCCTATCTCTTTCAATTACAACGTGTGAATCAACATTGGAAATACCTCTGTTGTGAATGTATGAAAGAAGATTGCACTGAATTGTATTGGGATCTCTCGACCATTTCTGGTTTGAAATGTAAAGGATTTTTAGGAAAAGTTGAAGATAAATTACCACACGTGTATCAATATTTACATGTCGGAGAAAGCAACGACGTGAGAGGATTGGGATTTTTGAGAATTATTCTTTCACATTTCAAAAAAGTGAAACGCATGACTTTGAAAAATATGAAAATTTCAGTAGGGGTGCTTCATGCAATATTTGTCGAGTGGAGAGGAAGAGTGAAAGAATTATGTTTCATTGATTGTAATATTGATTCAGTGAATTTAGGAAATTGGTTTCGCTTCAAGTTTGATAGTAGCGAAACTTTTCAAAATTCATATGGATTTGTCAATGGTCGTCATTTGAGAGAAATTGAAATTAGTGTCGAACCTGAATATGGTCAACCTATCTTAGATGGGCTTTCTAGATCTGAACTCGAAACAATCATTTTACGAAATTGTTCGTCCACTTCCGGTTATTATTATGATATGCGATGCTTATTTGGAGAATTAATGGGATTGTTGAAATGTTTTTTGCCTCATCTCAAATATGTGGATACTTCAAACCTATCTCCATCGACAGACATGGATAAATTGATTGAAGAACTTGATGTTAAAAGATTTTTTCCAAATGTGGTATTCCAAAAGAACGTGTACACGATTGCATGTCAAATGATTAAGGACGGAATTGATTATCATGAAGTAATGAGGTGTTACTTTGATTATTTTGTGAGTGAATTCAAATTTCGAAGAAATCGATTGATTGCTTATGCCAGCCGACACTTGTCAAATTTTTCTGAATTTTCACAGTTTCACAAATTCGTTGCTAAACCTCTATTGACCTTCTTCTCTATTCATTCTCCATTTGGAATTGATACTGATCAACAAGACATTCAAGGATACAATATTATTCAATTGGCTCTCATGCATGCCAACACGGATGTATTAACATTTATTTTAGAATATTTAACATGTTTGGAAAATTCAACAGAAACAACATCATCCCAACAAGAATTACAACAATTATTTTCACACAATAACAAGCTCGATGGAAAGAATGCAATTTTCTCATGCATGTCACAAGGACGAGAACAACAATTACTAACGCTACTCCACAAGTACAAAATTTCATTGAATCATCAAGCTCTCGATGGTAATACCGTTGCACATTATTTGTGTCATTTTGGACAGTTACAACGGATGAAATTTATTTTGGAAAAAGTATTGGAACTTGACACGGATCATGTTGCCAAAAAATCTGTTAACGTTTCTGAAGTGAAATACTTTATTGATTTTGATATCAGAAATAATGAAGGAGAAACTCCTTTGGATTTGTGTAACAAGTACAAAATGCATTCCATGTATTCATACTTGAAAGACCGTGCCAAGCAATTAGGAATTTCTCATGTACCTCAATACACGTTTTCAACATCCCAAAGCAACAATAATACACAACAGGCTTCATCACCAGATCAGGCAAGTTTTGGTGTAGTGATGGCTTCATCATTGAGGTCATTCAAATGCTGCCAATTACTCTAATATTCACATGTTTAAAGAGAGGTTGCTCCTCAAAAGATTCACAGCAAAGAAACCTCCAAGAATGTCTTGGACAAATCCATTCTGTCAATCCAAACAGCCCACGAAACAAGGAACTCTTCTCTCAAATGACACTTGACACGAAGTAATGACAGGCAAGTTACATTAAAAAAATTCAAAACTCAATCTTCCTCTCCTTGTACATCATTCAACAATAACAACAAAATATGGCAGGAACAGAAATCAAAATTGTTACAGTTGGAGACGGAGCCATTGGTAAAACTCTTCTTCTCATGTCTTTTGCCTATGGAAAGGTTGTCGATACCAATTATATTCCAACTGTTTTTGACAACTACAATTCAAATGTGAATTATAAGGACGAACTTTATATTTGTGGTTTATGGGATACAGCTGGTCAAGAAGAGTAAGTGTTCAAATGATTGTTGTTGATGGTGATGATGACTATGGGATAACTGTGATGTTGTTGATGACCTGATGAACATTGTGTGACCATAAATTCAATGATTGTGTTCCTCTCCATTGAACGGTACACTTTGCTGTGATGGAATAATTATTATTATCGTGTGATGTGAATTTTACAATTCATGATGATGACAATGTTATGATGATTACACCAATTGAACGTGGTTGACATTTGACGCCATTTTGTAATGATCACCATAATCTCACAATAGATATGACCGTATAAGGTAACGTAATGACATTGTCTTGCATTATAATATTGACTATTTGACATGATTCATCAATCTTACTTTTGTGTTTTCATGGTATCTTCAACTTTATATGTTGTCAAATTTGCTCATCACTATAACACTCGTCAATTTTGATAACTTGTCATCTTCTCACAATCACTCCTCATGATTGACCGTATCCTCATCAAAAATACTCTCTATTCATCATGTAACTCTCTCTCACACCAAATAGACCTCTCTCTTATCCCGATACTGACGTCTTCTTGTGTGCCTTCTCCGTTGTCAATCCAGACTCCTTCGAAAACATCTCAAGCAAATGGGTTCCAGAAGTGAGACATCACTGTCCCGATGCTCCAATTGTTCTCGTGGGAACAAAAATCGATCTTCGTTCCGATCAAGATGTGATTCAACAATTGCAAAAGAAGGAACTTGCTCCAATTACAAAGGAAAAAGGAATCAAGCTTGCCGAAGAATTGCAATGTGCCGACTATCGAGAATGTTCTGCCATGACTCAAGAAGGCTTGAAGGAAGTGTTCTATGCAGCCATTGATGCAGTCATGAAGATTAGACGAGCAAAGGAGAAGGAGGATGAAAAGAAAGGAACTGGAAAGGATAAGAAGTGTCTGATGATGTAAATCCTCTTTGCTTTGATTAATTTATATAGTTTGAAGATTTAGTGATGATGAGCCTTGTTATGAAATATTTCAATAGTAGAACAAGTCTTCACCCTATGATTACATTTTACAAATAATAATATTCACAATTAATTGATGATGATAACTACGTGTTGCAGGAAGCGGATGGTCATTAATCCTCCTCTTCATCTTGTCTGTACATAAAAATATAATGTTTCTCTCATCATAGTCTTCCAATTCTTACCTTAACTCGCGAAGAAGCCTTGGCCATTACCCTTAATTTTCATCATCATCTTCAATAACGAGTTTGGGAGAGTGGTCTGCTTCATATTCGTAAATGAATTTTTTTTCGCAACCGTAAACGAGCAACGTTTAAAACTCGTCCTTTTTTGTTTCCTTCAAATTAAATGATGTTACAACTTGGATGATGAATTTGTCTAACTCAAGTGTATGACGGTCAGTGATTATACACAAAACAATTATGGTCTTCATTTCCCCATCTGACAAGGACCAAAAGCAAAAAGGTCAACAACACTTTACAACTTTTGAATGAACCTTCGATCGTTTCGCAATAAATTCACACAACCTTTTTTTTGTCCAAGGACTCGCATAACACTCCTTTCAATTTACTTTAATGAAATGCTACCAATCATTAAAATCACTCCTCTAAAATCAATCATATTCACATTCGTGGTTAAATGAAAAGTACATGTGTAATCCACAGTTCGTTGAAACACTGATATAGAGGGCCTTATAATGGTCGCAAATTTATCTCCATTCGAATTAAATAATTGATAAATTCGTTCATCCAGAGATGATGAAGCTGAACTATAGGTCATTCTCGCGACTTGAGCTCCAGCTGCATTATAAAATACATATTGATTATTTCTGTAATCAAAAACGACTCGTCCAAACTTGACTAAATTAGAAGGATCTGACATGATGCATTCCCACAATTCATACGTATAATCTGAAAGCAAACTGGCAGAATTTCTCAAAACAGCACTTCCTTTTTCATCCATATTCATTAAATCCACACTTCCAGGTGTAGCCCAAGATCTATATTTCAATCGGGCTACTTTTGTTGTGACATTTGCATTGGTCGAATTGGTCAATGAAACTGTCATCTTGTAATCCTCTCCTCGAGTCATGACCAACACATCTCCCGATTGAAATGCTTTCAAATTCTCAGTCGAGTAACAATATTCAGGTGGCATACTATTCACAATACCAACGGGAATGAAAATGGCCAATAAAATAGCACACGTTCCGATAATAATCATTGAACGAGAATACCAATGAGAAGTTTTTGTTGAAACGAAGTGAGTGGTTTCATGATGATCGAATGTATGATCTAGTTGTCTAGTCGCAGTGGTTGACACAATTTTTTTTGTCGTTGCTTTGTTTATGACTATGTTGTGTTATCTCAGAAGAAATGCGATCCAGTTAACTGCTTCTGCTCTTTTCATGATGACCAAAAAGAGTGCTCATAAATGTCCTCAAAGAGTTCCACAAAGAAGAAGGAAAGATTTTCATAGAAAGATTTTTTACACATGATATTGTAAGGAACAAGTAAGAAAATGATTCACACCCAACCAAGCAACTCCTTGGTGCACATGTTGACCCATTTCAATGTTCCTTGTATGGACCTGGAACGTTGTGTTTTTTGCCGGAATCCAAAACTTGAAGCCTTCACCATGGAACACGCCAAGGACACATTACAATCGTATCACACATTATAATCGTGCGTCAAGTGTCAAAGTCTACCGTGCAACACAAAAACCCCAAAAAACATCAGCTAAAAAAACAACAAAACCACTCGAACGATGCAAAGAACCGTCAAGAGCATTCTCGCACTCGCTCTCTTCACCGTGTTGGTGTTGTGCTTCACCACCAAAACAGCCTTCGCTCAACAACAAGAAGAGCAACTCGCTGATTTACAACTCTTTGCCGATCAATTAATGATGTCAGACATGAGCCATCCTCGTTTCGATGAACACTTGGAAATGGTCTTGGCTGATATGGCATCTTATAATTTTGATATTGAAGCTGATGATGAATTATTGAATTATATTTCGACTTTGAGTGATGCTGAAGCTATGGCTTTGGCAAAGTCATCTGCCAAGTTTAGAAGATTCTTTAGAAGAGTTGGTAGATTTGTTCGAAAGGTAGGTTGTTTCATAATTGAAGTGGTTGTTATTGGATCGTTGATATTCATTTTCAAATTCATGATGATGCGCGCTCCATCGATGGATCGAATCGTTATTGTGAAATTTTCATCATCATTTTCACAACAAACTGACATGAACTTGAAAATATTTGTACCCGTTCATTCCAACTTCCAACAACAACAATACATTTTTAACACCACTATTACTCTCCATTCCAACCACCACCACCACCACAACAACAACAGGCCGGTAGAGCCATTGGTAAAATTGCCAAAGTTGCTGTCCCAATTGCTCTCACTGTCTTCTCTGGTGGTGCTGGTGCTCCTCTTTTGGGAAGTGTCGGTGGTGCCATTGCTAAGGGTGCTGCATTCCTCGGAAAGGCCAGTTCCATCATTGGTAAAGGACAAGCCATTTTGGGTGGATTGAATGCCGTCACAGGTGGTAAATCTAAATTCTTGAATAAGGCCACTGGATTCTTGAACAAGGTTGGAGGTGTCATTGGTAAGGGACAAATGTTCTTGGGTCGAGGCGCTGACATTGTCAGTGGCTTGAAGGGATTGAGTGGAAATTTGAAGAATTTGGGCGGGTTGAAGGGACTCGTCTCCAACTTCAAACCTTCCGAATTGTTTAAGGGTGCCAATGTCTTCCAAAAGGGTCAAAACTTTTTGAGTAAGGCCTCTGGTTTGATTGGAAAGGGTCAAGAAGTTTTCCAAAACTTGAATCAAATCACTGGTGGAAAGAGCAAGTTCATTAACAAGGGATTGAACTTTTTGGATAAGGCCAACTCATTCACTGGAATTGGAAAGGATGCTTTGAGTGGAATTCAAGGAGGTGTCAACTCGCTGAAGAACTTGAAGAATTTGAGAGGACAAGATTTGAGAAAGATGCTCACTTCAGGTGGACTTCAAAAATTCTTGGGACGTGCTGATGGAGCCATTGGAAAGACTCAAGATATTTTACAACGAGTCAATGATGTCACTGGTGGTAAGAGCAAGAGGCTTAACAAGATTTTGGGAGCTTTGGAAAAGGGTAGAGGATTCGTTCAAGGTGGAAATCAAGCCATTGGTAGTTTCAGAGATTTCAGAAGTTCATTGAAGAATTTGAAGGGTGTCAAGGGAATTGATGGAGCTATTCAAGGTGCTCAAGGTGTTTTGAACAATGGACAAAACTTTATTGGAAGTCTCAATCAATTGACTGGTGGAAGATCCAAGAGATTGAACAAGTTGCAACAAACTTTGGGTAAGGGACAACAATTCCTTGATCGTGGTGCTCAAGTCGTCAATGGTGTGAAAGGTCTCAGAAAGACCATCAAGAGTATGGATCCAAACTTGTTCAAGAATGTCTTTTTGAAGAATGAAAATGGAAAACTCCAAGTCAATCAACAAGGTGTGACTCATTTCCTTGGAAAGATGCAACAAGTGTTGGGAACTGGAAGAGATGTCTTTGAAAATTTGAATCAAGTCACTGGTGGAAAGAACAAGTTCATCAACAAGGCCCTCCAAGTCCTCCAAAAGGGACAAAATGGTGTCGAACAAGGACAAGAAGCTGTTCAAAAGGCTCATGACATTTGGCAAGCTGTTGAAAATGTTGCTCACAACATGAAGGTCTCATTGGAACAACCAACTGCTGAGGGTCCAGAGCAACCTGCTGAAGTTGAACAACAACCAGCTGAAACTCCAGTTCAAGAAACTCAACAACCAGTCGATGGTCCAGTTGCTGAAGTCCCTCCTGAACAAGCTCAACCAGATTTTGAACCAAACGAACAAGTGCCTCAAAATGTTGAACCAGCTGCTGCAGGATAAATTTCTCGCTGTGAATGATTTTTAATGTTGTTGTTCATTGTTTCTATTTTCATAAGAGCGTTCGATGTTGCAATTACGCTCATGTCTTGTTGCTTCTCTCTCATTCAGATCAAAAAGGCTTTTTCAAAAAGATCATCTGATGTGCTTGACGTTTCTCATTTCCGTTTAGAGTTAATGAACTGCGAAGCTTGAAACTGTTTTTGAATGAGCGTGGCAGTTATTTAAAAAACACCGAGTCAAATTGGTAGCCAATTACAGAATTTTGGACACACACAAATATTTCACGTGTCAGCTTGTGGAAACAAAGTCCTTTAGGCATTTCCATGAACGATTTAAATTCGTTCACAAGGCTTCCCTGACATGTGTACACTTTAAGCTTTCCTTCAGAAGATGGATCAGAAACGATGAAACGGTTATTGTAGGAGTCAAAAGCAATCGAATAGGCGTCATAGAAATCTATTGTTGAGCGATCTCCACACAAGAGTTGAAATTCCATACTATCATTTGCCTTTTTCATTTTAACAGCTCCTTTGACGAAGGAATATGAAATTACGAGCTCCTCGTTGAAAACGTTACAAACGTGACACGGTTCAAAACCACATTGAATGATTTTGATTTGAACTCCAGTAGTTAAATCCAAAACTCTTAAAAAACAATTACCTGAATCACAAACTACCAACTCTCTATCTCCGTTTTGATTGGTCACAATACACATTCCTAAAGCTTCTCTTGTAAATTTCTTGTTTTGCCAAAGGAAAGGAAACGAAAGATTTCCAGTCGAAAGAAATGTGTTTAGATCTACCTTACAAACACAGTATGAGGTTAGTAGAGTAGTCTCTAAATGACCCATCAGCAATGCATCATCACCTTCACCATTGTAATTTTCTTCAATGCACAAATAATGTGGAAAAAAGTTTTTGACCGAAAGCGAAGATTTGTGTTGTCGAGTGATCAAATCAAATACTTCAATGCTCTGCGTGCCACGATCATTCACCAAAATACAACCACAATTATAAGAAATGGTTACATCGAAAGGAGCAGAAAATTTAAATGGTAGCTTGGTAGTGGAATGTAAGGAGCGAATTCGGAAATTCTTGATGAGCATGGTTAAAAGCAAGTCATTGTGAGCCTCATAATCCGATCCGGATACAAAATCAATGAGATGAATGGTTGTGAGTGATTGTTTCTGGTCATTATTCGTTCGATTTGGTTCAACGTGATTCGAATGATTTGAAATCATTTTTTTTTGATTTCGAAATTGAAAAAAACACGGGTAGACAACTCGAGCGAGAAACTTTTCGCTGGGAATTTTAATAACACAACGATCATAGGATGATTTTATGATGGTTTCAATCCATCAAAACCTGCCAATGCAACTGATTGTTTCTGACACATAAAGGAAACACCACATCACTATTGGTGCGTCAATATGTTGAATTGGCATTACAAGAGCCATGGTGGCTACTTCTTAAAAATTTGTCACGTCCATGGAGGGCTGGAATTGTGACTGAGTTGAAGACAACCATTCCCCCTCATCACAACCACATGATCGACACCATCTCTCTCTCAAACAGTCATTACATACTTTCAAACCACAATCCTTGCATGGAGTTAGTGATAAACAGGGCTTGTGGCATGAATTGCACAGCAATGTTGGCATGTTTGGATGGCAGATCTTACAAAGGCCATCATAGTAACATTTGCAACATGTTGAATTTTGACATTGAAGGTATTTAGAAACGGCATTGGTTAGTCTGTGACAACATTTGCAATGATAAACTATGAATATAGAACATCATTGACATTCTCCATTGTAAGAGCATCGTTCACAAACAATATCAGAACAACAGGAACACAATATTAGTTCCGTGTAGTTGGAACAAACTTGGCACTGTCTCCGTTTGCAAATTTCTGAATTGCACCCACAAGTTGCATCACATATTCTTCCAAGCTTGGCACAATTACAATTCAAACAATTTCCTTTTTTACATCTACATCCAACTTTCTTCTTTGCTTTGTGTTCATCATCATTACTGTCATTAATTTTCTCTTTTCCTTTTAAGTTGGTTGGTATTGAAGTACTCGATAGCTTTCAATGCATCGTCGAGATTTCCATAAAACTTGATCAAAATATTAAGCAATCAAATAGCATCATAAAATGCACAATGTGAATTGTTGACATTTCCTAAATTAAAGTGTTCAATTATCATCCTCAGCAAAAACTGGTTTAGATTTCCCTTTCTTTGTCATTTTACGAGGAAGACAATTGTGTAAAGTCGATTCTGATTTCATTAATCGGAGAGAATCAACAAAGACAATATTGTCATGATTAAATTCAGAAAACTTTCCCAAAAATTCTTTGGCAAAAACTTTAAAATCCAAACGGTCTCCATTATGAGCTATTAAGTAAGTTTTTCCTGAGAGTTATTGTTTAAAAATTGGATAATATCATTCAAAATTGCCTTTCAATAGGCAATTTTGATCTTAAACTATTCAAGTTAAGTCCTGTTATTGATTGTGCTTGGTTACGCTTTGGTTGCCGTTGAATTGCGAGAGTAATAGGTGATGATGTATCTATTGAATTGTTTTTAATATATTCAGTAATATATTTGTGGTGTGTTGCAAAGTAGACTCTTCTTGTAATCCACTCCGAAAATTGTGATATTTTGTGGAGTACTTCATTTTGCATTGAGTGAACAGCAGCAACAGCGATTAGGCATGCCCATTTTTCTTTTTGATGAGGGTCTTCGAAAAAATGTCTGAAAACCAAACCGCCCTCGGCGATGAAGACACTTATCACCTTCGCCATCACGCCTCTATCAAAGAGGTCGCTGATCGCCCGCATACTGCAAACAAATCTCTCTCTGCTCAAAAATCGGCACATGATAAATTGAGAGAGGAGATGGAAAACGAAATTTTAGAAACTCCGTCCTCCGTCAATATAGCCAATTTGTCGGTAATACAACCCAGCACTGTATGCAACTCTCCTATGTTGTCGCAACCGGAGGTCTCTAATATTACTACAACCTCTGGCGTCTCAGTTTTTAGTACCTCGGCCATGACCGACGACCATTCTACCAAACTGAAGCGACATCATAAACTCTTCAGAGTGGTGGCCTTTACTACCAACTCTGTCGAAGAAGTCCTTGCAACCGTCGCAATGAATGCCGATGCGTTGTACGGTAGTAGAGTTGTCAGTGAATTGGAGTGCATTATTCTCTTCTTCAAGTCGCGCAAATTGGCAAACCAAGCAATATCTTCTGGTGCTAAGTCCAAGCTAACCATGATTCCTCAAACCGTCAAAACGTCATTCCGTTATAAGGTCGACAAAGACTTAGATAAGACTAATATGCACTCTATTATCTCAACTCTTGGTACTTCTATCAACAACATCAATTTTAGCAAGATAGATGATCAAGAGTTTTGGGCTATTGGTACTAATATTGAATTACCAGCCAATCATTTGAAGAAATTTAAGCTTTCCAAAATGAGAACAGATATCTCTCGTTTCCGTATCGCCTTTAACGGTAAAGAAAAAGATCTTCCTAAACTCAAGGGTGCCATTAGTTCCCAATGGAAAGTCAAGATTGAGAGTATCGAGTTGGCTAATAAGGTGGCTGTTGTTGGTGTCAAAAAGGATCAAATCACCAATAACATTACCAAGTTCGTCCAAGTTGGAAATCATAGTTTCAGAAACCTCTCATTCTCTACTAGAGTTGCCAACTCCATCAGTCACAGAATGGAAGCTGTTGAAAAACAAATGTCTGAAATGTCATCAGCTCTCCAAAAATTGACAAAGGAAATGGCTGTCTGGTCTGGAAAAAAGGTCACTGAAGGCTTTAATAAGATCAACAAAGCTATTGAAGAAATTAACCAAAAAGTCAACGCTCTCTTAGGCACTACTACTCGCAAGAGTAAAAGTGGGCATAAGAAGGGCCGACATTCCCTTTAATGGCCTCTCATTCTATAAGAAACTCCTTCAATTTAGGTACTGCTAATTTCGGAGGAGTTGGCTGGGTAAAACAATCTCAATTACTTACCCTAGCCCGAAAATATGAACTGGATATCCTTAATATCCAGGAAACTCATTTAAAATCCAGTACGGAAGACTATTGGAATGTATGGTATTCCAGGTCCTTCTTTCGTGGCTACTTAGTCTATACTTCCAACGCCACCGAGGGAGATAATGGAGCAGGAATTGCTACTATTGTCAAACCGTCACCTTTTATTAAGGTACTCCAATTCATCGAGCATATTCAAGGCAGACTATCAGAAGTCATTTTGGAACATAAATGCCTAGGTGTGGTCCGTATTTTCAATTGGTATGGCCCGGCTAACAAAAACAAATTAGAATTCATGAATAAGGCTCTCAATATTATCAACATTGCTGCTCAAACAGCGGTCTTGCATGGTGAACGTATTGTCATATTGGGAGACTTGAATGCCAATACTAAAACATTCAATAAGGTATCCTATGCTGCCCATGAGCGACTATTAATTGACCAATGTGACAAATTGAAGCTCTTTGATGTTGTTCCCATTCCAAACACACCTTCGTTCTCTCAACGCAACAAATACTCTCATGGTTTTTCTCGCCCGGACCATATTATTACTTCCCACAATGATTATTCTAATGTAGATGATGTTTCTACTGCTTATTCTCACAAACTTTTAACTATCTCCTTTCCCAGTAACCCTATTTTAGACTTCCCAGAAAAGTTCAACAAATATATTATTCATCCTAAAACTCTGCAATCCAAGATGAAGGAAATTAATAACGATTTTGCTATGGACAACCCTAGCACTCTCTTAGAAGCCCAAAATACCCTTGCTAAAATTGTGAAGAAATATGGCTCTCCTAGCACCGACAAGCCTTCACTGATTACTGATAATCGTAATGTTAGACAATTTCAGACGATCATTTTTGATTTGAAACAGTATCTTTATAAGCGTAAATATGTCTCTACTGTCACCAGCCAGTTCTTGAATAATAATTTTAGCCTCAACAATATTAAGGCTAAATTAGAGGAAGCTAAAGCCTCGCTTAACAAGCTTATTGGATCTCTATTGGCTGACCGTAAACGGGTCTTCGTGAATAGAATTAACAATCTTAGCTCTAAACAACCGTACTCCTATGCCTTCAGAAAAGAATTAGTCAGTTCTTCTATACTCAATGTAGTCCAAAGTAACCATAACTCGATAATTGTAGATCATTTTTCAGCCATGTTTAACACAGAACAAGAAGTGACTAAAACCCTTCCGGAAATCAAGAAAAATAATACTGTAGCCCAATGGAAATTCCAACATATCACTGCCAAAGAGTTGGGTAAAGTTATTTCTAAAACAAAAAATTCCATGGCTGGCTATGATAATATCTCGGTGCCGTTGTTGAAAATTCTAGACAACAATTCGCTCCAAGTACTTGCAAAATGTATCAATCACACAATTGACAGTGAAATGGTTCCTAAAGAATTGGGTATTGGTATTCTACTCCCATTACCCAAAGTCAATATGCCTACAAAATTATCAGACTTTAGACCTATAGTAGTATTATCTGTGATCTATCGCCTATTTTCTTCTATTATCAACAAACAATTCATGAATATCCTTGAAGAGGCTAATTTAATCCATACTGCTCAGCGAGGATTCATGAAAAAAGGCTCAACATTAGAGCACCTTATCAATCTTCGGACTGCCCTAGCATACAAATGTCAGCACAAACAAGAAGTATTCGCTATGGCTTTAGATATCAAAAATGCTTATGGATCAGTAATCCATAAAAGATTTATCAGCATTCTCAAAAAACATGGTTTCCGTAGCTCTGTCATTAATCTCTTGACATCCATGATTTCCAATAGCGTTATGAAAGTACTAGTTAACGGATTCCTATCCTCCCCTTTCGATGCGAATGTTGGAGTCCCACAAGGCGACCCTTCAAGTCCAGCATGGTTTAATCTCTATATTAACTCCTCAACTAATATACAAGAAAAACTAAAAGGAGTCCAAATATTTGATGTTACTATCCTTTTATTATTATATGCCGATGATATTTTATTGATAGCTAATACTAAGATTGAAATGAATTCCTCTCTTAAAAGCCTCGGCCGAGAGTTAAAGAAAATAGGACTCGCTTTAGCTCCCAAGAAATGCAAGCTCTTAGCTATTACAGCTAAATCTAAACTATCTAAAGCCCTAGTCTCTATTGGACAGGATACAATTGCCTCGTCTACTTCTATTGAATACCTTGGGGTATATGTACCTTTAAGGATAATCTTTCTTGGTCCTCTGATAACCCAGTCAACAAAATCTCGAATCGACTTGCATCAGCTAAAACTTCTAATCTATATCTCAACAGTATCACCACTACAATTATGTCTAAAATTATATCATTGCCTAGATATGCCTGTAGCTTCAATGGAATCAGTAAGAATTCTCTAGACAAAGCAGATATTATGGTTGCTAATTTTATCAGAAAGGCTATTGGATTAGATTACACATTATCAAAATCAGTCGTTTTTAATTGCAAACAAATTGGGGGTCTTGGTATTACTCGCCCCTCTATTTTATTCTCTATTGAACCTATTTGCACAGCAGTTAGATTATTCAATTCCTCATCCTCCATCACCAAAAATATAGCTTTGGCTGCTTGGAAAGATACTACTTTTAACGAACCATTTTGGAACCACGTGAAAAATATTGCTGCTCAAAATAATTGGTCTCTCCAATACATTGATGAACGATATTCATTTGTCAATGAATACGAAACCCCTGTCGACCCTAGAACTGAATTGCTAAACAGTGATAGATCAACCATGAGCATTTCTGGCCTTGGAACCTTAGACCATAATAGAATCTGGCATCCATGTACCATCTCCTTTTGGAACAATTATTCACTCAAACCATTCCAGCAACGACTGTTATTTGCTCACCTGCACAAAGCAGAAATCCTTAGAAATTTCGGAAAAGATTACCCTAATTGCCACATTTGCAACACCAAAGCCAACTGGGAACATGTATTCACCTCATGCGCCATGTGTAGCCCAGAAATCAAATCATTATACACAAAATGGGACAATAGTTCCCTCAAATTCAACGCCCCGCTTGTCAGACTTCCCTCTAACCATTCTCTCTCTTGTATTCCAATGGAGTGGAATGGTAGTATCAAAGACGAATCTCTCCAACAACTAGACCTATCTCCCCCAGCCTTGACTGATTGGCTAAATGAAATATATCTCTCATTCGCTGCTTATGTTGGCAGTTGTTACAAAAACGCCACTTGGAACAGTTCTACTGTACTCAAGAAGGCTAGAGGATATATAATTAAACCCAAAACTGCAAAATTTGCAACTGCTTGGGAAACATGTAGCAATCAGCTTGGCGAACTCAACTCCGACAACATTTAAACCCCACACATACACACCCATTAGACACACTCTCGTCGGACAATTGAGTACCTATAATTTGTTTATTCTTCAATAAACCCATCCCTGTATTTTTCTTTTTGATGAGCTCAAAAATTTCTGCCTTGCTCTTGTGATGTTTTGATACAAACTGAGAGTGTAAAATTCAACCAAAGCTCATTCAAATCGACAAGTTTTCTCGGTAAATCTAAATCTAAACATGTATGAACAATTAGTATTTTGCAAAAGTTGTAATCGATAATGATGAGAATTGTGTTTAAATCAACTCTGACGAATGCACACTTTTTTCAAAGGCTCGTTCTCACTTTTTACTTCATATAACTTCACCAACAAAGAGTATGTATAACTAGAACGCATAGAGAATCTACTCTCAAGAAATCAGATTTATTGAAGGCTTATTTGTTGTGTTTAACTATCTCTGATAACAATTTTCGAAAATCGTCGGGGTTGAAAAATGAGCTGAAACACCTTGTCCGCTCGCGAAGAATCTTGTCTCGAATCTTGGTCATTTTTACTGAAGGAGTTGGCCACCCATAGAAAAAAATTGATGAAAAAAAAATGACGGGTGGATGTTTTTCCTTCTTCCGAGCTCTGGAGGATGATGAAGACCAGCATCATGAGATGGAATTTAAATTGTTCCAAAATTATGGAGATTATATATTTACTATTTTACCACCGGAAATTGTTGATACAATTTTTGAATATTTACATACGTTTCAGTTATTGACATTAATGAGAGTGAATGTTTTTGTAGAATTTAGAGTTTTGAGATTTATAATAATGGGAGATAATGATGTTCAATATTTAAAAAAACGAGATGAAAGGTTGGGCCGGAATATCAAATCAGCGGTGTATTTTCCAAGTGCAAGTTTACATTTCTTCTTGGACGCATTGATGAGATACAGCAAATTGATGAAAAATTCAAATATTACTGCAGAGGACGACTTTGAAAGGGTTCTTCGAATTTATAGATTTAATTTAACAATATTTAATTGGAAAACTCTGCTTGAGCATAGCAATAGTCGCTCCTCAAAAGCAAATGTCGAACAAGTATTGAAAAAATTGCAAACGTTAATTGAAGCTTTTCAAATTCAAGAGTTGGTCATTGGATGCTTTGAACAAGTCTTGAAATGGTTAGATACTGCACTTAAGAACACCAAGCAACCATTACGAAGTATCAAAAGATTGACAGTGCTAAATTCCAAATCCAGATTTCACTTCAAACAACCTCAACAGTTTCACATGTCCAACCTCCCTCTTCAAGGTATGTGAGAGTTTTTTTAAATAACACTTGTGATGGACAACAGATGTTTTATACAGCACTACATGGATATTTAGTGAAATCTATAACAGATGTACAACACTTATGTGCTCAACAGAAACTTTGCAATAACTTGGAGTTTTTGACCATTGTAATATGTGAATCAGAAAGAAATACGCTTGATCTCGTGCTCAGAAATGTTTTAACATCAATGCCAAACCTATTATATCTCTCACTTGAGATTTCAGTCCCATTCTTTGAGAGACGATGCACGGTGATTATTGATGATCAAATGGTAGAGCTTTTACAACAATCCAAGTTAAAACGTCTCAAAATTCCAAAAGGGTATAAAACCACGGATGTGTCCCTAGTTCTGAATACGAACAAAGTTATCAAAAATTGTTTGCCGAAAGTGGAGGAGCTTCTGTTAATATGTAACATTCATCCACAGAATATTGAAATGCATAATGCATTGATGGTTCTTTTCCCACTACACCCCTTGAAAGAATTTTCATATATTCATAATACCTTCACCTCAGAAATCGTCAACCAAATGTCAATTACAGAAAAGTTACATGTTTACCATGTCACAGATGGCATGTTACCTAAGACACAATCAACACACATGACTTTGAATGGTAATAAGTCAAACTACACAGTGAGAATGAATGAACAATGGATTCCTTCCTTAAACATATAGTCTTTTCAGAATGTATGGTTGATTTTGAGACATTTCTTCCAACCAATGGATCATGGCTATCATCTCACTTGGAGACCATTGTAATAGAGCGGTCAAAATTCGCAATAGGAAAAAATATGACACCTTTTGTGAAGCTTATCCATAGATTACAAGAATTTGTTGTCGTAAAAAGTGTTTTCATTCAAACTGGGGATGGGCTTCATGTCTATGACGACATTGAGTTTGGAAAATGCAATCTTCGGAAAATTCAAATAGAGAGTTGTGGAGGAAATTGTGGTTTGATGTTGAGGGCACTTTTCACAGCTGAAATGCCGTATTTATCATTCTTAGCCTTAGATGTAAGTTTTCAACACAATGAAACTATCAGTGTATAGGGCATGATATTTAGTCACTTGAATACCAACACTCGAGTATTGATTGTGATACCTTAATTTCAATTTCTAACATGATCAATCGACAAACTTTGGAACACTTACATGTAAACTTTGGAACCTCAAGTGGCTTCACTGCTCAACTCTTTGAATGCTTGTCACTTTTTAGAAATATCCATTATGTGTATTTGAACACAAGCTGTCATGAAAGCAATATGCAGAACATAATTTTAGATTTTATTCTTTCCATGCCGAAATTACTACATTTTCATTTGGAGTGTTACGATTTTCAATTTTCAAGGAAAGAGGTTGAAGAGGTAAAGCAACGCATCGACTCTATGAATAGGACAGTTCCTAAAATGCTTCTAAATTTCGAGTTTGAGTCCAAGTTGCACCCGACAAAGACCTCAATACCTTTATGGCGTTAATTGTAAATGTAACAACAATGAATATCAGCAGGTGCTGGACATCGACCTCCAAAATACAAATCCAAGTACATTCCCTTCGTGTAATTACTGCATTGCTTTCCATGAATAATTTGCTTACTCTCCAACAATTGTCCTCTTGTGACATTACTTGCTGAAACTGAAGCTTTACCTCTCTTGAATGAGTTCAATAACTTTTTCAGCTTGGAAGAAGATCCACTGCTATTGCTGACATTGGTGGAGTACAAATTGTAAGTAGTCTTGTCTTGCTCAAAGATTAATTCATATTCATACCAAACATCAGTATCCACAAGAGTTGTGAATTCTTTTAAGAGAGTTCCTTGATGTTGAAATGGTTCTTGTCCATTATCGTAGGCGTAGGCAGCAACTTGTACCTTGTTGGCGAGTGGACAATGATCAACATTACCCAGAACGTGACCTTGTGCATCGGTTTTCACACAAGTGATGGGACGTCTCCAAACAAAACGATCACTATCTTCATGAACTGTGTCCAAATAACCACATCGAGTAGCTCCGTATAACTTGTTCCAACTTTGAGTGCAGTAGACTGTTAAATTTCCCACCAATTGATTGCAATCAAATAGATTTCACAATTATTTCGTAACTTACCTCCCTGACTGTTATCAGGAGCAAATAAATAATTGGCCATGATTGGTTTCATCATGATAAATGCAGAGATTGTTTGCTTTGATTTGAATCCATAGAAAGGAATGCCATTTTGATAAAAGTTGTCTTTCTTCACAGTTTTGCATTGAATGGTTTGCAATGCCAACGCGGATGGCGAAGAAAAGAGTAACAATGCAACCACAACACACAAGACACATGCAAGTCCTGCAGTTTTAACTGACATTTTTTACCATGATGAATAATTCGCACAACTGTCAAGACAAATCAAGGAGGGTGTGTTGCGTTTTTTGTGCGATGTGAAATGTTGCTTGGAAAATTCCATGCACTCAAAAGTAAATAAGCTAGCCTGTGTGATTTTCAGGGAAGTTCAAGACGAGCATATTCGTTAAAAAAAAATGAAGAGAATTAATCATCCTCATCATAACCTGTTCCGAGTCAAGCCAGAAGAAATTACGGAATGTTCATGCTGGAATTCGTTGCAAAGGAGAGCTAGAATTTTAGATTTTCTTTTTTTACAGAACAAGTCATTCACGAGGTACCAATCGGTTCTCAAAATCGAATTCAAACCATGAGATTAACCGTGGTGCAGAAATGGCGAACGACTGAATTTGAAAAATACACAACAACGGAATCTCTTTTTTTGTGCACTGGTGCCATAAGGGATTTGGACTGTTGGGAATTATCAGATGTGTCTCAGAGACGCTTGTGGCTAGATTGTTGAGATGCAGGGAAGGCTAAAGTTTGAAAAAAAATTCAGAATGAAGGTACCTTCATCTCAATCACTGGATCAATGTCTCTCAACCACGATTGATCTGATTCAGCAACTCCTTGTTGCAATGGCTGAGCAACAAGTTGATGATCAACGCGTTTCACAATTGGCTCTTGCGATCAAAGACCAAATCACTCACCTTGACAAAAAGTTTAAAAAGAACATGATTTCACAACTTTTAGTCAAGAGATTGTTCTCTTTTGGTTTGTACGCTCATCAGGATTTCAATTCTACCATATTTAAGTTCAACCTCAAGGATGTACAAGAGTTTGTTCGGCAGTGCAAGAGAAAGACTCCACTTTTGTCACTTATTGATGAGATTTACTATCACGTGCCCTATGAATTGAAGGACAGCCTGTGTAAAGTTGTAGACACCGTCACAACAGAAAGGTATACTAGAAACTACTCTTCCAATTTAATCTATCGAGAAATTGAAATTTATGATCAGGATGAAGATAGTGATGATGAAGGAGAATGTAACAATCAAACAATTGAAAAAGTTGTCTCCAGAAAGAAGTTGGAGAAGAAAACAATCATTATCGATGAAGTACACCAAAAAATTTATTGGGCGAAAGAATCTATCGAAGATTTTGTGCTCTTTTTCAAGATGAAAAGTTTGGTAGCTAGTAGTGAAAATACCTTTCAACACGAACAAGAGAAGGAAACCCTCTCAGAAATCATGGCACTAATTGAGCATATCAGAAAAGATCAAGTTCAAACCATTGTTAAGGCAAATACTATAGACTTTGACATTCTGGAATCCATTGAAGACCCTCGCATCAGACAACAAATTAATGCGATCAAAAAGAAAAATACAGAGAATCAGAAAATTAGAGAACTGTTTTCGAAGGGCTTCAACAGTAATCAATTTCATTTCATATTGGAATTTATTCAAAATGCCGATGATAGCGTGTATCCTGACAACTCAACTCATGGCACAGTTGACCGTAACAAGAAAGGTCATTTGATATTCCACTTTGACTCCAAATCAAAAACATTGACAATAACAAGCAATGAACGCGGCTTTACGTACGATAATTTGTATTCTCTAGCCGGTATAGCTTCATCAGATAAGGTGTCAAACAAATTAGAAACCAAGAGCATTGGAGAAAAGGGCATTGGGTTCAAGACTATTTTTTCTGTTTGTGATAACGTACTGTTGCAGTCAAACGGATTCGAAGTTAATCTTACTCCAGACTCAGTCGAACCTACTTATTCTGAATCCAATTTCAATTTTAACAATGGAACCAGATATGAGCTGAAATTTCCCAATTCTATTGAAAATTTCGACTACTTGAGCGTTTTTGATGAGCACATTTTGTTGACTTTGAAATCCTTGGGAAAGATTTCTTTCAAAATAGATTCATCAGTCTATGAATATTCTTGCGAGATGTGCGAAGGGCAGCAAGTACTTTATGCTTTTAGGAATGGAATTGAGACAAGTCGAAAGCAATTCTTTTGTTTTACCGAAATGATAGACATGACTCAGTTGGCCAAAACATGTCAAAAAAGAGCAAACTTTGACAGCACTACACTTCAAATTTTCATACCAACAGCTGTCCGCCTTGACCAAACGTTTAAAGTGCATGCCTTTCTTCCTGTGAATGCTGACTCTGCCGCTCTTAGATTTTTAGTTCAATCCGATTTTTTGCTTTCACAAAATAGAGAAACAATTTTAGATAACAATTGGAATAAGGAGATCATTTCTCATATTGCACCTTTATTCATGAAATCCTATGTTGGTTCTCTGAAGCATGATGTTAATTGGAGAGCCGGGTTTTTTACCTTGTTAACCAAAAAACCGAAAGGTAAGCATTTATTAATTTACACGATGTTTAATGAATTATGCTGGTCGACGGACAGGCCTATTTGAGAGATTTTCCGAAGATATTAGGAAACTTGCACTTACTACCGATTGTATCTTAACATATTCTCCAAATGGCAGAGAAGAACGCTTTGTAAAGCCCTCTCAAGTCATTAGAGGGTTTACAAAGCTTCCAAAGCACCCATATACTATGTTTGGTGAGGAGTTTTGTTTTAATGTTTTACAAAAGTACAGTATTAACTCAGAATTAGATGAGAACATTTACTGCACTCAAGAATTGCAAATATCCGAATTTACATCACAGGACTTTATGAAGCTTTTGAAATCATGTTCCCAAGAGCAAATCAAAGCCAATATCCTTGGAATATTTCATTTGTTGCAGCATTTTTCAGTTGATCTAAGCCGAGTGGGCTTTCCAATCATTTTGACTGACAATGGGACTTTAATCTCAGGTACACAATATGTTATTATAGACTCAAAGCTTCCTAAATTGTTAATCCAAGAACTAGAAAAGCATAACATTTATTTTTTACACTACTCCCTTGCAAAATTCAAGGCCTTGATACCCAAACAATTAGACATTTCTTCCGTATTTAATTCTAATTTCAACAATTCTCTCACATTTGTTGTGCAAGTAGCATGTGATATTCAATACGAATACGGTAAAGACTTCAACATCAAGTGTTTAACAACTAACGGGGAGTGGAAAGATTGTAGAGAATGTTATGAACAAAATTTGAACACATCATTTTTAGGGGATACTGTTAGTTTTTGTGACATTCAAGCATGTTGTAACATCGTCTCAGAATTTGACAAATCATTAGCAAGAACATTAGTGCAACTGCTTAAGCGTAGAGGATTGCGAGTAGTACCTCAATTATTTAACTCTTTTCTCGCTCCTAGAAACGAGTTCACATTGCTCAAGAATCATCATGATACCTATGAAAAGTTATTGCAGTATTTCGATAGGAACTGGCACATCTATGAACATAATCAGCAACAGTATATTTCCCATTACTTAAACACAGTGGTCATAATGAACGATTGCTCAATCAGTGATCTATACGATGGCTCTCTTCAACATGAGTTTGGATCATGTTTGACATATTTTCCAACACTCAACAACAGCCAATTTGCATCGTCGTTAAATTATAAGAAAAAAGCTGATTCTAACGCATACATGAAGCTTGTTGAAAAATCAAGCGAGCTTGGGGTAGACCAATTTACACGAGCTATATTGAAGGCTATTCAAAATAACCAACAATACCAGCTCATAGACTTGTTGAAAACAAAACCTCTTCTCTCAAGCAGTGAAGGAACTCGCATCAAATTTGATACAGACAAAATTTTTGAACATGTTCCCGGTTACATCAAGAAGTTACATCCAACCATCCACGAACTTGATCCTAAAGTAGTTCCTTATATTCGTGCACTAACGGAAAAGTTGTGGTCCCCAAGACTAAAAACTCTTCCCTATGACCTAATCATTACTGTACTTGAAACAGATGAAAAGATATCATACGACAACCAAATACAGCTATTGGAATGTGTAATCTGTCATGGAGATGAAAAGGAAAAGAAATCACTACTTTCCAAGAAAATATTCACCGTTGGAGGTTGTAAACTCTCAGCTGCAGAATTATGTTGGAAGTTAGATCCTTCAATCAAGTTTCCACCCAATATTGAGACTCGATTACTTGATCCTCTTTTTTCAAAATCGTTACATATCAAGCAGTTCCTTGCTCCACACACAAAAGAACAGAATTTGAAACCAGAATTACAACAGCTGCTGCAATCTCTAATTGATAAGGTGAACGAGGCAACAGAAAATGGTCTTAGTGAAAATGAGATAAAGCACATCAATTATTTATTTTCCTTAATAGAAACAAAAGCAATTTCTGGAGTAATGGTAAATCCACCCAAATGGGTTGTATGGGACCTTCCTGTGGAATTATCTTCAATATCCTTCTTTTCTCAATATTACTTTTCCCACAAGTTCAACAAATACAAACAGAGAGCACACCAATTACTTCAAAACGTACTTTGCAAGCATTTGGACTCGAACATAATTCTTCAGTACCTGTTCAGTGAAGAAGTTACAGATAAGCAATTTACTGTAATTTGTCATTACATTTCCAAACACAATATAACGTTTGGAAACGCATTCACGACTCAAGCCTTGCTTGTATGCAACAACCAAAAGCAGAAGGCACAAAATTTATGGCTTGCACAATCAGAGGAAATTAGTTCCAATTTTCCACAACTCACAACAAGAGTCATAACCAAACATTATTCTGACGACATAGTTGTTCAGTTTTGTAAAAACGTTGGTGTGAAAGAGAGAATTCCGTTCACGGTCATAGCAGACGAGATTGAGAAATTGGAACAAAGTACAGAACCCAATACTATCATAGATCAACAGATTTCTGTATTGTATGGAGAGTTGAGTATTCACAGAACGAGATTCAGCAATTGAAAACGCGAAAGATATTTAGAGATGAGAATAGAAATCATCATACATGGTCAGAAATCATGTGTTTGCTTGACGATGACGAGCTATTTTCTGAATTTAAAGAGAAAGTATTTTTCCTCTGTATTCCCTTTGTGCTGTCAGCAAAAATTGTTCATTTCTGTTCCACCTTTAACATTAGACCAATTAGCAAGGCCGTGAAACTTGAACTTGTTTCTTTTGAAAAAGACACGACCATATCCTCTCTAGTAATTGAAAGAATTCAGTTAGTGTTGAAGTATCTAAAAATGTATTGCAACTACAGAGGATTCGGTTATGCCAATGTTGAGTTCAATATCATTACTACAAGATCTTTGGTCACAAAAGTTACGCTTAGTCATCCTTCCAACGCAATGGCTTCAAAAGTCGCTGAACGAAATGATTGTGAATTTCATGCAGATATCAGCAGTAATCAAATTTATGTGAATTCCAATATCGAACAGTTGCCGAAGGTCATGCGCTCACATGACTTTGCTTCTTCAATTTTGCAACTGATCAAAGTAACTCCTGAAAATTTACACGAGCTTAAATTAATGCTGGATTGTCTGGCCAATCTCAACAACGAGGAAGAAATGTTTCAGTATTTTAGCTCTAAAAGATTCATCACAAACTATGACCGAATTTCTTCCAAATCAAAATAATTATGATTGTGACATGATGCTGGACTGAACAAATCAATTAAATCGAAATTTAAAGTATCGAGTTAATTATGAGCTTCATACACATTGCATGTACATTGATTAGGATTTTGACACAAACCAAATCCACTGCAAACCGAAGAATTAGTAGCCTCAATTCCAAAACATTGAGGAATGTCACAATATTGGCCAATCCAATTAATGTCACAAACACATGTATCTAAATTGATGCATGAACCATGTCCAGTACACACCGATGTATTGGTTGAAACAATTCCATTGCAGGATGGATGTTCACATTTCGAACCCCTGAATCCTGTAGTACATGAGCAAGTGTCAACATTTTCACAAATTCCATTTCCAGAACAAACGTGTGAAACATTGTTGGAAGTAATGCCAAAACATGTGACCAACACGCATTGAGTTCCAACATGTCCATTCACATTACAAGTACAGATTTTGACACAAACCAAATCCACTACAAACAATTTGTAGCATCAATTCCAAAACATTTTGGAATTTCACAACATTGACCTGTCCAATTTGAATTACAAAAACATACATCTAGACCTTCACATGAATTATGTCCATTACAAGCAGAGGAGTTGGTTGCCATAATTCCATTATATGAAGGAGCTTCACATTGAGAGCCACTGAATCCAGCTGAACAAGAACAAGTGTCAACATTTTCACAAACGCCATTTCCAGAACATACTTGTGCAGTATCGTTCGAAGAAACTCCAAAACACAACGGGAATGCACAACTTGGGCCAGTATGATTCGTATCGCAAACACATTGATCAGGCGCCACACAATTTCCAGAACACACCGAGGCATTATTTGCAGCAATTCCAAAACATGGAGGATGACATATTTCAGCACTTGTATTACAGGTATAACCATTGTCGCAATAATCTAACGCAAGATTTCGAATTCTATTTAATCCATTCTCAACAAAATAGATCATCTTTCCATCCGCACTTACCACCAACTGTGTGGGAGTAGAAAGACTGGCATTGATGCCAATTGGTAAGCATCTCCAGAAAATCCAGAGAAGCTACGAACGGTGACTCCAGCGAAATGTAGTGAATTAATTCTGAGATCTGCAACGAGTAAATGGTTATCATTACTCGTGACACAAAGACCCATTGGAAAATTCAATTGCGAAGTCAATGAACGAACACGATACGCATTTGCTTCTGTGAAAAAAACATCCCCTTCAGCATTCGTGGCATTGCATAGGGAGAAAATAATTGAGCACTCAATGCATGCATGTTGTTGGCGTCGTCTGAAGGATTCGAACCTCCGCCTGCGAGAGTGGACAGAGAATAACGAGGAGGTAAAAGTTGAGCCTGAACCATGTGTGTTTGGATAGGAAGAGAACCACTCCATAACATCAAGAACAGGGTGGACACGCATAGAGAGAGCGAGTGAAATCAAAGGAATGAAACATCGATTAAGGCTATGAACTTAAATTTGGAGCGTTCCTGTCAAATGCCAAAAAGGGCTTTCAAAAAAAATACTCAAGTCCTTGGAACTCAGTTCGACGTTACGACTCCACTCTCACACCAAACTTTGGATTCAGTGAGTAACTTGATCAAACTTTCCAACAGAAAAATTCCATCATCAACTCCTTCTCAACGTCACACGGATGCCATCCGATCCATCATCATCATCATCGACCACGACAACAACAGCATCACCCATTCCATGTCCTCTTCCACCTCCCATCGAGCAATGCAAATATAGTTTTGAAATGGATCATGCCATGTTCGGAACGAGTCGAGATCAATGGACAAGTCCTTCTCCGTATCGTTCGTTTTATGATGATCCATTATCATCACCATCATCGTTATTAGGAACTGGTCAAAAGGGAGAAGGACACTCCTCATCATCCTCATCAGTATCGACCACACCATCTGTTGAGTCATCATGGAACCAAAACAATCAAGGCTCGATGAATCAATTTCCAAATATGGGTAATAACGGGATGATGATGAATAGTGGACAGAATTCTTCAACTATCATGAATACCAACAACAACAACAACAATACTAATGGAAATATTGCTTCCAATAATACCACAAATTACAATACAAAATCCAATGATGATGATGATGTCAACCTATAACAACATGAATTCATCATCATCCACTCTACCAACCACCAATTCCCTAAACTCCTTTTCCGATAATAATAGTAATAATTACAATAATGGTTCCATATTTTCAGCAAATAATCATTTAATGAATATCGGCAACACGATGAATCAAATGATGATGATGCAAAATAATTATGCTATCGGAATGCCATCTTCCATGTTCAACAACTCATTTTATACACCCAATAATAATAATTTAAATAATTTAAATACTTTTAATAGTTTTTACAATTTAAATAATGGAACATCCAATTTTGGAAATTTCAATCCTTTACTTGCTTCACAACCACCACCACTCTCTACCAACAACACTCGCACATCATTTTCCAACATGCCATCTTTAAAACCCATTCCCTATGAAAATGGTTCCATTATTGATCCAGAAATGGAAGATGAAATTTTCGAGTTACCTTCGCAATGGAGCGGTGTGTTACAACATTATTCAAGTGCTGCCGAATGGATTGTTTCCGAAGAATTTAATCATTCCATGATGGAAGAAGAGAATTTGGAAATGATTTTGAAAATTATGAAATGGTATGATGAAAGTCAATTGAAATTGAGAAATGGAGAGAGAGCTCAATGGGCTGTGAAAACATTGGATGCTTCTAGTGAGTATAGTACACAATGGGGAGCTGTCAATATTGCTGGTCCATCACGGGTGTATCCTAAATATGGTAAGTTATTTTGTGAAATTCATATTTGAGAGTTGAAAATTAATATTTCATTCATGTAATATTTGAAAAATTATACATGTTGTGAACGAATCGAATTCCAATAGGTGATTTTTCAGATGCATGGGCTCCTCGTTTACAACAAAATTCAAAAGAATTCTTTATTGTAGAATTTTCTGATTATTACAAAATTACGGGAATTCAAATTTATGAAACTTTCAATCCAGGTGCCGTCACAAAAATTACTTGTCTTCCAAGAGGTAAAGATCGATACACTTCACGAAAACCTCAACTCGATGGATCGATTATTGGTACAACCACATTTGAAGCAAGGCCTGAAGATTGGATTGTTCTCTATGAAGGACCGACACAACAACACAGTATTGGACAGCATTCGAGAATTTTCTCTCCCTCCTTGACAAACACTGGAGTAGAATCCAAGGTTATTTATGTGGAAATGGATACCACCAACTCTGCAAGCTGGAGTGAAGTGGATGCTGTGAAATTAATTGGAATGCCTGTGTTGTAATAATTTTCATGACTCTAACGTTTCTAACGGAAGTTCAGAATGTCACTTTTGGATTTCCAAAAGGTTCTTCATACAAAAGAACGAAATCAAGAAGAAGATTTATTGAGAACAAGTAGTTGATGACATTGCAATAAACGAGATGAATTTCAAACGCTACAACAAGCATGAAAACCACAGAGAATGTTCAGCTGCAAGAATGTGTATGTAATAAATTAATTGTTATTGCTGTTCGTTATTTGTTTAGTTTCTCTTATTCTTTTCATCTAATTCAATCTTGGCAACAATTCTGAATCGATCAAAATAGGTTAATTTAACATCTGTAAACCCATGTCCTAGCATGGTCAAATAGAGCCACAGAGTGCTTTTTGCGTTAGCTGCGATTGCAGTTAATATATGCCAATACGCGTGTAGGTGCAAAAAGTAAACATAGGGACAACAAGCAAACTCAATAGCCCACAAAATAAATGCTACCAAGAAAAAGCTGAAATAAATGAAATAAATTCTTCTAATCTTGGAAACCAATCCTTCAACCTCAGCATGTTGAGATTGAGGCAAATATTCACAAAGCCAATCAGCCAAATTATTTCCTCTATAAATTTGAATAGCCTCAAAGGCAGTGGATAAATTTAAAAGGGCAGCAAAAACAAACACAAATACTGAATAGCTTTTTGGAAACCAAATCGTTGCCAACGAGTGACCAATGGTAAAGGTGACCAAAACAAAAACTACAATATTGTGATACCATTTCCTGTCACTATTCTTCTTTTCCTTAAACAGATAATTGTAAATTCCCTGATTCACACACATAACCATTGGTATTTCATCTGTATATTGACCAATTCTGGTAAGAGTGGCATGCAAAAAGGAGCTTCCAAAGCCCAGAAAGATGCAAAACACAGAACCAATGTAAAATCTCCAAAATGTTCTTCCAGCCTTATTCAACGTTCTTTCAAACTTGTATATAAAATATAAATGAGCAATAGCAATCAATAGGTACACATAGGACGAAATGGTATTTACAGGTTCAGCAATAAAGGATGAATACTGAAAATTAGCCTCACAAAAATCAATATTTGAGGAAATGAGAGCCTTTCCCGTTGTTTCATCGACGGGATGATATATTGAAGGATAGCCTTCAAAGGTAGAGTACGTTTGGTCTGCGTAAAACGACATGCTGTTTCTTTAATATACGGAATTTAACCGAGCTCGGAATAGTTGTTGGTTCGAATAGTCGTTATACTAACTTTCCAATGATGATAATCAATACACAGTTTACAGAAATCAATGGTATTTCCAATGAGGAGGACACTATGAGATTCCGAGAGAGAGAATCGAGAGATTCCGAGCTGCCACTAAGCAACAACAAGTGAAGGGTTAGTAATAAACGTTTGAAAATTTTTTTTTTGCGATTTCGCTCACCCCATCAATTGTCCTTACTTTGATGCGCATGAACGCTCAAAATGGTGCACGAACCATGAATGGTAGGGTGTTTGATGTGAGCAGCGATCATCTATTGGCCTTGATGGGCATCACCAATTAATTATTGACAAGAGAGTAATACCATTTGATGTTGAGTGTGTTGAATAGGATTATGGGAGGCTCAAGTGAAGGCATGAATGTTTCAATTCAGCAACTTTATTATTCCTCAAACACCATCCGTTATTCACATCATTGAAATATTATTATTCTTGAATAGGTGCATCCTCAATAGCAGGTAAATGATGTTTGCTGGCAAGTAAATAGGTTTTCATCAATCCTTTGCCTTTGACTTGGATACCTTCTCGTTCTTCAAACTCAAATCCTAAATCGTGCACTCTTTCGTAGGTGGATCTAGAAATATGAATTCTGCCTGGTACTCCAGTGCTCTCCATTCTACTAGCGACATTAATGCTGTCACCCCACTACAAATAAATACATTTACAATTCAATGCATCGTTGTCACAAATAATTGCTGACTTACCAAATCATATGCAAACTTCTTGAAACCGATGACACCTCCTACACAATCTCCAGTATGAAGTCCAATTCTCACATTAATTTTCTTTTCCCAGCCGTTTTGCTTGTTGAATGTATTCAAAAATGCAAATACATCAATTGAAAATTTAAGCATTCGCTCAGCATGATCGGATGATTTGCTTGCGTGAGCGCCCGCTACACAAAAGTAGGCATCGCCTATGGTCTTAATCTTGTCAATATAGTATTTTTCAGTGAGCTTGTCAAAATTTAGTACGATATCCCCAAGCATGACAATTAAGTCATTAGGAGTCATTGTACTACTCATAGATGTGAATCCAACCCTAGTATATGTAAATAATTGAACAATTCCAATAATGTTGAATCAATATCCAAAAAAATATAAATAACGTACATGTCACTGAAGAGTATAGTCAAATCATTAAATTTTTCACAAATAGAAGTTTCACCTTGCTTGAGACGAATAGCCACAGGTAAAGGTAAAATATTTAAGAGTAATTCTTCACTCTTCTTCTTTTCTTCACTAATAAGAGCAGTTTGCTTCTTCTCTGATGTAATGTCCTTGACAAAGCATGCAATGATGGATTTCTTGTTGAAAAAACTAATGGATATCGAAACGGATGCAGAGAAACAAGTCTTATTCTTTCGAACAGGTGACAGCTCAAATGTTTCAGTGTATGCGTTTTTAGAAGAGGTAATTGAAAAAATGGACTTTTCAATCTTTTGTTGATCTGCTATTGAAAAAAGAGAAGTCAGAGGAGCTCCCAATAATTCACTTTGGTGATATCCAAACATATTCTCAGCAGCTTTGTTAAATATTACAATGGAGCCTTCAGGGTTACAAACAATACAACCATCTGCAGCTGCATTCATAATGGATTTGGTCATGGACATTGGATCTTCAGAAAGATCAGAGGAAACCGAATGATTAGTGAGACCCATCATGTTGGTGAATTTTTGGACAGGTTTTGGGTATTTGTTGGGAATGTTGTGAGCCATTACATACTGCTTCAGGTCTTCATTTTGATCAATGGCTTCACCGCTGATATAATTCAATAATGTTCTCGCATTGTGTTTTTCATCCCAATATTTTGAAAGGGTGGAATAGCTCCATAATAGCAGTAACAAGCATAATGAAATACTGATAGCAAAAGCAGAAATTGAAAGGCTCAAGCTGGCATTCTTGGCATACGTAACATATTTTGAAATAAACTCAAACGATTTGTTTGCAAAAGAAATGGATACAAAGTAAATGTTCTTGAAATAAATGGTGATCGCTGTCTGTTGATCGTAATAGTTTGAGTAATAGTCATTATTTAGCTCTATCGCTTGAGAAATGAATTCAGAAACAAGTTGATTCATGCCTTGGCATTCATAATAAAGATCAATCTCATGAAAGGATAGTGTTTTGTTCGTAAGAGTGGAATTTGTACTGTTGCAAGTTCCTGTAAAAAGTACGTCAATTTCAGAAGATAATCCAGAAATTGGTGACTCATATCCAGTGTTCGCACCTCCAACACTAATTTCCCTCCAGGCTTGATCACAATTTCTTAACTCGTGCATATTATCTTCCTTGACAATATTCCAAGGAATCAACATCAGTTTGCTTTTAACAACCAGCTCATTGAGCCTGAAATTAACTCTCATTGATGTTCTAACTACGGTGTTCAACAAGCTTACTGTTTGCATTGTTGATGTTGAGGTTGAAACATTTCTATCGAACTCAATGATTATTAATATGCTTGAAATTACTATTATGACAATGATCGACAACGAGACTAGCATGTAAATCAAATATGGAGTGAATATAGATGAAGTTTCTTTGTAACTATGATGAGTAGTTTTGAATTCTAAGCTATGAAACACACGACCGCTTTCCTCCTTTGGAATGCTAATAAATATATACTTGAGAATTCTTTCAATTTGTAACAAGTGATTTCTTGCCACCACAATAAAAATAATAGAGAATGCCAAGTAAACTCCCAATACAACTCCACAAACGCTGTAGAATGCTATACTGCCTTGATAGATCTCAGATTTGGAGCTTTGAATGAATGATGTACAAAAATTGTCACAGGCCGTGGTCATTTCTCTACGGTTGAGGTAGCTGCCAAGCACATTAATACCGGTTAACATCATACCAAGTTTAACAATGCAATACTTACAATACCAAGAAAGGAAAGTTGGATCGTGTAAGGTTAAATGCCTCCAAATCATCGATCAATGTTAAAATTTGTGATCCCTGGATGAGCATTAAGTCCACGAACTGGCTTATTGAGGAATTTCCAGCCTCGAAAATCGGGTCTGCAAATTCATTATTCTGCTTAATTGGAATATAGTATGGCCATTTGACGTCTGTGAAAGTAGTAACCACTTCCGGAATAAACTCACCGGATGTTGAAGCAAGTTTCACGCTATTAACTTTTTCCAACAGTAATTTGAGTTGGGACGTAGCTTTAGAGACTACAAAAGGAATTTCCGCTTTCTTTTCCGGTGTGTTTGAATATCTGTACTTGGATTGAACAGAGCGAATTTGTGCAATAATTAAATGAGGAATTCCACTGAGCGAGCAGACCTTTTCCTCTAACGCAACGCGTGCTGAAACCTGATTCAACTTAATGCTGGAAGTTGCGAACAAAATGGGTACAACAACTATAGAGAGCAGACAAAAGGCAGCAAACCATATCTTGATCATAGTGTTCTCTTCAGTAGTATTAATGCTTAATCGTAACACATTTTCTTTCTTATCTAAGTCTCCACCATTGCTCACTGACTCCCAATTATCTTCGTCTTCAATCCGTCCCATTTCTTCCTCGGTAGTCTTGTCAACCTGTGATATCTTTTTTGGTTGTGGGTATGCATTAAGTGAAGAAGTTGGATGAACTCTAGTACTCTTGTTAAATTTGTAGGGTAGTGAATGCTTTTTTGTCACATTTGTTGCAATCTTTTTTGGGTCGTCATCATCTGCTGCATTGGCTTCTTCTAACAGTTCGTTTGCGGCTTCAAACTCCCACTTAAATGACTCTAAAAACATGGCATAAGACCTTAATAAAATTTTGTCGTTCGAGTTCTTAGAATATAACGTTCTGTAGCCACTATCACAATCTGATAACAATTTGGTAGCTGATCTGTTGATATTCAATAGCTTTGTGAGCGATGGTTTCTCACTTAAAAGTTCTTTGAAGAACTCTTTATGAAAGTATGAAATCGCCTGTTGTTTCCTCTGAATACGTTGCAAAGCTTGTCTCAGCTCAACACTAATATTGGATATCTTTTCCGTATTGATTTCTAACTCCTTACTTCTAAGTAAAATCATATACTTCTGCGTTTGAGATGGATTATTTTTCTTTGCATTTATCAACATATTCATTGCATGAGTATTTGAAGTAAAAACATCCTCATGAGATGAATAAAACGTCGCTATTACTGCACCGACTAACAAGAAATCCACATTGGAGCATGATTTGTTGCTGCAGTGCTTTAAAAACTGTAATGAAACGTCAAGTGCTGAGGGAGATTCTGAAAAAGCGCTTTCTATGGAGAGTCGTAAATAGAGCACCAATTGGTTCATTGATTTTCGACCTTCGAACGAGGAGTAGATTTGATGAGCACCAGACTTGTCTGGAAATTCTGTCATCGTATTGCTGATATATTTTTTGACTGAAGATACTAAAAGTCTAACATAAATTGAAAGTGACACAGTACCGACCAAAAATCCCAGTACTTGCAGAGTGACAGTAATTCCAAACATGAGTCCACCTATGGTCTCCAATTGTGTTATAACAATTGGCTTAATAGCTCCTGCTACTAAAGGCCCAATACTTCCCAGTGTTTTTGCAAGGAGGCAACCAAACACTACTCCATTCTCCCAAATCTTAAAGTAAGGACATTTTCGTAAAAAGTAAATGGACACCAAACCACTCAAAATAAATTTAACGACGGATGAAGCAATAACGTTATTGGTGTTCAGTATCACAGTGAAAACGACAGAGAGTTGATTCAACAACGTAATGGCGATCACAATGTCTGGTCTATCAATGGTAAATGATGCAAATCTTGTTGCTGTTGGTGGAATTGTCTCGCATGTAACAATCGTTCCAATGATACCTATAACGATGTTAAGCAATACTCCAATGCTTCCAATAGCCATAAATACAATATTCAAAGTTGAATTGGTAACAATTGATGGGAAATATTCGTTACGAGACGACATAAAGGAAGAAGACATGGGTATACAGTGAAGCCAAATCATCCAATATGACAAGGGTAACATGAAAATAGTGAAAGGAAGCACAAGTTTCTTGACCTTTTCACTGAATCTGTGACCTCTTGAGTGAAGCATGTAGTACACATAATACATGAATAGAGTCAACGCCTCCAGAAACACAAAGGTTGCTGATAAAGCAATCACAACCACATACGAATAGTGTTCAGCTCCTGCATTGATGGGATAAAACAACACTCGTTGAATCCATCCAGCAATGACGCCCCACAAAGGTGCGCTACCTTTGGAATCGGCGTTGCTAGCAGATAAAGTTCCCTCTTCATACAAAGTTGATGGTACCGAGCTTAGTACAACCGTGCAAAACAACATGTAGCCATAGATCACAAAATGGAGCAATACACTCTTCATGGAATCTTGTCTTGCTTTCTTTGAATTGAGAGAAACGAGAAAATTCATCGTCTTATCCAGAATTTGTTTGGAAACAGAGCCGTTGCTACCTATCGCGTCCGAAGAAGTGTTACTTAGAGAGCTTGAGCTTGTGGCGACGGATCTATTACCAAAACCATTGGCTCCGCTAAATATACTGTGCGTATAATGGATCATGGACTGAGCGCCTACAGCCATAGAAGGGTGACCAGTGCTTGCGACATCATCATTGCGAAAGGAAGCTACCTCATCAGATTCATCAACAGTTGAGCTTGAGGGGTTCCTTATGGATGTACCAGCAGGAGGGTGAGACATTTTAAAGTTGTTGTAATTGACCGTACGGTGATGCGAGTATTATCTCCTGCACTATTTCTTAAACGATTATGTGCAAGCGCTACAGCGTTAGGCATAACAAGTCAAGATGGACAGGTTGATTTGTTTGATGGCATTGATGTCATGTCATTTGAAAAAAGTTTGCGAACATAAGATCCTCAAAGACATTGGCTCAAGTTCAGTAGATGCAGGAGTTAGTCTTCTGCCAACTCACAAGACATCTTGTCGCGGAGGACAATTGGAGCAGGCTTTTGTAGTTGGGTATATCGCAATGGTTGGGAAAATCTTTAACCATTTGTAGCCAATCTCTGCCAGAGTTGTTGATCCTGAAATATTTCTAATAAAGTAATTTCACCCAAGAAATTTGTGGAACTATTAATGATAATTATGGACCCCATCGTCGTGCATCACCGTAGTCATAATAATATTGAATACATTTCATTATTCTTGCGTTCCGAACATGAATCGTTGTGTTTTGATGAAGGCATTTTTAATTTTAACAATTAAATAAAAAAACTGACGTGGTGAACGAACACCCTGATGACATAATAGTTTTCAGGCTTGAGAAACATAATCTGCAACTTGGTATGGAATATCCACTATCCTGATCTCAAGCATCCAACAGCTCCTTATTGACCTGAAAGTTTCTAACTAACATCCTTCAAATGTAAAAACGTTATGGGATATCATTTTGGATACTAAGAAGGATGCAATATCATCCAATAATGAACCTGTTGAAACTAATATTATATTGAATGATAGTGACTATATAACCATTAAACCTTCCTCGAAATGGATACGAATTTGCGGCGCAAATTTACTGTTCACTAATACACCAGCAATCCCAATATTCCATGGTGTTCACCTTCAAACGTCTGACCATCTTCATTCAACACATGGAGGAATGACTCTCAACGAATTTATCAGGACTGATTCTCTTTCATTTATATATTTGTACAGCACTGTAATTTCAAAGACCTATCTAGAGTTTGATGCTACAATCCAATCTTTCCAACCAAAATGCACGCCACAGCATCCCTAGAATACTTACAAAAAGCCAAATCGTTAGAGAAAATGAACAACGTGTCATCTGACATTGTTAAAACAGTATATGAGGCAACAGATGCTGCTATTAAGGCTGTCAATATAAATATTGAGCTTTTCGAAAATTATGAATAGTCTTATTCTGGAGATTACATTAAAAAATAAAGAGAGATGCAACACTGTTTGTTCTATTCAATGTGCTCTGATTTCGAGCGATGTTCCCAGAACAAAGACCGTCCATGCAGATCCGTATTCAAAGTTAATATGCAACCGTTGTCGAAGACGAACCAATTTAGTTGCTTAATATGAGAGTTGACGCGGCTGTCACTATCTTTAACTCGGCACAAATCTCATTTTTAATTCTTGATAATAAACTCATAAAAAATGCTCGATCCTCGTCCTTCTTCATCCAAACACCTTGCCTCCCGATTGCTATTTCAACGTTTGGAACCAGAATTTTCAGAACACAGTCAATATGAAATCAATGATCCATTTCATATCTGTTTGGATGGAATTGCAACCATCGGAATTAAACAAGTCCATGTTTTGAATTATGGTACATCCCTGTATTTAGTATCCAATGATGGAATTTTATATCAGTTAGTGTTGGATCGAGCGAATCAAATGAAAACATGTTCTCGTTTGGGAACCGTTGCGCCCTTTGATGGTAGCACTAATTTGAGAGTTGAACAAATCGCTTCTTACACTGAAGCCATGTTACTAATTGTGAAAGATATTAGAACAAAAGAATATTTCATTTATGGAACAGGTAACAACAGTTATTTCAGAATGACACATGACAAGCATCAGAATTTTCATTGTTCAAAAATTGAACGACTATTTTCACCTTTGAATCGAATTCAAAACGCAAAACCTCCAACAACCATCAATCACGTTGGATGTGCTTATTCATTCAGCTGTTGTGTGATTAATAATTTTTCTATTCACATTACGGGACAAGATTGGGTAAATCGAGGGACAAATAATTCCCGTACGGGCGATGGTTATCATTGTTGGTCCAAAGAATTACAAAAATTTGCGTCAAAGATTATTAAGGTGGATTGTGGAGATTTTCATGTTTTATTACTACATGAGGACAAATCCATTTCAATAGGAGGAAACGATTTTCACAGTTCTGTTTTTACTGTGCCTCTTCATTTCACTCAACCATTTTATACCATTCCAATTTCAGTAATTACATGCTTCAATTTATTTAGTGGCAGTAATTCAGCACTCTATATATCAAACTGTAACAACCAAAGCTATATTGAAGCCTATTGTATTGACACAGATCCCGCATGGAATTCTCATGAGGAATTTGAAGGTCATGATCCTATTGACCAATGGAAGGTCAAATATTTTGGAAATAACGCCGAAACAACAGATCATATCATTGATATTCAATATGCAAAAGATTATTTAATTATTCGATACAATGACCAACCTTATTTAATGCACATCATTGGTTCTTCATACTATGGAAGTAGACACTACAACAATGAAATTATTGATCTAAGAACCCTGATTCCCTCATCTGTTGGGAATTACAAAGAAATCGATTTTTACAGAACTGCCGTCAAAGTAACGGCTCACTCTGTTGGATTTTCCATCTACTGTGACTTGGGAGACTACAGTTTGAAAAGGTTCTCTCATCAACTGTTTGCTACAACAAACCCTTACAACACGAACAATTCACTACTCTTTGACGTTTCGATTATTCACAATTGTGGCAAGGATTTGTAAAGTGAGCCTTTCGTAAGCCTGCCCCTCGACACTAATACCAAAGCTCATATGACAGATCTCGTTCATGGTTTTCATGCCGGCTGAAGATTCGTGCGAAACGTTTCGTGAGAACCGCTTTCAAAACAGCATTCAACTATTGATTCGGTGGTATTCATGTACAGCGCTTGGGTATTCACATTGTAATTAGGCCAGGGTTTGCATTTAATTTTTGATCGTTTTTAATCCTTTCCAAAAACAAATAACGCCCTTTCGTACCGAGTACTAACGAACACACAGTTTACAACGCCAAGTAGAAGAATGATTGAACTGTATGGAACGAATCCATTCACTCCAGCGATCATGTGAACGAGTCGTTAACATTACGTATTTCATCTTGAAAGTGAATGCTTAAGCTTTTGGATTAGTTGGATCATACTAATATTGAAAAGCAATTGTTTCTCTCCAAATCAACCAATTCAAAACGCCAAGATTCGGTCCTTGAAGATTGTTTTGACAACGCACATACTGTCAAGTGTCATTTTTTTCATTCGGACCAAATATTCTCTACCTGTTTGGAAAGTTTGATATCTCAAACAATGCTTGAATTCTCAGCAACGCCAAAAGCAAGCACCTAAAACAACTTGGGGAGCAACAATATTTTGTGGAATTTCATCACTAGCAATTTACACAAACAAAAAAAAACAATCAAAACCTCACACAGACGCCAAAGACAGAGTTGTCATTTGCATTCGAACTTCACTTTCATTACTCGAGCGTTTCTCGTCGTTACTCCTTTCAATTATTCCATTGAAACATTTCTTGTCCATTCTTTGAACCCTTGTCTTGATGAATTATTTTTCACAACATCAACCACTCGTCGTATCCTCCAACCCTCCAACCAAACAACAACAACCCAATGCCATTATTCACTCACTCAACGTATTGAACCATCCTCCTAACAGTAGCTTCTACCCAATTTCTCAACATGTCTCCAAGAAGAACATTTTTCACAGTTCCTGTAATTTTACACCACAAGCGCAACCACCACTCCAACAAGAGAATGAACAAACAACAACAACAACAACTCCTATCGACGACGACGTGATGCCAAGCTCCACTGGACCAACCTCTGTCAATGGTGAAGCGAAGCGTACTACTAACAACAACGAGAATCAACATGATGTTGCTTGTTGGCCCATCGACCTTGTCGCAGACCACAGCGCTGCATCTATTCTCTCCTTTCCTTTCGTGGGTACATTATCCGAAAGCGGTAATTTGGACAATTTGCGAGATGTTTTAGTACTAGCAGGAGAGAATAGTAGTACCACCACCACTCCTCCAACTGGATCTGATATGGACTGTGATGGTACTACTTCTACTACTTCCATGTTCACACAAGAACCATCATTGCAACAACAACAACCTCTCATGAAAAAGAAGCAACACTCGCATGATTCTGTTGTTGTTGTTGTGAATCCAAGTCGTCACCATGTTATTCAAAATCAGATGATCACAACCACCGTTCCATGCTCTTCGTCATCATCATCCAACAACAACAACAACAACAACAACACTCTGACCTCTTCTGTGCACCACATTCCTTCTGCTGAAATTATGAAATCCTTATTAAGCAGCATGGGATCGATTTCACAACAACAGCAATCCACATTGAATGCACTTCATCGATCTTACTCCCAACAACAACAAGTTTCTCAAATGCATGTCCTTTCCTCATCAACTCCTCCTCATCATCATCATGGTCAAGCAAGTCCCATTCCTCAACATCACTTGGTATTGAATCATCATCAACATTTACCACAACAATTCTTGTACTACTCTCGTCCACCACAACATTCAGTGATCAACACTATACCAACAACCATTTCTTCTTCGGATCAGCATTATGTCCATGCCTTGTTACAAGTATTAAGCTCAAACTCGGAACCTAATCATGGATCGATCCATGCAACAACGACCAATTCCAATGCCATCAGTCCTTCTCTTTCACATGATGCCATCCATTTCACACACATGAACCAGAATCCATTTCACACGTGCAATTTACCAATTTTTGGACAATCCGCTGCTACAACCGCTCTTCACAGTAGTGATCCACATGAAGAACAATCCTTTGTTTCATTACTTTCCAGTGGGGGTGGATTGGATGCTTTCACAACAAATAGTTTTTCATCCTCGGTGAGTAGTCACAGTCACTCGTCACCCAGTGTTTCGAGTCCAAATTTCACACCATCGAACAGTCGTGCAGCTGTGACATCATCTCCACAATCTGTTGTGAATCAAGGTGTTGATACTGCCATTCCATCCACGAATCAGAAAGGAAAAGCTTCTCCTTCGTCTCCAAGAATCAAGGCGAAAAGATCCTCACGAAAATCCTCGTCTTCTTCAACCAACACAGCAGCAGCAACAACAACTCATTCATCATTACTTGAACAAGATGCTACCTCGAAAGCAAACTTGCATGCAGTGAGAGACATGTTCCCAGATCCAGAGCAGAGAAATTGTGTCATTTGTAAACGATCCAACATGTCCTTTAAAAAGAATTACTTTGTCCATGCAAGTAATATTGAGATTTATAAGAAAACTTTTCCTGGATTGGCAGACAGTATTGAATTTGGTCCTGTGTGCTCGACCGATTTTAACAAAGTTTGGAGATATTCGAGAGGAGAGTACATTCCATCGAGTAATGGAAATAGTGGAAGAATTGTGAAAAATCCATTGAATGAAAACAAACCAAGTAATAAGAAGAGAAAATCGAAGAGTGGTAACTCTGAGCAAGGAACAAGTGCAGGAGGCAGCAATGAAGGAAATTCTTCGAATGGATCTTCGAGAAGTAACAAGAGAGTGAAAAAGACGGTCAGCCAAGCCATTCGTCATTCAGAGATACCCTCTTCAAGCATAATTGCAGAAGAACACGAATCATCCATTCAAGAATCTCATGACACCACATTGATGCATGAAGTATTGAGTAGCTGCTCGAATCAATTATTGGATCCATTCAACATTGGATTGGAATATCCAATTCTTGAAATGGATTGTAATATTACTGTGATTAGTTTCAAGAAGAAATCCGACGAGTCGTTTAATTTGATCAGTCTGATGCAAATTGCTAATCACCTCTATCAAGACAGTGCATTATGTACTTCAAAGAGTTATTTGGAGATGTTTAAGGAAGATATTGCACAAAGATACGCAGATGCAGCTCGATATTGTGACAACAATTCCATACCCGAGACCATTCAAACCAATGACATTCTTTCGATAGGAATTTTAAGTCAGAATCAAACAGATCCATTGATGGAGCTGGATGAACAGTATTTGCAAAATTATGTCCAGTCGAAAGCGCGTCAGTTGCTTCAAAGTGGAGACTGTTTAACCATTATCCTAAAATAAAATTATTTTCACTTTTCGAGCTGATGGACTTGAATCTTGCTTTTTCGTGTCGTCCATTCAATGTGCAAATCTGTTTCGACCTCAATCCAACTTGAACACCATTTACATATTCCTCTGCTATGGAACTTTTTTAACACTCCAATGTTTAAAGATCTCAGTCGCTGAGGTTTCCCTAAGGTTTCTTCAACAAGTCGTAGCTACTGTGGCGACAAGGGCAAACACAATGCTCACCAAACCAGACAAAGCAAAAAACAATAAGTACAGACTAACATTACTCGTGTCCCCTGTAAGGGAACAAAACCCCTTTAACAAAGGAGATCTACTCGTGAAACAGCAAATTACGGAACCATTTGCAATTGAGGAAAAATCAGAAACTTCTGAAAAGGGTAAAGTTATGGCTCTTTCTACTATTACCTCAGAACTGGCTTCATTCATCATGTTCATTGCCATCGGATCGCATAACTCGTCCGTGTTACCAACAAAACCCACTTGAGCTCGGTACCACCTTTGAGTAACATTACTCCTCGGGATCCATGATTTTGAATCAAGAGAAGAATTCACTTCCATGGTTTCGTATCTTGTATTCTCCACCCAAACCTTTCGTGGAATAATAAACCCGTCCTCACTCCCCAATGTAAAAACTAGCCACACCAAACAACTACCAGTAACACAGAAAAACAACAAAGAATTCAACACAAGGAACGTTACAGATCCTTTGGATCTCATCAGTCCCAAGCCTTGGCTGGTCCGACAATTAGGTGCTTGAGTGTACCTTATTTCCGGCTCTGTTTTAGAATTATCTTTCATCATCATATGGAACCACAATGCAGCCATTTTTATTCCTTCATCTGCCTTAATTATACGAAGACTAAAAATAAAAAATAAATATTCCATACAAAAGATGACAAATGTCTAGCTAGCACTGTTTTATTTTGTTTGACAGCCACAATAATGAATTTGATCTTCTCAAATCCATTTCTGTTGTCGTTGGCTTTGATCTTTTTGCATCAAAGCTCGTTCAAGTTGGAGTTGTAGTCTCTTGGCAAGTACTGTCAAATCTTCTCGATTGTTGTCTCTTGATTGTGAACTTGTAGAATCGCTACTACTCGTTGGCACTGCAATGGATTGGCTGTTCTGACTACCAAAAGAGGAAACCTTATCTTGGACACTGCTAGCCACAGGTAGGTTTTCACGTGCAGCCAGTAGTCGTTGGATATACTCCTCACGAGCTTTTCTAATTTGAGCTTGTTGATGCTGTCGTTTAAGCTCTTCTTGAAGTGCCAAGTCTTCATCAACATCATCTGCTTCTTTTTGGAAAAGTACGTCATGATCAGAAATGCCAATCAGTCCATCCAAATCTTCGAGGAATTTGATGTGGTCTGCAAGACCAGGTGCATCCTTTCGCTCATCTTTGTGAATATTGTTCAACCTTTTGCATGTTTTACTGATCGTTGTATCTTTCTATAATAACAACTTGTTGTTGAGAAATCAAGTCAAATAATAATTACAAACCACGTACCAAGGTGAACATCTCTTGCAAGTCGGCTTCTCCAAAATAACGATACTGATTCGACTCCACTGTAGCAGTTCTGGAAATGGTGTTCTTGGCTATTTGTTTACCATAAATATATTCTTCAATGGTTCCTGCTGTGATGAGACGATAAACAATCACGTTCTGACGCTGTCCAATACGATAGACTCGATCGATGGCTTGTTCATCTAGTTGTGGGTTCCAATTAGGTTCAATAATAATGACTCTTGAGGCACCAACTGTTGAGAAGATAACAAGCAACCACCGTGAAACATACAAAGAAACATTAAGAGCTCATGAAAAGCTGTGGATTTCACTTACCCAAGTTGAGTCCAACTCCTCCAGCCTGTGTGGTTAGTAAAAAGCAATCAATATCTTCATCTGTGTTGAATTCATCCACCAATCTCGTTCGTTCTTTGTAGCTGGTAACAGAGCCATCAATACGATTAAATTTCAAGTCCAAGCTCTTGAGCAGAATTGCAATAATATCAAGCATTCTAGTGAATGATGAGAATATCAATAAGCGATGGCCGTCCTCTCTATTTTTCAAAATTAACTCTTGAACAATTTTAACTTTGCAACTAGCACTAATGAGGTCATCCACTGGTTCATCTCGAATATATTTTAAAATTCGAGCCTCCTCAGCTTTTTTCAATCTTCTTTCGATTGCCTTCTTGGTTTTTTCATCAAGCTCATCAGCATCAAGAATGCCATAATCCGCACCCATGATTGCATCTTGGTCATCGTCGCTTTCTTCAATAAAATCCTTCATGTCTTCAGCATTTAATTGGTCTTCTTCCATTGCCTGTTCCTTTGCAGCTTGCTTCAAAGCTTGCTCTTTATGCTTTTGCATTTCATTGTATCCACGGCACATGATATGATGGTCACATATTTGTTTCATGACAGTAATACCAACTATTAAGGTAGTAATAATATTAAGAATGAAATGGGCACTATCTTTCATAAATGAATACATACCAAGAGGATTTTGAGTCCTATTGAGAACTCTCTTAACTTCTTCAGAGCTAATATAATCTTTGTACATTTGTTTTTGCTCTTCTGTTAATGTAATCCACAAAACCAAGTCATTCTTTTGCCCAATTCTGGAAGAAGTGTTTGCGCTTTTACCGTCAGTCTTGAAGAGTTGATTGTCTACCTTTAATGTTTCACTCTTTTCACGCATGAGTAGGTATGGTTTGATTTTTTCACGCAAACAGTCTGCACGAATGTTACCTAGTTGCTTTTCAAAAAGTCTGGCGTCTCTCTTTGTAGACCTATTGATGGCTATGGCGTAGGTTTCATTAAAGTCTTTTTGGGTGCCTAGTAGTTTGTCCTGTTAACATTAATTTCATCGAAATATGAATTGAAAAATTGTTCAGCCGAACAAAAACATACCTCAAACATCCATGAAAAAAGAGCGTAAAGCTCGTTTAAACGATTCATAATTGGAGTACCAGTTAAAGCAAATCTCGATTTGCTTGGAAGTTGTGCAATCTGAATGTGGCATTTGGATTTAGAATTCTTGATCTTGTGAGCCTCATCAATAATTACTGAATCAATAAGCTTGTCGTCAACAAATTCCTTCTTTAAAAAGTCCATGTGATTGCTTATTGTTTGCAGTGTGGAAAGCAATACAGCACCTCCATTGTTTGCTGCTCTGTTGAATTGCTCAACCATGCTGATTCTCTTTTTGTTTTGAACTTTGTTACTTCCAACATTATGAAAAACAACAACATCTTGAATTGTATCATCAGACCATTTTTCAAGCTCTCTTTTCCAGTTACCAATCACGCTATTTGGACAGAGAACTGTAAAAATTGAGAATGGAAATAACAAGTCCATGAATGTGACAAGTATATCAACTCAATCAACTTACCAACCACACGCTTTGCTTTCTTAGAAAGAAACAGTCCATGGATAAATGAGGAAATTTGTACAGTCTTTCCAAGACCCATCTTGTCTCCCAAAATACCGCCATTAAAGTTAGAATCAAAATGTCTTTCTGTGAGCCATTTGACACCTATCTGTTGGTGATGATAGAGACCTTCATAAATTTTAGCTGAAACGATAAATCCAAAAGGATTCCCGTCCAGTTCCAAAACATATTGATTGTTCTTGACATCAAATGACCATCCATTCTCAAGCTTGTTTAAATCTTGCAAGGTGGATGGCTTTCTGGAAGGCTGATTCTTCTTTGAAACAGAAGAGCTTGTAGGTGCAACAACTTTCTTTTCATATGCTGGTTTGGTAACCTTAATTTGATTATTCTTGGTTGTTTTCTGCTTTCTTTTAGAAGATCTGATATCTTCCATTTCTTCATCGCTTGTTTCAGAAATTTCATCAATCACCTCTTCTGAAGAAGAATAATCCTCAATTTCATCATCGTCTACTGGCTCATTATATTCTTCATCTTGCTCTTCTTCTGATGAAGATTCCTGATCAAATTCAATCTCTTCCTCACTATCTTCTGATAGCTCTGGTTCTTTTTTCTTGGAGGAGAGCGTTTTTTTAGGTGCTGAAGTGTTAGCTTTTGATGTTGGAACTTTAGCAACCACTTTCTGAGATGTTGCACTGCTACTACTAGAGGCGGTATTATTAAGCCTATTCATCTGTTGTGGTGAGACCGCTCTTGAAGGTCTTCGTTTCAACCTTTTACGAACTGGTGTGCAAGATACTTTTTCGTCGTCCGTGGTATCGCTTTTCAAGTCAGCATCACTGTTGTTCATGCATGTTGCTTTTCTCTTGTTCTCTCTTGATTCATTGAGATCAATAAGATTGAAAGATGTTTCGTGCTTAGTGGGTTGTTGTGAATGTTCCAGATACATCTCTTCTTCATCCTCACTACTATCGCTATTTTCAATGAGAATGTATTTCAATTCCAATGAAACATTGTCATCGTCGTCCGTATTCATGTTGTTGCTCTCATCACAACTACTGTCTGAAATTTCAATTACTGTTGGAAGACAAGGCTTATTGGACTCAACAGGTTCTGATGTTAGTGGTTTTACTAAACTGCTGTTAGTTTTTCTTCTAATCGTTAGCGTTGATCGTTGTTGTGTGCTTGTTTGATTCCCTGGCTTGGCATTAACAGACACGCCATTGGTATGGAGTGGTGATGATAACTTGGAATTTGCTGCCTTTTGAATTGTTTTAGGTAACTTCTGTTGTACAAGATCATCGTCTGAGCTGCTGTTATTGTCCATCATCGTTTGCTGTTGTTTGTTGTTACTAGCTGCTATATTAGCCTTGTTAGAAATGGTGCTAGAAATATCCTTTAGAGGGTGTGAGTTGTTTCACTCGGAGAGGAAGAAGGCTTTGATGGAGTGTGTCGGCCCACTCGTTGCGTTCGTTTTCTAAATTTCTTGAGAGTTACTTCTGTACAATCTTCATTCTCTTGTTCCGAGTGTTCCAAAGACCTTGTTGTGTTTGGGCCTTTTGTAGCTGATGTCTTTCCTTGCGGCATGATCGCCTTGTGTGGTTTTTTTTTGTGAATAAAAACTCTTGTGTTTGCCAGAAGACACAAATTTTTTGTTAACGGTTAGGCAAGGAGGGAAATAACTTGTAGCAGAGAATGTTGCACCAACAAAAAGCAGAATGATTCGATAGAGTCTAGACATAGATAAGCTTGTCAAATACTCCTCCTTTTCTAACTCTTCCTCTATGAAAATGCACAACATATCTCACACCCTTAAATGCCGTCAAAGCGGAAAGCATTCAAAACGGTTATGAAACGAAACCAATTTCAACCAAGGCAATGCTCACTTTGCAAAGAAAAGTACTGTTCATAAATTGGTAAGCAAATCATACAAGGTAAGAACATGAGATTCTGTGCAACCTGTCGAATCTAGAAGCTGTAAATCGTCAAAACAGTAAAGCAACTTTAACAAAAATATTGGTAGGTATTATTCATATGGATTTAAATACATTGTCCAAATCCAAAAGTGATATTGATTGCCAGCTTCCAAAACCAAACCATGATGTCAAACAAAGTTTCTTGCAGTTCATCAACCATTCAATATCAGGAAGACAACTCCACCTGTCATTTTTCGAAAAGGGATGGCGAATATATTCAAGTGCATCATCTCCGTTCTTGGTTTCTGCTACTCTAGTTCATGCATTAATTTCATTGACCAAAACGATCGCAAATTCAACATCAGAGTTTTCGACCCTTGTCATCATATTTTACAATTTCAGTTCCAACGGTTATGTGTTCACCTTTGAGACCACTGTTGCACTCATCCTCTTCGTTGAGTCTGATTTCGATATACAATGCATCTGAAGAGAAGAGTAAATTGGAGAAACAGAGATGTCTAGATGCACGAACTGCAACATCATGTGATCCGCAAGATGCACTCAAGACTATCTGTTCATGAACGGATCGATCTGATGCAGCTGCTCACACAACGCAAAAACACAAACCATTTACAAATTGATTGAAGACAACTCGTGTTGCAAAAGTGAGAATTTCCCTTTCTATCACTTTCGTTTCGGATTATCTTTCCTTCTCCATCTTGCTATTATGTTCACAAACAGAAATCATCCTCCGTTTTGAAACTCTTTGACGGTTTTTCTTGGCGCGCAAAAATTTGTTTTTGAAAATTGAAGACTAAATTGTTAATCGCTAGCCTTTTGCTTACCCGAATGCATCAACACCTTACTGTGCTTGTCGTTGATGTTTTTGTTTGTGCACAAACTCTTCAAAAAAAGAACAACATCTCTCTTGTCATTGGCACAGTGTGTGTGATTGCTGTTGTGCCATCCTTCATCCTAATATTATCAAAAACAGAACAAGCCTAGGCTTTGTGCTGTTTCATCATCATCAAACACAGCATCGCGAGCATTCATCATTGAAAAGCAATCCTCTGACCTGAATTCATATTTTGCTCGGTTAATTTTCAAATACTCCTAATTGAAATATATTATTTGGTCTTGCACTCAAATTGTTACTCTTGTTTTTCCTTTTTTTGTCAACAACTTGATTCACCAATATCCAAACAACAACATAACAACAACACTCAATAACACACTCTCTGAGTGATTAGTGCAAGCTCTATTCCACGCTTTCTCTCTTCGTTATCACCTCTCTTGGAAACCATTTCACAATACTCCATTAACCTATCACTTGTCTTTCTCTATTTCTCTCTTTGTCTATAAAAGTTACTTGAAAGATCTTCAAATCGATTTGCAAACTACAAAAGAACTCTTTACTCAATCACACGAACGAGAATATTCAAGCTCTCTCCTCTTTGCTGACCTTTTTAAAAAACGTAGTGCATCATCCTTTTGCTGTCATTCTTCAAAACAATCTTTCTAGGGATCGTTCACAAAAGAAGAGCAGAGTTTCTTACAACAGAATAACCACACAACTCGTTGAAAACTCTGATGATGGACACAAGTACCAATACTAGTATGGTCACAGTTTCTCTTCCTTCTTCCCAACCACAACAACCACAACCTCAACATCCAACTGAAACATTCTTGAACTCCCCTAATCACATCACTAGTTCATCGCTCTCCTCTCATAACCGCAACAACAACAATTACTACAACACCAACAATAATCATATCAATTCTCAACCAATGATGACATCCATGATGATGACAAACACTAATCATCCACAACAACCTGCTTCATGGAATACACAAGTAGTTTCAAGTCACTCGGTTCATCCTTCCATGACGAATAACAACAATCATTCAGTGAATGTGTTCCATCCATCACCTGCCAATTATAATTCTCAACAACCTTTTATGACTCCCAATATGCAACATTCATCATCTTTTCATTCCTCTCCTTCTTCTTCTTCCAATTCTTACAATTCAAATAATTCCACGATGCATGTGGTCCATTCCAATCATATTTCAAATAATTCCCATCCACTAAATCATTATCAATTTCCAGTTCAACAACAACAACAACAACATTACTCTTCCAAACAACAACACCAACCACAACAACAATATTTACATGTAAATAATAATTATGCAAACAACAACAATATGGAAGCTTCACACAAGATGTTGCCATCAATTTCAGAATGGTTCCGAGGTGGTCATGTGAATGAATTGACACCACCTGCATCATCACAAGAAACTTGTTCACACAATGTTTCTTCTTCAACAAACACTTCTTCCATTCTCATGACTTTGAATCAAAAGAATGTACAACAACCTCCCTCTTATGATGTTCAATATTCACAACAGCAACAACAACCATCCAATTCCATAACAAGAATGCAACTCTCTTGCTCACCTCCTCAACAACATCATGAGAAATCAACATCACCACGAATTGTACAATCCAAGTCTCTTTTACGATCCAATTCAGACTCTAGCGGAAGCTCAATGTCACCCAATCATTCTTCTTCTCATAATTCCATTCACAACTTTAAAACAATGATTATGGCCACGCCGAGTGCGACTTCTTCTCAAACATGTACAGGTAACCAAACTCAGCAAGCTGTCACCAGTCAAATTGTTTCCAGTTGTCCGAATGAGAATGTGCGAAAGCCAAACAGAGGAAAGGCTCCCAATAGACAATCCCATATCTCGAACACTGTAAATGCTGCAAATGAATCGACTGGTGTCGTTCATACAACACAACAACCAAACACATGTGTGAACAACCGTCCGTCGACGTTCCAAGATCAACAGTCGATCATGCAAGCAACAACAACAGCCAACCAAATGGATCTTTCACATGCTTCACCAGTTAAAGTAGCAACTACCGTGTCGGTTGTGGAAACTCGACCTGATAAGCGTCACAATAGCAGCAACATTTCACAACAAGAACAACCTGAAAACAAAAAAGATGGTATTGTGTTGGTCATTGAGAATGTAGAAAGTATCAAGCAATACATTGCAGAGAAGGAAATGGCTCAACAACAACACTCCTCAAATTCTGGATCACATTCTCGAAGAATTTCAGCAAAAGAGGTTTGGAACTCGATCGCTGCTGCCACCGCTGCTAACAATGGCAAATTTCCCAATGAAAATAAGATTAAGAAACAGTCCAAGATGAAGCATAGTAGAGCAAATTCTCCAATGAGCATGGGAAGTGGTTCAGTATCTCCGTCGGTGCTTGAACGACGATTTAGTAATGTTTCATTATTTGAGAAACTTTCATTAGAAGATGCAGATATGAAAACAAGTATCATTTCCTCGACGTCCCTTCAACAAGATCACAACATGACGAATCACATGTCCAATGGAATGAATAATAATCATTTACAGTGTCACAACACGACGACAGGACCATTCATGTCTCAAAATGCAAACCCATCTCCTCAACAGCAACAATATCTTCAGTCACCTCAAACACAACAACCATCGCCTATTCAACCAACAACGAACACTTCATCCAATGTCCACTTATTAGGGAATGAATTTGTGGACTTTTCTAAGGGAGAACATGAAATTCAAAAGAAAACTCGAGGTGAAAAAGTATACAAATTCAAAATGATAAAATTTTAATCTTTCATGAACGAGATCAGAACTCACAATTAAGAGTGCAACCTCTAGCAACTCGCATCGTCTTGCGTTTGGTAAAAAAAAATGGCTCAACTGCATCATCCGCTTTCTTGGATGCCTGTCGTTGAAAAGTTATTTCAGTTTTTGGATCCGTTACAAGAGGATCGGGTTTTGTTTAGGCTTGGTTCAACGTGCACAGATTGTTATTTGGCCGTTACATTATTAGCAAGAAAGATGCTCCTTCAGGCTTTTTTGAAAGGAAATGAACAAGTAGCCTTTCCGTTGCCTCTTGATGATGGAGCTTCCGATACAGAAATTGAAATCAGAGAGAAGGAATTGGGCGTTGGTAGATTTCCGTTTTATTTGAGAGAGTTTTTGAAATTGAATCGAGGACGTTGGAGCTGGAATGAAAAACTCATTCATCCGACCAATGTTGTGTGTCCCATGGAGGAATGGGAACCATTACATTCATCGACATATATCATGTTTTCAAGGCATGCATTGAACTCATATTTTACAACCAAAAAGACCAAATCATTGATATTAATTGGTTGTTTATATAAGAAAAGAGCTTGTGTGTTATACGAACCAATTTGTGGAGGATTGTTTTGTTTATATCAGAATAGGATAAAGAAACTGAGGAGCATCTTACATTGGTATTCAGAGCCTGTCGATCAAACATTTAATTTTGATTTTGTCCCATTTACCAAGATAACAACGAAAGAAGAAGCAATAGCAAATATTCAAAACCATACACGTGTTTCAGTATACCCATTTTTAACAAAACAATTGAGGGAGGATATTGACGTGGTTCTAGCAGCTACTCAACATCGGTACGAATCTGCAATTCCACTCAAGTATAAGGACGATCCTCAATTTATGCTAGAATATGTTTGCAGAAATACTTTTGCCTTTTTCTTATGCTCACCGAGACTGAGATATGATTTTGAGTTTGTAAAAACATGCGTCAAGAAAAACGTGTTTATTGTCATGTTGCGAGTGAGTGACAAGTGGCGTTATGATATTTCATTCAAATTACGCAATTTTTTAAAATCAGAGATGATTGAGTTTTTCAAACATGTAAACATCAATTTTCCCAAGTTGCGAGCGCTCCCAAGATTAAGGAACGGTCCTTTATACGAACAAGATCGAGGGACGGTGATTAGTCCTTCTTCGGCATTACGAGTCGTGCAAGAAAATGGGTTATTCCTTCAATACTGCTCTGAAGAAGCAAGGTCAGACAGAAATATAGTGAAACAGGCCATACAGGAGAATGGTATGGCATTACAATTCGCCTCTGAAGAATTGAGGAACGACCTGGAGCTTGTCCGTATAGCATTACTGAATAATCCAGAGATTTATAGTCATCTTTCACAAACAGTACAAGAGGATTCATCTATTGCCTTAACACTGGTATCCAATTTTACTGATCAAATGCATCGAATTCCAGAATGTCTAAAGATTAATACTGATTTTCTGTCGAAGGCCATTGATGCAAATCCAAATAATATTTGGAGTTGTACATCAGCCTTTCAATTTGTAATGAACGATTGCAAAAGAAATTATTTGAAATATCTACTCATGCCAGAGATGCCTTTGTACGTGCTTGTTCTTAAAATCCCACGAACTGATTGGGGAAATTTTGAAGTTGTGGCGTCATTGAGTTTAATGTTAAAAAATTTTAATGAAATAAGAATGACAAAAAAGAAAAATCCGACTGTCAGTTCGGTGCGTTGTGAACAAGTAGTCATGAGAATGTTGCGAGATCCTACCAAGATCATGAACGTACGAGAGGCGATATTTCAAAATACTTATGGAATTTAATTTAGGCAAATCGTTAAAAGCACATTGCTCTCAGGAATTTAACAATATTATTTACAACAACCACGCAAGTCAATACTTTTTAAACTGCAGCATCCACAAGCGTGTGAACCATTAGTTTACATCAACCCATTCTTCTTATGAAGACAAAACATGTTTGCAATTCCACTCACTTGTTCATACAAGAGTTTCTCTTCCTCTGCAGTCATTTGATTCTTCAAATCACCCTTTCTCAAGACACTCCAATTGGTGAAAATGAATTGAACGGCCTTGTCATGAACCTCTTGTTCTTCACCCTTTGTGGACATGCTGAAAATTCTACCAACAGTTTGAAGAGTCATGTTCTTGGCAAGTCTCTTGGCATATTCACCCAACACACCAATCAAACCAATTTTCTCTGCGAACTGGAACAATTGATTCACGTCTTCCTCAGAAGTAATTCCAAACTTTTCACATGCTGCATCAAAGTCATCGCTGTAACAGAAATGAACCATGGCTCGGATATGCTTCTCTGAAGGAGGTTCAAATTGATCCAAGTCAACTTCCAATGGTGAATTATAATAATTTTCCTTTTTCTGTGTCAAATATTTGACATACGTGTCAGGAATCACATATGGAGTCGAAGGGGCAGAGGATGGTTTGTTGGCAGTAGGAGCTGTACTTGCCAAGTGAGTTCTAAACCAAGTGCAATGACTGGCCAACACCAACCGATGCATTTGAATTGGTTGTTTCAACAATTTCGATTTCAGACTCAAATCAGCAAGTGGCAACTTGTCTGCAACATTTGGCAAGGTGTACTTGACCCATTTGGCAGTATTGGTTCCTGAAGTTTTCAAAAATTCTTCCACTTTTTTGTAATTCTCAAATTCCTTATTAATTTTGCCTGTCAAGATGTATTCGAGAGCTTTGTTGGTCACATCAGTGTCATAATTGACTTTGTAAGTGGCGAGGCCATTTTTTTCTTTTTTGAGAGGAACAATTTCAGGAGCATTGATTTGCATGAATAATTGGAAGAATGGAATGGCGTCACCATTGGAGGAAGTGACAATGGCATCATAGAGATGAGGAAACTTGGAATTAATCTCTCCTCGAGAGGCAACTAAATATTTGAGAGATTTTCCAGGATATTTACTTGAGGAAGATGACATGTTGTTATACTACTACTAGTACAATAATAATGAAAACGACTCGAGAAACAGTAACACTGATACTATTCTTGATGCAATTCTCAGACACAATGCTGTCAGTAATTTAACTGGGAGATGAGAGACAAGAGTAATTGAGACACAAATTCGGTTTTCAAATATCGCCAATGATTCAACTTGAGGCAACTGTTGGCGAGAGAGATTGTTGTTTCTGCCACCACACAACGGTTTGTGATTTTTTTTTGTTTTTAAATTCATTCCATGACGAAGAAAAGACTGAAAAACTGTAGAGACCTGCAACCGGTTGTTCTGACAGACGTAGAAAGAACAAACAAAATGGAGGAGATAACTTATCGTACGGTATGGAAATAAGTTTCCAAAGGACCAACTCAACAATTTTGCAGTCACGAATAGTAGTTTGCAATGATACCGTGATGGCGAGTGACAACCTTAGATGAAATTAAAGGGTTCATACAATCGGTAAACACAAAAATGATCATCAAATTTGACATCTCGTTTCAGCTTCTTTACTCTTCTGTTGATGTAAAATTCAAACTAATATAGGCTGCACTTACTTCAAACATCCATCGATGGTAGTTTTACAGGTCGTTTTTGTGTTTCCACTAATAGGGCTTGCTCTTCATCTTGTTCTTGAACATGTCTCAACAATCCATTCATAAAGACATTCAACATGGCATGGTGAGTTTCAAATTCTTGTCGCAGCATTAAATTAATATTTTCTTCAGTCTTTGAATGGATACCAACTTCCAAGATCCACCAAAAAGCAGGAACGTACAACACTTCATGTTGATCTACTTCCACAGTTAAGGCAATAGCATCTGACAGGAACGACTTTTTTTCATTTTCAATAAGATTAAATGGATCCAGCGAACTATACACGAGACGACCATCGACCTTGTCATTTTCAATTTTCCAATCCATAATTTTCGCTCTAGGTTCCATCATTTGGTTATGAAACGGATCAAATAGCATCATTTTCGTTTTTCCTTTCACTTGAATGAATAAACTTTCCTTATTGAGCTGATACATGGGCAAGACGAAATTATTTTTCAAAACATCATCCGAATAGGACAATCGCATAGAAATGGATCGTAAATGAAGAGTGTCATTGAGGAAAGAAGGAGCTATGGGAAAACTAGATTTCAAAAACTTTTCAATTTTCAAATCCTGTGGAGAAGATGTCACAAAATTTTGAATATAAATTTTTTGATAAGGAATCATAAATCCTCCTGGTACGTAATTGGTTCTCAATTTTTCATAATCTAAATAATGATTCATGAGTGCTTGCCATGTACTTTGTTTCCAGTCAAATGTCAATTTTGGATGTTGTAACACATTTTCGACTTGTAGTTCAGCATCTGTTAATAAATCGTCAATCATGTGTTGAAGAGAAATGACACGTTCAATTTTTGAATCTTCTTTGGACAACAACGATTCATACGACACCAAATGAGAATCTTGTTCATTATTTTCTTCAGAATTTTGAGAACGTTTGTCACGATTTCTTTCTTGAAATGCCAACTGAATCATTTCATCTCGTTTTAAACTTTGTGACGAAGTGTCACTTTCTTGATGAGATTTGAATGGAAATTCTTCACCAATTTGATGTAACAATGGAAAGATATTGGTTCGGATGGACGCAGCAGATTGTTTGTGAGATTTGTGTGAAACTGTGTAAAACGATCGTTTTGAAATTTTTGAGAGAAAAGTGTCATCCCATCCAGTTTTGAAACATTTCCAAATGGATTTTGGTAATACTTTGGAACCAGCTAATTTGACTGGTCTTGCATTGGAAATGAAACTATTGAAAAAATGTTAAAAAAAATATTTAGAAATTTCAAAATCAAAAATTCAAAATTCAACTTACTACTTGAAAAATATATTACTTTTAGGCAATTTTTCTCTAAATTCAGGTACTCGTGTTCGTTCTCCTCTCTCTTCTCCTTCCATCTTTTGAATATCTTTATCCAAATGAATTAATTGTTCATCATCTCTTTCTGTTGAAATTCCAGCATACAGAGTATGATCCAAATTCATTTTCACAGCTCCAGATTTTACCACATCCAATATCGAACGAGAAACAAACTCTTGTGTCATTGTAGGTAAATTCTGCCTCAATGCACGGTACGTCACATCAACACTATTTTTAGTATTTTTGTGAAATTCAAAAATCATGGAATAGAACGGTGCCAACATCAATGCACCTACAAAACATCCAACACTAAAAATCAAAATAAATAACAATGCATGTAAAATTTCTAATTTATCTCCTTCTAAAAGTAAATTCCGATGTCGATGATACCATTCAAAAATTGTTAAAAATTGCGAATGGAATTGTTCATAGTGATGAGAGGTGGAATTTTTGTAAATTTCTCGAATTTCACGAGGAGTGTTTGTGGCGTAAGAAGAATCGAATTCTGAATCCGTGTTGGTGTGTAGTGATTGTTGTATTTCCTGATTTGGAAATTCGGAAAGAGAAGGAATGGAAGGAGAATGATTGTTGTTGTTATTGGTATTGGTTGCGTCATGATGAAGGTGGTTAGGGCTCATGGAGAGTGATTCGTCTTGCGATGTTGTTGGCACATAACTCAAGGACATTTTTTTTATGGATCAAACACAAACTGTCAAATGTCATTTCACACAGATCGTGTCATTCACCAAAATCCTCAATATAACAAAACACAACATTTTACATTTCTGTTACCACTCTTACATGATCATCCATAAACGACAATATAAAACTATCTCCAAACAAACAACCAAACAATCCCAATGTCAAGAAATTCAAAATTCTCAAAAAGAATTCTCGCACAAACAAATCGCATCCTTGCAATTCACTTCTCAACATGATTCGATTTGGAGAATGTTCAATTCGAGACATGACTCGATCGGTAACCTCATCAGCTAACACAAATTCTCCTTTCCCGCCAAATGTCACATGTCTCATTCGATGTCTTAAATACCATGCCTTAATAAAAGGTCCCAAACAACCGAAAAGTAAAATATTTAAAACCGTAAAGAACCAATGCGTGAGTTCAATATATTCTCCACAATAAGCACTGAACCAACGGAATGAAGTAGCACCAGTTTCGTACCAAATAATTTTTTGATGAGTCACAGTGGTGGAAATAGTTGAGGAACGATTTCCCATTTCTGGATTTTGATGAGTGACAGATACTCGAGTACCAATAGGAACAGAAATAGCTGGATCTTGATCTTCAAATCGATCTCTCCACATTAATCTCTGATCGAGTTTTGAATAAAAGAAATGATGCATTAATCCCAAAGCTGTCCACAATCCACACGTGTAAAAATTCATCAAATGATTCATGACACTGACACATGTCATGACATTACAATCATTGGAAATATCCAAATCAAGTCTTCTATTTCCAACTCTCATATTTCTGACATGATACCTTGTTAAACGTAACACACAACAAGCTTCCAATAATCCACACCAACACAATTTTCTTGGAATCCAAGTAATTACCAATAAAAGTAACCAACAACAATCTTTGGACGTGGTGTCAAAAACTCTTGAATGAATGGAACGTTGCCAACCTGAACGTAAACTCGTCATGTTCGAATATTGATTCAAAAATGATGATCCCATGGTCGATAATTCTGCCAATTCCACTTCCGCATTTGGCATCTTTTGATATCTGTCAGTATTCACAGTACATTTCACAATACATAAAATCACAAATGAGAGCACGGAAGGAACAACAAGGATCAATACGATGGCACTTGCTAACGCAATGCCAATAATGATAAGATATTGACCGATCGGGAAGCCAATGACATCATCAATGGTTTGTGTGGAATGAAAATTAAAAATTGAATTTGGTAAATAAATAATTCGTTCATCGACGTCGGGTTGGGAAGAGGACAATGAAGAATGATCACGAGGAGAAGGGTTTGGCATTAGAAAGGAGAAGTGTTGAGAGAGAGCGAGTGAAAGACGACTCTCTGGAATGGTTGCTGCTTGACATTTGGCAGATGTCTCGAGCAGAATCATTGCAAAGAGAAGAAAAACACACCACCACGTGATGGTGGTGACAAGAAATTTGCCTGTGAGATGAGACATGAAAAGCTCTAATTTTTTTTTGAATATCAGCGAAAACTTTTGTGAAATTTGACGTTTCTCCAAAAATTTAAATTCATAACTTGTTTTAGAAATCTGTTGACAAATCTCAATTTATAAATAATTTTATCTGGAAACCAATTCATCATTTAATAACAATTCCATCAACAACAATATCTTTATCATTTCAGAAATTATTTTCATTACAACATCAAGTTGAAAATTGATTGTAAAAAAAATGATGAAAGACACTTTATCCATTCAATCCAAAGAACCAAAGAGTGATGATAATGATGAACCTCTAGAAATCATTCCGATGAACAAATTCAATCATCCAAACCATAACAACCATCCATCAAAGAAGAGAAGTCTATGGATGCAACAAATTCCGATTCATCATGGCTCGAGTGATTGTTTTGAAATTAAAAAACGAAAATCATTGTTTCCGTCCCATACAGATGAACATCATGAAATTTTTATTTTTCATCCGTTCCATGATGAGAATATCCTATTTTGGATGTTGCAATTTTTGAACTCGGAATTTCTGATGCGAGTGTGTATGATGGTTTCTAAACAATGGTTGGAAGTGGCATTGAAAATTCCATTAGAATTTAATTTTAAACGCAAAATTTTCGATAGTTCATTGTTGTATCGAATGGTTTCATGTCGAAATGTGAAATATTTGAAAACTTTAATTTTAAATAATAATACGATTGGAGATGCAATCGTGAAGAGCATTGCTGAGAGTGAAAATATGAAAAATTTAACATGTCTTGGATTGGGTAATACCAGAATTGGATACAAGGCAATTACTGCATTGGCATCGAGTGAAATGATGAAAAATTTGAAAAGTTTGGATTTGAGTCTCAACAGCTTGTACACAGAGTCTTTTCTAATCTTGGCCAATAGCTCAATGCTGACGAATTTGACAGAATTGAATTTGTCCCGCTTGTCACTCACAGATCAAATCATGAACATCCTAACATCCTCTAAAAACACACAATATTTAACACGATTGAACTTGTATGACAATCAAATCGAGGATGAAGGATTGAAACTCATTGGAAATTCCATTCATCTTCAACAACATTTGAAATATTTAAACTTGGGATGCAATGACTTTACAGGCGATGGTCTAAAACTCTTCGTATCTACTCCAGTCATGAAGAATTTGAAAGAACTTGATATAAGCAAAGCACGAAATTGCGAAATTTTGGAAATTTTACTCGACGCTAGTTCCTGTTTGCGACATCTTGCTGCATTGATAGTCAGTCCTACTATGAATGATGATTTGTTGAAATTGCAACAACTATTACCACATGTTCGAATTGGAAATACTAGTTTAAGATGAATTGTGATGTTCATTAGGGCACAATTGCTATTTTCTCACTGTGTTTGCTGCCGATGTGAAAATGAGCTTGATATGGTATTGAACGTTAAATGGATCAAAAGAATGATGTTTGGATAAGGAATGGCTACGGCCATATCACGATGAATGCACCTCATCCCGTCCGATTTGAGAAGTTAAGCATCGTCGAGCTGCATCAGTACTGAGGTTGGAGACAACTTGGGAACCTGCAGTGCTACCTAGCCTTTTTGGTTTTTGGTTGCTTTAAATTTTGAGATGATCAATAATAACATTTCATTGACATAGGAGTATTTCGCCAGTGAGCTCATTAAAACACATTCCTCCAGGATAAAACATTCCATTCTTCTTAGTTGCCAGCGTTTTTCAAAAACTCCGTCCAATGTAAATGCAAAAAGATTGTCATAAAAGAAATCGGACACAATTAAGTGTTGTTGAGATGAACAATCAACAATTGTTGGAACGATAATCAAATGCAATCGGTGATAACTGGTTGAAAGTGTGGGTTTCTCTACATTTCTAACTAAAATCCATTCATTGTCATTCCTAGATGTTGAAAGATGTAATGCCTTCTTTAAATCCCCATTGGGTAAAGCTATGCAGCGAGGATTCGAAATGGTCTCTTCATTAAAGGAATGGTTTGGTTGTGTAACGATTTGTTTCAAATCAATTGTGTATTTCAAATGACTGGAATAATATCACGTTTCTACAAACAAAAACTTGTCCACTGAATACTGTAAACCCTTCAGCATTTGTTTCACCATGCTGATCATGATTTGGAATTTAGAGAAGAAGAATTGGCGTTTTCAACAACAAGTGCTGCTTCATTAAAATCAACTAATATTAACCGAACCATTTTAAAACATTTTTTTTTGCTATTTCACTTACAAATGTGTCGATAGTGATGGATAAAAAGAGACTCATCAACATTCAACAAGAATCTGAAGGTTTAATTCCACCTGAATTTAAAATACTTTCAAGTTTCTAATAGTGAACCAGCAGCTGGTTGAGTCACTACGCCCACTATACACACCAATGACTAAAATGTCCAATGTCACTTTGGAAGAAATGGAGGACGAAAACTTGATAATTCCATCACCTGTTTGAGAGACACTTCTTGTTGTTTGCACATTACTAAAGTCTTGAAAATATGGATACATGTAATAGCTATTGTAATTAGTGTATGCATAAACCTCTCTTCCCCATTTGAAAAAAGGTGTTACAGAATTTGGATTAATGTAATTATTACATGAACCTCCATCCTTAATTTCTAACTCAACACGTGTCACATTGAGTAATCTTGGAAAGCTTATTTGAATGGCTCCTGAAAATATTTGGCTGGGATAATTGTTGTGAGATATACTTGGAGAAACAGAGGAAGTGTAATACGAGTTTCCAATATTGACCTTCACTCCTTTCTTGAGATCCATCTTATTGTAATTCTTGTCTTCATCTGTTGCGAAATCAACATTAAATACAAACATCATTTCACCAACTACTTACACCATAATATGTCTTTCAACATGGCAATTTCATTCTGCATTTGGTTAAAGATCAAATCAATTTTCTCTTCCTGACTCAATGTTTGTTTCTTTAACTCGAATCGATAGGATACGCTTGCATCGAATGCATCATACAAGCTCAATACTACTCCACCTTGTTGATTGTTGGCAGACAATTCCATCATGAATTTGGGTGTCCTTGTGGTAATACAACTTTTGTAGTATCTAAACTCCATCAAATTGGAATTCAATTCCTCACATTTGTATTTATCGTACATGTTACTGGTATGGAAGAGCAATGTAGTGTGGTTGAGTACCATGGTAATTTGCAATTGTTGAACGACCAACTGATTGGAAGTGCTGGATTCTTGCTTGTTGTATGCTGTGAATTTGAATTCTTCATTTCCAGGAATGTTGAGATTATCTTGATTTCGTTCATTTTGAAGGGAAGCTCGAAGGTTTTCTAAAAGTGGTTTAGACTGGACAATGACACACTGATGGGAAAGTACGCAGAGAGTGGTTAACAAAAGAACCAGCAAGAAGCGACACTGTACAGCAAGCATGTTTGCTTTGTTTTTTGGTTTTGATAATTCCCAAGTGTCTAAAATAAGGCTTATCAGAATTGGTCATGCTGTCACGACGAGTAAATTGACAAACGACAGGTTCCTATAAGCGCATGGCCGTACTGGGGAGATATTAATGTATGCAAGTAAGTTGGACACAAAACGGACATCCATTAAGCTCCCTTAAACAATAGATATAATCTCTTAGAAGTTCGTACGGCCCTTAAGCAAATTGCAAATATCATCCTCGTTCCGCTCATAACTGAAGCGAACTAATAGCTTCTCTCGAGTCTAATCCATGCATACACTGTTTCAATTTCAACCAATAATTTCATGAAAGTATGTCTGAGAAATGAATAATAAATGTTCAACGTGATTAGATGCATTCCGTATTACCCGTATTCAACAAAGACTTCTTGCTACGTGAATTTTTCTTGCCTCATTTGTACATGACCACTCATCCAATACGACTGAAAGGCTCAAGTCCTCCTCTCTTTCTCTCTACAGAGACATGCCTTACCTTCCTCCTCCTCTCTTCATCATCGGAATTACATTTTTTTCATCAACGGTTTCTTCGAAGCAGAAGGGAAATTAGGAATTTGTCCTCATTTGGTTGGCAACCTCAACGGTCGTTTTTTAAATCCGAGAGCCATTATGACGGGCGCAATTTCAATGCCTTGCATACCTATGAGAATGCATTAAAAGTTGATGATGGAGAATGTCCTTTTGCTTTTCAAAACAAAAACAAACTCTTGCGCACACACAGCAACACTGTTTTTTGTTGACTCTGTCTCTTCATCGATTGACCATAACGACAGCATCAAAACAATATTAACAACCAGTATCCTTTGAACAGTTCTCGACGTCGATATTTAAGCCTGAATATTCATGTCTCTTCAACAACAACCAACGACCAATAATATACTTGTTCTCGGAATGACTCGTCGTATTCTCATGTTCTCAATGTGTCTAGTTGCTGCAACCATTCTCATTCTCTTCTTCCTTCCTTCCAACATTGAAAGTCAAACCTTGTCTTCGTCTTCAACTGTTTCTGCTCCTTCTCCTCGTAATCATACCAAAGACACTTCTTCAGTGAGTTTGGATCCTCTCGAACAAGATTTACAACAACAACATCTCCATGAACGATATATGCAAACGTTTTGGATTCATCGAGAACATTATAAATTTAATTCAGCAGTTTTGTTTGAGACTGTGACTTGGTGGTTGATGATTGTGATGGGAGTGGTGTATGTGGCTATGGAAGGACCAAAAACATTGTCGTGGTTGGGTTTGAATGGAAAGAAGAAGAAGGAACAGGAACCATTGAAGGAAAAGTCTCATTGAGTGGTGATGTGACATTTGGCACATTGTTATATTACATATTATTCATCACCTCTATTTATTGAATCAAATGGAATGATCGATTTGACCTTGTAACAAGAAATGGAAACATGGAGTCTATTTCATTGACATAAAACATATAGCCTTAAAAGATAGTAGTGCCAACAACAACAACAACAAACGTATTATTTATTGGGATGGTGTGAAATCAAAAAGCAAGGACTACGAATGGATGTAAATACTACAACAGAGAAATTATTACCAATTTTGAATATAATAAATATTGAATGTTAATTGTAAAAACCATGTTCAAATCATAACATTCAAATTAGCCAATGGTGACACACTTGCCATAAAAGTAATGAAACACTTTTTTACACATCGTCTTCGAAATGTAAATGACCCTTCTTCTTTTCTTTCCTTCCTCCATTGTGCCTAGAGTCTATTTCATGATCCTCATTCATTTCATGAGATGATTGCTGTTGTTGTTGAGCTGCTTCCATTTGAGCCTTTCGTTCTTTTCTCTTTTTCATCCAATAATAAATCGCAAAGACCATCACGACCAATAGAACGGAAATGACAAGCAGTAATAAACACACAAGAATGACACGTTCCGTAGAGGATCCAGAATTAGTGGTTGTAGAAGAAGAGGTTGTTGTGTTATGAGCTGATGAATTAGTGGCATAGAGAGTCATCACTGTTTGGAGGTTGTTATCATTGTTCTCGTTGTTCAATAATTCGTGAGCGGTACAACAGAATGAGGAAAACATGATCATACAGATAGCAGTTGCTATGATCACATTCATGATGATGAGGCTCGACGATGATGAATAAGAACGATGATGCACGTGTCGGGAAGAGTTGAAAATTGAGAGCGACATTTTTTATCATCGGCGTCTTGGATACAAATTTGGAATCAATAACAATTTCGAATGGATGACCATGATTGTGTAATATTTGTCCAACACACAATAAGGTTAAAATTCAGTTTCTTTCTTGAAACTCTTGATGTATCTAATCATGTGAACTGAACTTGGCTTCCTTTCAAAAGAAAATTATTTTCAATGATGATCGTTAGGAGAAGATAAGGATGACGATGAGGGTTGTGACGAGGTGTTGGTAAATAAATTATGGAATGATTTGTACAGCTTTTCGTTGAAGGTTGAGGCTTGAATCTCTGCATTGGAATGCACTTTCTGAAGGAGTTCATAACATTTGGCCAGTGATCGTCTCAGATCCATAATGTCATCTTGATAAATATCGCCTATCGAAGTTTTGCTGGAATCATCTGCAACCGTTGGATGAGAGTTATTGAAAGAAGAACTGGTTAGAGAGGTATGATCGGTCACTTCCTCAGTAGGAGAGTGTATCGAGTCGGTCTGAACGTTACTGCTTTCTAACACAATTGAGTTGTTGGGGCTTTGATTAAAAGTAGTAGTATTACAGGACTTTTTGGCAAGGGTTTCAACAGTTTCATGAATATGAGCTAGCTCTGACCAACATTCTGAAATACCTTTCTGAAATGATGGCGAGCCACTCCATTCAGGGCACACTCCTGTCACAACAAGAAATTTTACAAAAATGGTTGGACCTACTTTGCCCTCTGACACGAACATGTCCTTGAGGAAAGGTCCAGAAGACATGAAAGGTACAGCACCGGTGATATTATTGTGACTTCCAAATGGTCCAAAAACTTTTCCAGTGTTCGTTTCAAATTTAACTTGAATTAATGCTTCTCGTTGTAGGCCTGATACTTTTACAATAAATTCATTTTCAGAAAGATAAATGTCCGCTCCATCTGTACCTCCAGTGGGATTTCCGTAAGCTTTTAGTGTGTTGTTCGAATAATAGATCTGTAATAAGAAGACATTATAATCGTTCACAATTTGATGTCATAAATACAGTATTCCATATGTGTTATGTTTTGAAATGCATCATTCACTTACACCAATGTAATCAATATAAATTCCCCATCGAATTGCAATTTTACGAATTTTTAAAAAAGGCGAAACAATCCTCTTGAAAATATATCCATTGGTCGAATATTCTCCACTCTGTAACTTTTCCAAATTTCCATATTTAAACTTTATGAACTTGTTGAAATAGACTTGCTTTTGCTCATCAGAAAGAGGCACAAGTTCTTGATTCTTTTTCAATGAGTTGCTTGACGTTGTTGATGTTGTTGCTGAAGGACTTTCTAAATTATTAGAACAATATTTTCAATATAAAAATGATGTAATTCCACACACGTTGCATAATAATCCCGAATCAATCCTTGAATTTTCAACAACAAACCTTTTGGTACTTGAGTAAATCTAGAGATCATACTCATAAATTGGTCTTCGGAATATCTTCTCATCGTTTCAGGATAATTTTCAAATAAATAATCAACATGTTCCTCTAAACTCTCCAACGGAATATTTACTGGACCATCCGTAGCAGAGTTATTTCCACCCGATAATGAATTTGAACTGTTAGATGATGCCATGATGGATGATTTTCTCATTGCACCTCCAGAACTCGGGCTCTTCTGATCACTAGTTGTTGTAGCAATATTTAACGACCGAAGATCTTCTCCTTCTAAAAGGCTGTTCGTAGATCCTTCATGTACCGATGTTCCCATGAATGATTTCAAAAAAGCACCAAATCCACCACTACTACTGTTGGATGAAGGTGCAGAGATGGTAGAAAGACTTCTCCGAGAGACACCCGAATTCGGTGGTGGTGGTGTGGGAGATGGATTGGACATTCTGTGCGTGGTTGGGAAAGAAGGTTCCAAAATTTTTTTTTGAATTGGATTCGAAAATGAAAGTGAAACGAAGAATTTGTGTGTAAGATGAAAAGGTTGAGCTTGCAAAACAGCCACCCATGCTAGGAAGTGAATTAAAAGAGATAGCTTGTAGTTGGATGGACAGAATTTGACCACTAAGCATGAAACAGCCAATTCCTTTGATGAGCTCACATACCAAACCGCAACAATCAAAAGTAAATCAAAAGGTTAATAATAATAATTTCACGGTAAAACTTCTGTAGTATGCATATTTTTGGTTTGGCTTGGTTTCGTGTGGACAGCTTAGTTCGTCAATGTCACCCTGTTCATTGTGATGTGGTGTAATTCCCAGGATCTCTAAAGAATCAAGCTAAAATTTAAGCGAGAGGAATATTCGTAAACTCTTCCAAAAATGTATAATTGATCAAAATCAAACTCGAAAGTCGCTTTTTTAACATTCTTCCAGAGAGATGAGACCTTTCCATTGGAAAAATGTCTCGACTGCTTCTCCCTCGTGGTCCTCCCTTTCACTCCACATTTCCATTCCACTTCCCTTCTCTCAAATCGTTTTTTATTGTTTTCATCACTCTATTCCTCTTCTCACTTCTCTGTTCCTCTAACCATTTCAATGAACGATCATCTACTCTTCCATTCTTCACAAATTCTCCTCATTCCATAATTGTACAAGCACAATCTCTCACTTGTGAAATGACAGAAATGAATGATTTTTCACAACCTTGTCGATCGATGCGAGTCGGAACCAAACTTGCTTCCATGACCTATGCCAGATACATTGGAATGGATTACTATTACGATGCTTTTCCTCAATATTTATGTGAACTTGAACCATTGACAAGTTCAGGATGGACATGTTCACACTTTCTCAATGACACTTGGCTTTCACAAACGGCTGTGGAATTTTCACAATTATCCTCTCATTTCCATTCGATTGTGTTTTTAAATTCCATTCCAAATAAGAATCAAAATGACAACAACAGTTCGCCGATTTCCACCACAGATGAGAGAATGAAACGATTGGTCTTGTCGAAAGGTCTTTCATTTCTTTCACTTCTTTCTTCTCAACTCAATCAAACGTCATCTTTGAATTCAAAGGATTTACAACAACAACAACAATTTAAACAACTCGCTGAAAGAATTCAACTCTTCAATTATTGTTCTCATTGTAATCATTCTGAATTTACCAAATTTATGAAATGGAGATCTTCTAAATTTTCTTCTTTAAAAACATTGTTCGAAAATGGATATTGCGGAGGAACAATGTCACAACCACATGGAATTCCATTCTTATCCACTGATTCTTCTCAACAAGTTTCCATTGCATGTGTATGTCCGAATGGTGTCATTTCCAATGATTGTGGTTTCTATAGTGATTTTTATTATCCATTAATGATTGGTCCTCCACTCTATGTCATTGAATTAGTGGTCATTGTAGTATTATTGATATTGACAATCCTTTTGAATATCATTCCTAACATGAAACGAATTTCAGAAAATTATTCGAAATTTATCATTCATGGAAATCGAGAATGGAAAAGATTTCTTTTTGGAATGGCTGCTGATTTCAAACTGTATACCAATCTCTTGCTCGTTGTTTCATTACTGAGCTCAGCTTCGACTATTTCATGCAGAATGGCCAATCAAATTGAAGCAGCAACGATTTTACAGAGTTGTACTGGAGTGTTTTTGTTTGTGGCGTCCTTATATGTGCTATTTTCATGGATTGATGTGATTCATATTGCACTCAAAAGTAGAGCGAGTTCATCTCCAATCATTGTGTAAGTGATTTGGAAATTTTCAAATTATATTGTGTGAAAAATTTAACACAAATTTAACTTAAATTTTCAGATTATGCTGTCATTTGGTTGGCAGTTTCTTAATCTTACTCTTAACCATCTATGTCGTGATGAGTATTGTATCCTATTCCATGAATAATATTTTTGGAGGATTTGTGTATGCATTTGTGGCGCTCATTGTAGTACTCTCAATTGTGTTTTGGATTTTATTGCTTATTGTGGCAGGAATTTTAATGAAAATGTTATCAAAAACTCATAAGGTTCGACTTTTAGAATATCGATTTACCAAGTTTGTGATTTATATCTGTATTTGCTTTTTGCCAATGTTTGTTCAAATTGCAAATATTATAAGTATTGGAATTAATGAGTAAGTAGTGTCGTAGTGAAAGATGATAATTGTTTCAAATTTTTCATTTTCTTGACCTCAACTCATAATTCAGAGCTTGGCGATGTCGATTCTATAACGCACTCGAGTATCATTTGCTAACCTTTGTCAATAATACTCTCTCAATGGGATTCATTTACATTGTTTTCTCTAAGGAAACATTTTTCAAGACCATGATTGGAAAAGGGTGTAAAAAAGCGATTGAAAAGTATTTGCCATCCATTTCATCTGTCAAAGAATCACCAAACAAGTAACTTTATTCGTGTTGTATATTAATTTATTTACTAACGAACTCTTAATGAGTTAAATGTGTACTCTAAAACTATTGTGAATTTATTAAAAAACAATCCAAAGCGGTTCGCGTTTTGCATAAATTTTGCACCTTTGCCCCAACAGTCTTTTGTTTTTTCGACAACAGACACTCCGTTTGCTCTGAAAGACTGAGTTATTGTGAAAAAGCAGGGTCAATTGTGAAACTGCAGTGGTTTTTCTTCAATTAGCGAATTACTTTAACAATACCTTAGAATTTTATTGAGGATGAAGATCCTCAGGATGAATTTGTGTAAATTGTTGAATTGAGAGTGCAGTTGTGGAATAGCAGAATCAATGAGTTGTTACGATCGTTCTTTGGTTGTCGAAATTTAATATGAAATAACAATTATTTACATTGGCTATTGAGAGGTTTGAGATGCCTCGTTCTTCTTTTTCTCATACTCTTTACATGTTAATTGAAAAAGCTCGATAAATTTGTCCATATATTTCTCAACATCTTCCTTGGAAAGGGCATTCAGGTAACAAATTGCAAATTCCAATTCATGTGTTATGGAATTCGTGTAGAAAATGTTCGAAACGCCACATTGGCTTCCACACGAAGAGTAACCTCCAACTGATAATTCAACTGTGACGTTTTTCCCACAAATGGGTTCTAATTTTCCTAAATTACTGAACACCATTTGATGGGATGGTTTTCTGCTCATGTCAAATGTGCTATGAATGAATGACATGACCTTTCCCATGAATTGATACAGAGCTGTAGAATAGAAATATTTGCGGTCGAGAGCTTTTTTCGTGTCTTCGGAAATTTTCCAAATTATTTCTTCAAGAACAGCAGAGTCTTGAGACTTGTTCTTATCTAGGGCAAAGGAAATGGCACCAAAAACAGAAGATGCATAATTTCTTGTCACAGAACTGCTGTCTATTTTAAGTGGTGGCAATAGACATGGACGTAGATCGACTGTGATTGAATTTGTGAAGGAATAATCTTGTGAGTGTTCTTCCACAGTTCCAAAACAGAGTGTCCAAGCAAGTGTACAAACAGCATGAACAAAGGATGTCACAGTGATTTGCTTTTCATGGCACATTTTCTCAATGACTGCTGTTTCTGCACTTCCAAGACGTCTCACTAAAATATCACATGTGCAAGGCTCTGGGAAGTCCTTCTTCACAGGGAAGAATACTTTTGGTCTCAATCCATTATGGGAAGCAGTAGTATAGAGGAATTTGAGAAATTCGAAAAAATTGGTAACAGATGTCAATAGACGTGGATTATCGGCTGGTGCTCCTGTGCTGGAATGAGAAGGTTGGCTCAGTGAAGCATTTTTCAATAAAGCTTCAATAGGAGAAATAGGTATTGGTGTCAACCATTGATGTGCTTCAATATTCGCTTCAATTTTCTCAATTTCTTTCTTAGCTGAAGGATCTTTCTTTTCTGACAAGAAGTAATCCATCAAGACTGAAAAATCGGTCATAACTTGCTTAATGGCGTTTGCATCCATGATACCATGGAAAAAGGCCAAAGACAAAATGAACTTTCCTTTTGTGAAGGGAGAAGGAGTTAGAGACAAGGTCCACAATGGATGCAAGGAATTGTTTTTGTACGTAAAGTTGTGTTTCAATTCGTGTTTCACTCGATACTGGCAGAGCTCTTTGTCAGATGTCACCTTTTCCAAATTCACATCACATGTTTCATCGATCTTAATGTTTACAGGTACATTTTCCACAAACTTGAATTCCAAGGTGTTGGGCAAGAGGATGAAAAAATCTTCCCAAACTCTTCTGACAATATCTTCTCGAGTTTCATCTTCTAGTTTTCGTTTCCATAGTTTTGCAAATTCTTGTTGAATCAAGCTCTTATTGTCATCTTTAATGACTGGAACCGCAGTGAGCATGGGATGTCGATATTGCAATATTTTGACGCTTTTGTTGCAAATCTCAATCATTTTCTCAACAGAGATGTCCTTCACTACTGACGGCGAAAAGTTACAAATTCCAGCTACAGCCAAATTGTGAGTTCCCAAAAACAATTCACTGTTCAGCCAATGATGATTTATCGAGCAAGAGATGATAAGTGTTCATGACTTACCTTCCAAATCGTTGGAAAAAGAAGTGTTCCATGTCTGTCAATGGTGCAGTGTTGACAATTTTGCAATTTTCACAATTTTCAAGAATTGAGTTGAGTGATGAATTAAACATGACTGGCAACTCTTCGTCCGCCAATTCCGCACCTGCATCCTTTTGATGTTCTCGATGTTGCTTCAAATAATGATACAAAATAAGAGCAAGGCCTAAGGTTGACAAGAGACAAGTGCTGACAATCAGCCAATAGCTATTCATGATGACAAAATTGCCTAGATTTTGATTGCATTGCGAGTTGATCATGCTTCCGTCAGTTACTGTCAAGGGGGTTGGAGATGTTTGATGCGTGGTTATGACGTTATTCAATTTTTTTCTTTTAGCTTCTTTTCAAAACACCAATTTTAGATATTTGCTATGTTCTCGACTTGAAGGATTATTTTGGAAATTGGACCTCCTACCCCGAATCCAATAGAAGAATAGTAACGCTATTTCACTGGCCTTTGAAATTTTCGTACATATCACGATCATTCATGAATGAACATTGGATTGTTTCTGAGAAATTTCATCATCAACTGTATTTAAATAAATAAAAAGTGATCATCATCACATGAATCGCTGCACGTTCAATATTTTTTTTATTTTAAAAAAAATGAATGAAATTCAGCTCAAGATTGATCGGCAACAACAATTTGAAAAAAAGCAACGAGAACAGGAGGAGCAAAAACACGGAAAGAAACGAAATAGAGATTTTCAAAATCAAAAGAAAGATGATACAAATTTACCTCCGGGATATACATACAACTATGGAAATGTTGATCGGTCCCGTACATCAAAAGTGAAAGATAAAAGGAGTGCTCCCTTGCAGATTACGGCTGAACAAATCATCAGAGAGGCCTATGAGAGATCTGAAAAGGATATTGTCGCTCCGAAGCAGGATATCAAGGATATGGAAGAATTGGAGGAGTATCGACTTCGGATGAGAAAACAATATGAAGACAATATTCGTAAGAATAGATATAGAATTATTAATTATATTAGATATGCTCAATGGGAAGAAAAACAAAAACAACTTGAGAGAGCACGATCAGTTTTTGAAAGAGCGCTTGATGTAAATTATCGGGAGGTTAACTTGTGGTTAAGATACGCTGAAATGGAAATGAGAAACAAATTTGTTAACCACGCTAGAAATATTTGGGACAGAGCAGTAAGCTTACTACCTCGTATCGATCAGCTATGGTACAAGTATATTCACATGGAAGAAATGTTAAAAAATATTAATGCAGCCAGGCAGCTGTTTGACCGATGGATGGAGTGGCAACCAGACGAAAAAGGATGGAAATCCTACGTCAGCTTTGAGTTAAGATATGGTGAAATTGAAAGAGCAAGAAAAGTTTGTGAAAAATTCATTAGAGTACATCCTGAAATCAAAACATGGCTATATTACGCCAAATTCGAGCAAAAGTATGGCCAAGAAGAAGGAAAAGACAGAACAAGATTAATTTTCGAAAGAGCAACCACATTATTTGATCTTGATGTATTACTCAAGGCACAAAACTTTACTAGACAAAATTTGGATGAGGTGGTTGGACTCTATATCGCTTTTGCCGAATTTGAGGTTACCAACAACGAAATTGAAAGAGCTAATGCAATTTACAAATATTTACTAGATCGTGTACCTAAGGACTATGCCGAAGGCCTCTATCAAAAATTTGTTTCTTTCCAAAAGCAATTTGGAGATGCTAATAGCATTGAAAACGTCATATACAACAAGAAACGGTTCGAATTTGAAAATGATCTCAAAGAAAATCCTAACAATTATGATGTTTGGATTCAATATTTACAAATGACAATGGAACACAACGGATCTGATAATCTTGATGAGACACGAGATTTGTTTGAAAGAGCCATTGCAAATGTTCCACCTCTCAAGGAAAAACGTTTCTGGAAACGATATATATATATTTGGATTAATTACGCAATATTCGAAGAATTGACTGCCAAGAATATTACTAGAACGAGACAAGTTTTTCAAGGTTGCTTGGAGCTATTAAGAAGCGAAGAATATTCTTCTCCCAATATTAACTTCTCTAAAATTTGGATCATGTTCGCCCATTTCGAAATTAGACAACGGAATATTGATGACGCCAGAAAAATTCTCAACGCCGCCATATCCTGCCTTCCAAAAGATAAGATTTTCAAAGAATACATCAAAGTTGAATTATCATTGGGAAATATTGACACTGTTAGACAGCTCTTCCAAAAACAACTTGAAGTGTCTCCTTCCAGTTGCGAATCATGGAAGAACTATGCAGAGTTAGAACAAAAGGTAAAAGAATATGAAAGAGCTCGAAGAATTTATGAATTAGCAGTTAACCAACCCAACCTAGACATGCCAGAACTCATTTGGAAATGCTACATTGATTTTGAAATTGAACAAAAAGAATATGACAAAGCTAGAGCTCTGTTCAAGAGACTTCTCGACAAGAGTAAGCATGTCAAAGTTTGGATAAGCTATGCACTCTTTGAAAAAAGTCTAGGAAAAGATAACATTGAACGAACACGTCAAGCTTATGAAGACGCTTACACCTACTTTAAGAAAGGTTCCATAGAAGAAGGAGGTCAACAACAAGCTGCAGATGAAGAGGCTCAAATTTCCAAACGAGAGCAACGTTACCAATTATTACTATCATGGATTGCATTTGAGGAATCTCTCGAAAATAATCAAGAAATGATTAACAAATTAAAACAAAAGAAACCAACCAAGATCCGACGAAAGAAGAAGGTTCTCAATCAAGAAGGAGAAGCCTCCGGATGGACCGAATACATTGACTATGTCTTTAACGACGAAGAAGCAGAAGGAACAGCCAATAAGGCCAATTTGAAGATTCTCGAAAAGGCTCTCCTCTGGAAGAAAATGCAACAACAAAAGAAGGCTCAACAATAATATTTATTTCACCTATCACATGGACACACCGTGTGAAGAAGAAACTTGCAAGTTGATTACTCTTAAAAAATGCACAAAACACTGTTTCTGATTTTCATTCTCTTTACATTTTCAACATTCATTGACGATGATCATCATCGACACTCTCTGATTTCGGCCCATCCAATAAAAATGTCATATACCTCATCCCTCTTTCCTCCAATTTCATTTCAAATGAAAATCCATTCCTTCAAATTCTTCAATTCATTGACAGCGAAACCAAACGAGGCATTCCGATGATTCAAATCTCTACCACAAGCGACACCACATACATGAGCGATTCCAATGGAGTCATTGCCATCCTTGAGCCTGGACTCATTGGACACTCGGTTTGGATTTCCATTCCCAGTGATGGTCAATATCAATTTTTGAATGGAAGCGACCCCATTGTTGGAGTGAGTGGCATTTCAATTCCATTCTCTCAAAAGTCTCCCATCGTTTTAGAAATGAAACGATTGAAATTGGCAGAGAGATTGTATCGAGTGACAGGAGAAGGAATTTATAGAGATTCATTCTTGGGAAATGTGCAAGTTCCGAATATTTCACACGACATGATTTTGAAAAAGTTTTTATTGAATGAACAAGTCACTGGACAAGACAGCGTCATGAACGTCATCTATAAGGGAAGATATTATTGGTTTTTTGGCGACACAAATAATGTACAGAAATTGCTTGGTAATTTTCATGCCACAGCTGCTTTTACGAATTTAAAAGAAATTTCCTCGCTTTCAACAAGCCCAAATTTGACATATATTGTGAATGGGAAAGATGGAAATTTTGTGAAGGGAGTGGCACCTGTAGAACCAAAAAATCTTCCAACTTGGATTCATGCTCTGTATGTGGAAGATGGCAGCAGCATGTATGCAACCTATATGAAACCAGATTCTAATTTAAATATTGTGAAACGAGGATTTTTGAAATGGAATGATTATTTAGAGGAATTTGAGGAAATTTCTCAAATTGATTTCAATACTCAATTTTCGTATCCGATTGATGGCTCTCATGTTGTAAAGACCTCTCCTCACGATGCAGAGGATGGATATATTTATTTTGGCCAACCTTATCCAATTGTAAGATGTAAAAAGTATTTGGATTTATCAACCTATGAATCATTCACACCTCTCAAAATCAACACTTCAAATTCGGATTTAAATAATTTACAGTTTGATCGAGACGAAAATAGTGGAAAATTAATTTATGGATGGAAACGAGGCACGTCTCCTCTCTCGGCAGAGCAAATGGCACAGCTTGTGAAAATGGGCAAAATGAAACCTCAAGAAGCGTACTTACTGCAATTGAAATCTCATGAAAGTGGACAAGTCATTCAAGCTCATGCTGGAAGCGTGCATTACAACGCATTCAGAGATCTATATATTTTAATTGCTGAGCAGAACGATGGAACCGAGTCATCACTTGGTGAAATTTGGTACTCAGAAGGTTTGACTCCTATTGGGCCATTTCTATATGGTGTGAAAATTGTTACGCATCAAAAAATGGATTTTTATAATCCCTCTCATCATTATGAATTTGATGAACACAATGGAAAAATCATTTACTTTGAAGGAACTTACTCGAATTTTTGGACCAATTTGCCACCTACTCCGAAATACAACTATAATCAACAAATGTATCGATTAGATGTGAGTAAGGCTTCTGAACAAATACCAATTGCAGTGTTTAAGAGAAATGATAATAATTTTCACACCTTGGATCGTAAGGTCGTTCGAAAGACATCTCCCAAGCTGGTTGCTGTGGAATTTTATGCATTTTCCAAGCCATGCGAATCAGCATGTATTGCCATTTATCAACACAAAATGAATGACCAATATTTATTGACGTTGACCTCCAACAAACAAGATGATTCGCTGGAACCCATATTCTATGCATTGGATCCCATTCACGTGAAAGATCAACATAGTAACATCAGTCTATTTCCTTTTTATCAAGAGTTGAAATTAGGTGATGGCCACACAGTCCTTGTCTTTTCTCACAGAGATGATCTCATTGTTTGATAGCTAGATCTATAATTCTGGAATTTATTGAGTTACAAAGTTACATTTGGATGATCACACTTCTTTCAACAGTTGGTGAAGATGAAATTCTCAAGATATTGATTTGATGGATTTTTCAAAAGCTTTTTTGGTCCCTCAACAACAACAACAACACATAACAGTTGTTGTGCCCATCCATCCAACAAGTGACTGTGCCAAAATGACTCAATTTGGATTGTTTCATGTCCTTTTAAGGCCGGAGTTCACCAACGTCCGTACCTTAAAATACCAAACGGTTTGTTTAACCAACCTCAAAAAAAAAAGATCACTTCTCTCTACAGTACATTTCGCTTGATCCGATTAAGCAACGGTTAGAAACCACTGGCATAGGCTCTACTCTCTTATTCTCTGTATTTCATTGTTATCAGCCTTCTCATTATTGTAAATTTCATCAGCTTAAAGATCCTTTTGTAAATATGAGCTCCTCACATCTGAATACCCCACACCCATCCTATCTATCCAAGCACCGAAACAGTTTCAGTTCGGATCCACAACGCAACTCTTCCAATAATAACATGCACCCACACCACTCAACCATGGAATATTTTGGACATCATTACGCAAAGAGTGAGGAAGATTACAAACATGAAATGATGGCCCTTAGAAACATTCCTCACAAGACAACTTCTCAGTTGGTTGATCAAATGGATTGCGTCAAGCACGTCGTGAATATGCATCATGCTCCGCGTGGAGGAAATCATGGAGGTAGTCATGCTACTTCACATTCAACGGGATCGTCCTCCTCCTCTTCTCATCACCGAAGAAGTACGGGAAACCTTAAAGATTTGAAATCGTCTCCAAAACAACAATCTGCTCATCAACTGACACATAGCCATCATCATCATCATGAATCCTCTGCCTCAGATCATCATAAATCTACACACAAGAAGCATTAAGAGTCCCACAACAAGCCACACCATATGTCAGTTCCTTTCCTTAACGCCTCAATCACCACTCTTGACAACCACGATCATCATGATAGTTTTTTTGGACTAGCCCATTTCTAGGATTTATATTTTACCTTCACACAAATGTACATTACTTCCCTCGCTCATCCTTAGGCACTGGCCCTCTGTTCGTGCATGAACACCGAGGAATACCTGAACGCACTGGCGACAACCCCCAAAATAATAAACATGTTTGCTTCCAACGATTTCATTCCCAATCACCAGCGCAACCCCTCTGCCATGATCGTTCTTCTTCTTCCATTCGCATTCCGAAAAGTTTCATAAGGAACCTGCGACAGTTTTCCACTTGAACGACACAAGAAAAAAATGGCTGCAGCTCAAAAGAAGAATACCACCACGTCCTCTGCTCCTCCTTCTCCCGATTCCACGTCCACTGGAGTTCCAAGTAAAGGCTCATTATGGAAGTACCCATCGGTATCGTTATTGGAACGACCTTTTGATATCATTCTCGTCTTGTTTTATTTGACATTTATTCTTTCAACAGCTTTCTTTGATTATCACAATGTGTTAGCTCCTGCTCTCGGTGTTACTGTGAGAGATTTAATTGATAGAGATGTTGAAAGACCATTGAATTGGCCTCCACATTCATTTACCAAGACTGCTTTCAGAATTTGGGGAGAACAAATTGACCCTGTGATGATTACAAATCCACATTTTTGGCAAATTATGGAATGGATTAATGTTGTGTTTATGACTTTTGGTAATGCTGCAATGGCTTTGGCTTTCACTTTTGGATGGAGATCATTCCGAACTCTTGGAATTGTTCATGCTACTTCGCTCATGTATAGCTTGGTAGTTTGCATTGGTGTCGGAATGTACGGTGGAGAAGGATATGAAGGTAAGTTGCAGAAAATCATTGATTGTGACCATTTTCGGAATATTTTTAACGTGTGACTGAATTCAATATTTTGTCAATCATTGGAATCAAAATTGATGTTACCCTCGTTGACAGCTGTGAACAAGTTCCAATTCTTGGTGGCATACTCTCTCTATCTCACATTCCCAATTGTTATTATCGGAAGATTGTGGTATGAAACTCCAAATGTTTTCTGCAAGGAATATGTGAACAATAAGCCTTTCATGCAACATGTTCTTGAAGGTTTCTGTGTTGTTCATATTCTCTTCTTCATCACCTTCTTCTATCATTGGATTTTAATCAACACACCATATGTGTTGCCAGGCTGTCCTCCAATACCAGTGGTGGGCCCATTCTTGATGGAAATTTCAAAACTCAATCTTTAAATTTCATCTCCCAGCTAGATTTTTCCTTGGTGCTTTGAGTGCCAACAATTACCTAAAAAATAAAATCACAAATTATTTCATTAAGGTTGTGCAGTGTTGTAAGACTGTTCATTACATGGCTCAACACAAGGAAACATTTATGTGTTTGATTTACAGGTACGAAGGTATCATTACAAATAAATAATTGTTTGTGTCAATAAATTTCTACACGGAATCTAGTTGCAACATGTTCCCCTTCGGCCAGAATTTGTTGGAGGCGTATCTGTGCCTGGTTTTGGAATTATATGGGGTGTGACATCAGAAGGAGGGGTAGTCTCGCTATCCTTTGATGGCAGTTTGCGTGCAATGGCTACGAAAAGTTCATTCACATTTGTGGCTGCTTTTGCTGATGTTTCCATGAATAATAATCCGTTATCTTCTGCATACGACTTGGCTTCTGCTGTTTCTACTTGACGTTTATCTTCAAGGTCAACCTTGTTACCTGCAAGAGCAATAACAATATTGGTTGTTCCTTGTCTTTGAAGTTCTTTCACCCAATTCTTGGCACGTTGGAAAGAATCAACGCTGGTGATGTCATACACTACAATTGCTGCTGCAGCACCTCTATAGTACATTGGTGCCAATGATTTATAACGTTCTTGTCCAGCACTATGTCAGTGACAAAGAGTGAGCGACAATAATAATGTTCGCAATTCATCCGTATGACCATTGTGTTATGTGTATTTCATGTCATGAATTTGTTGCATGTTGGAACGAGCAAAAACAACAAGTGAAGCAATAGTAATTTGATGAGAAAATATATTCGCAAGAAGATGAAGAAACCTACGTATCCCAAATTTCAAACTTTACAATCGTGTCTCCCAATGGTACGGTTTGAGTCAAGAAGGCAGCTCCAATCGTACTTTCTTGGTACTCAAAGAATTGACCTCTCACAAATCTGAGAACAAGACTTGATTTTCCTGTAGTTGTTGTTGAAATAAGTTGACGGAATAATCAGTTTTTCCAATATTGAGAGGAGCATGATTGATCATTATTGAATTTTCAAATGTTATGCGTTGAATATATGAATAAATTCACCATTATAATAACAACACTCACCTACAGAGCTTTCTCCAAGAAGAACCAATTTAAATGGAACAGCTTTAGCATTAGGATTAACAGCGTCAGTAGACATTTTTACAATAGTAGTTATTATTATTGGTGTTATATATAATTATTTGATGATGATGAGTTTTAATCAACAGCCACTTCAGACTAGTTATTTATGAACCCGAGAGATGATGAGCAGGAAATATCAAAAATTTCGGTTATGAACGTGATAGCGGAGTGCTTTCAAGCGATCCTAAATATAAAACCCTACAAAGAGTGATGAAGATGAGTAACACGGAAGTAGAAAGAGAGAAGAAGAAGAGAACAACGCTGTTGGCCACACGAAGTTGAAGAGACGTTGAGCGGCGGTTGATTTTTTTGAGTTGAATACCAGGTTACAGCTGGACGATGGAGTCGTCCGTTCTTTGGAGAGAAAGATCAAAGGCTTTGGGAACTCCTGATGAAAATTCCGTAAGAACCAATGTGCTGGAGCTAACATGGAATTTGAAAATGCGAGGCGAACAATAAGGAACATTTATGAATTGGTCAGTGAAGGTTTTTAAAATTTGGAATTGAATGACTGTGGGCCACTTCAACCGTTGGAATCATTCCATGGGTTCCAATAACAACCTTAGAAGCAGAACTGAGCGATTTGTTAGGACAAACGCTTTTGCTGCCCGTTAGCTACCACTCTTCAACTCTGAACCCGCTCTTTTTCTTTGACCAAACAAAATCGTAAAAAAATGTATGAACCTCATGATCTTGAGGAGGAATTATCAATTCATGAAGAACAGAGAATTGAGGATCGAGAAAGCCAAGAACAAATTGATTCATCGGAAACAATTCAAAACGAGGAAACGAATGAAGAGGAAGTTTCTCATGTCAATGAGGTGTTGTACACAAGCGAAATGAATCACAATGAGGAAAATGAAATTGAGATCGGGGAAGAGGAAACCAATGAGCATCATCCTTACGAGGCACTTGACAATATTGATGAAGAATCAACCAATATTCAAACCATGATGAACGATGGTAACTTTGATGAAAATGGGCTGAAAGTTGTTGAGGAAGAATATTCTGAGTTGAATGAAACAAAAAATGTGAATGAATCCATCAACCAGTCCATTTTGGATGAAACAAACATCCGTTCCATCCAAGAAGCCAAAGATGACGACAGCGCACTGGATCTTCATTGGGTGTTTGGTATGAACAAGGACACACTTGGCGGAATGCATAATTTATGTGATGAAACGAGAAAAGAGGTATTCTACATTGCCGGAAATGTTGGAATAATTTATAAATATGAAACAAAAGAGCAAATTCTGCTGCAAGGACATGTAAGTGTTTAGAGTTGCGATTTGTCAACATGGGCCCACCAAAATTATTTTCTAATTATTAATGATTTAATATTAACATGAATTTAAACAAATTGTTTCTCATTATCAAATTTTCTGTTATTTAGACCAATATGATTACATGTTCATCAGTTAGCATGGATAAAAAGTGGATTGTGACTGCTGACAGCGGAAAAGAAAACATGATTGTTGTGTGGGACAGTGTCAAAGGAATTCCAGTTAAGACTATTTTCGATCCACACCCAGTAGGAATTCAATCGGTTGACATTTCTTCTGACTCACTTTTTATTTATTCACTAAGTAAGCCAAGCTCAGAAGGAGAGCAGCAGATTTCATTGTGGGAATGGACAGAATCAAACGAAGGGGCATTGGTGACTGTCACAGCCCCGAGTGGAGAGCCACAAACCTTGCTAAGGTGTCACCATTCCAATCCCAACATTTTTTTAACAAATGGACCAAAGAGCATTCTCTTTTGGGAACATGAGGACGCCACTCTAGAGTTCTTCAGCCCTTCTGTCACAAAAAGTGATTTTGGATCCGCTTCAAGTGAATTTGTACAAACGACTTTTGTGGCTGGAACCACTATGGCTGCTTCTGGTACCACTGACGGAGAGATTGTTTTGTGGGAAAGAAAAATTTATCCTGATAGAGAGTCAAAGGAAATAGAGAAAGAGGCCATGAAATTTGTCAAGTAAGTAACTAAATATTTAATGCTTATTGATTTAACTACCATTATAGAATACATCCTGGATTTAGCGTGAACTTTATTACATGCGTTGGTCCTTATATTGTGACGGGTGGAAGCGATGGGTTTGTAAAATTTTTGGATCACAAGCTTAGATTGGAGGCTTGGTTTGAAGAGTTTGATTTAGGTCCAATTACTTCAATTTCTTTTGACAAGAGTAGAGGAAAACAGAGACCAGATATTGCAATGACGGAGGAAGATCTCGAAAGCATGGTCAGGAAAAATGATGAGTTTTACTGTCCCGATTTTATCATTCAGACACGATCTGGATTTTTAGCCAAAGCAACCTCTACATCATTCAGCGATTATGACGTCGAGGGAATGAAAGGCCGAATTTTAGTTATCAGTCAAAATGAGTCAATCCAAACTCTCGCAGTACATCCATCGAAGCCATATTTAGCGATTTCAGGAATGTCAGGCAATGTTCACATTTGGGATTATCAGCTCAAGGATGTTTTAAAGTAATGGTGTTGAAAGGTTTATATATTTCATCTCTTGCATTTGACAATAAGGGAGAGTATTTAGCTGTTGGATGCACGAATGGCCATGTGAAATTCTTTGACGCTGTTCTATTCACTGAGATACCGAGCTTGGCCTATAGACCATCAAAGGCATGCATACAATCTTTGAAATTTTCGCACGACTCGCTGTTTTTGGCATTTTCAGATTCTGACAAGTAAGTAGAAACGAATTTAATTGCTCTTTTAATTGTTGATGAAAAACATAGTTGTGTGGGAGTCTTTAAATTCATGCCAAATCCTCAAAAGAAGGGAGCAGGAAAAGACGAATGGATTTACATTGGAAGATTTAAATCTCACAAGAAAGCCATTACTGGACTCGAATTTGGAGTCGAACCTTATGGAGACATTCCACGATTGATGTCTGTTTCTGAAGACCGACGACTAATCGAATACGATTTAGAAAATAGCTCCATACAAGGAGGTTTAAAGGTAAAGACCATTCACCGAGTCAGTCAAGACGCCATTCCAACTGCTTTTCTATGGACTAGGGATGAAAATGTCATTGAAACCTATCCCAATGAAAAGAAGTATTTTGACGGACTACTCTTTGCCAATGACCAATACAAAATCATGTCCTTCATTACACCATTTGGAAACAGAGACACACGATGTAACAGAACTATTTTGAGTCCAACCTATGGAGGTCCACTCAATCGACTGCTCCTTGTTCCAAATATTCACTACAAGGATGGATCAACGTTGCCAGAGTATCAACCACCCAAACTCGTGGCATATTCCACCTTTGAAAAAGTGATTGGCCTTATTGCTCTTCCACTCGATGGAAATCCAAAACATCATATGGGCTTAATTGCTCACTCTGGAGAGATTACTTCTTGTGTGGTCTCTCCCGATGGAAAATATTTATTTACTGCTGGAGGAAGTGATTGTATTGTGAACCAGTGGGAGATTAATGGAAATCCACTCTTTAAAAACAAAGAAATTGATGAAGGAATTGAGCCCTATGTGAGTTTGATTGAGGGTGGTGCTCAAGGAGAGTTTTTCCAAGAAGTTCAACAATACTTTTACTATGCACAGATTAGAAGTCAGGGTGAGATTACTACAAGCGAACGAAAGATTACAGGAAGCGTTCCTATTAATCAAGTACCTGATTTAGTTCGATCACTTGGATTCTATGCTACTCAATGGGAAATTCAGAACATGATTAATGAATTGAGAGTGATTAAGGGAGTTGCAGATCCTTCTGAAACTAATTCCTCTGTTGACAAGAAGAGATCTTCGTTGCCTTCTAAAAAGGAGCCTGAAATTTTCATTGATTTTAACACATTTGTGAAAATTTATGTAAATCATAGACCAGTATTTGGCATCCAAAGAAAAGATATCGAAGAAGCATTCCAAAAGTTAGGTAGTGAGCCAATCACTGGTTTCATCAACAAGACAGAGCTTTTCCAAAAATTGAAATCTATGGGCGAAATAATGACAGAAAACGATCTCAATGACTGCTTGAGCAAATTGTTGAAAGAAGCGGTGACGGTCGCATCTCTCGAAGAACGATTTACATCGATCGAGTTTGCAGAAAAGCTTCTTGGCTTTACGGAGGAAAATGCCTAACTACCATTGTAAATAATATCAAAAACTCTTTAATCATCACGTTCATCTAATTTATCATCTTTTTGTATCTCTTGAGCATCTTCCTCTTCGAACAGTTTCGAAATTGCTTCCTTAATTAATGGGTTCTCTTTTGAGCTGTCCAAATCAAGAGCCATGTTAAATTCATACAGAGCTTGCTCTTTTTGTTTTCGAGCTGCATAAATCTTGCCACACGTAAAGTAAATTTGTGATTCCTTTGGAACCATTTGCTTGAGTTCTTTCAATTCGTCAAGAGCTTCATTATATCGTTGTAAAGCGATGAGAGCATTTGCTTTTTTGAATTTTGGCATTGGATTCTGAGGATGAATTCTAATGGCATGAGTAAACATTTTGATGGCTTGTTCATAGCGTCCACAAGCTGCCTCTGCCATTCCAGCATAACAATACAACACAGAGCTCTTTGAATTGATACTAATAGCTTTTGTGAAGTGATACATGGCAAGTTGATACTTTTCTTGTCTAAAATAAACAGCTCCAATGCCATACCATGCATTGTAATGCCGGTCATCAATTCTGATGGCATGTCTATAACATTGCAAAGCACTTTCGAGATCATCATTGGCTGCTCGTTCATGTCCAGCTAATGTATAAGCATATGTGAATAAATTATCAACCTTGGTTGCTTTTTCAAAGAATTTTAGTGCTGTTTCATGATCTTTCTGCTGACTAAAACAATTTCCAATGGCACAAAGAGTCTGAGGAGCAGTTTTATCAATCTCACTCATATGTTGAGCGAGATAGCTCAGCTTCTTATCCTTTTTAAGATGCCATAAAATAGTACTATATATTTCTAATCCATCCAATCGATAAGGTTCGTTCATTTGAATTCGTTCAAATGCAGTTTCTGCATCCTCGTATTGAGCCATTTCGAAATGAGATCTTCCTACGTGTTGTAACACCCATCCGCTTTGATAATGTTTTGGAGGAAGCTTTTCAAAATGTTCAATCGCTTCTTTTCCTTTGTATTGAGAAAAGAATTTGAGTGGAATGGCATGAGCGTTGAGTAGAGCAAGTGTGGATGACACATCATTCGCAGTCACTTGTTTGTAATTGAGTGAAAAAACAGATTGCCAACTCAAAAATGGGCTAATATTCGAATTCGCTACTGTTGTTGATCCTGGAGTACTTGATGAGAGATTGGAAAGAATGTTAAACCCAATGTTTGGATTTAAGAATGAGTCGGTATGAGCCTGATTTAAAGAATCTAGTTGATACATTCTTTGAGGAGATGCTTTAAAGGTTTTAGGGAATGAATGCAAAGGTTGTGATGGGTAGAGTGAAAAGTTGGACTATAATAGAGCCATGACATGGATACAAATTGTAAGAAAAGTTTGCATAACAAAACTTACATCTTCGGATTCACTGCTTGAACTTGTCAAACTCGACCTACTAATTTTCTTTTCTGTGGATTCAAATGTTATTTTCTTACTTGTACTCGTTGTGGATGCAATCGTTGATGCTTGACTTTTCCTTGAAGGTTTTGGCTTTTGGGTCATGGTTGGTGGGTGATGGGTCACTGCTGAGGAGGGCGATTGTTGAGGAGATGGAGTTCTGTAGAAAAACGAATTTGGTGTTTGTTGGGTTGAATGTGAAAACATCTCATGATTTCCCAAACTGCCTCTAGAAGCACTTCCAATGCTTGCTCTAGGTTTGTTCTTAGCTGATAAATTTGGAGTTTTTGCATTAGTAGTAGCTGTTGGATTGAAAACTAATGGAAATTCATAGCTGTTGTAACATGACAATATTACATGCTTTGAAAAAGCAATATCTGAACTTGTTACCTACCTTTTGGGCTTGTTTGGAGTAGATGATACTCCTGTTTCAGTTGGAAACTGCGTGTTTTGATCCATATTGATGTCATTATCTGAAATATTATTTTGCGTGGTGGTATGCAGAAAATCCACTTGTTTTGAAATGGAATTGGTTGGTGGCTTCATTGTAGATGTAAAGCTGAAATTTGTTGCAAGCGGAATATTGGTAGAATTATTATTTGAATTATTGCCTGATAGCTCAGAATACATTTGTGAAAATCGGTCATAGAGCTGTGAAGATTTGCTTGGGTCAAATAAACCATCTGCTTCTACTTTGTCATATCCAAGTTGAGCTAAATGCTCGTATGCTGACCACAACATCGGGCACAGTGATACACATCTATGAAAATGATAAATTGCTAATTCTTTTCTGCAAGTCAATTTATAAACCATTCCTAACCAATAATTGATGATAGCATTATTTTCATTATGATCATGACACTTTCGTAAATAACGTTCCGCATCGATATAGTGTTCCAATTTAATACAACACAAAGAGAACAGATAAAAGATGCTTTCTTGTGGATCCAAAAAATCAAAGAATGATCTTGTTAATTCCTTGTCGGAGGATGTTGTATTTGTTCTGAAAGGAACATCCCATTTTGAAGAATGATACTTTAACATGTGATAGGCAATATTGTATTGTCCCGATTCATAATAGGATTTTGCCACAAGTAACAAGTGAGGAATGGAAGGAGTCTCTGCAAATAATCTCTCACTCAAAAAAATAGCATTTTCATACAATTGAAAGGAAAGAGATTGATGAATGAAATGTCGTATAAAGGTTTCCATCATTAATTCCGAAAAATATTATTTGTATATCACACGTGATGATTTTCGTTTGATGATTAGGAACTTCTTGGGACAAGAAGACAATTTTTTTAATATATTTTGGAGGCGGGCACCAAAAAAAATCATTGTGGTGTTTCATGATACTTTTCAAGTTGGTTGGAATACCTGTCGAGCCTCTATTTGTTTCCACTTCTTCTCTAAATCTATGCTTCATAGAGCCCAATAGTTCCGAAAAAAATGAAACCTTCAAAATCCATAACAATTCCAACCCTCAACCTTAAAAAATTGAGCGAGCAGAGTTTGGAGGAAAAGGAATCGGAATGGTTTGAAGATACATCAGAAGTGCTGGGAAACATGGTTCCCCAACCAAGTATGGGTAGTTTGAATCACGAGGAACGCTCATCGTTTATAGAGGAGGGAGGTTTACATTTTAGAGGAGAGAATTTTGCTCAGTTACAAAGAGCGTTAGAGTTGAGGGAATTTGAATTGATTAAATCGATTGAATATGGACAGAGTTTGTTGACCAGAATTAAATTTCTGGATGGACAGTTGGAAAATGAAAGGGCTGAAAAAGAAAGATTAGAAAAGAATTTGGATATGATAGAGGAAGAGAATGTGGTTATGAAACATAGACTTGAAAGCCTTGAATTGGTGGGTATTATTATTGAATTTATGGTGGTATAATATTGGTATCCTAAGACGATAGAAGTTGCCAAAAAGGAGATGAACATTCTGTTGACACAAAGAGAGTTAGCAAACAAACAAATTGAAGAGTAAGTGTTGTTGATACGTTAAAAGAACTGAAAAGGTGAATAATTTGCAACTTTACAAGGCTCTCCGTCCTTCCAGAGGAAAATAAGGCCTTGTCGAAAAAGATTGTTGAGCTTGGAGACAGAGTAAAAGAATGTATACTGATCATTGAAGAGCAAAAAGATGAAATTAAACACTTAAAGGAGCATAATGTATCCACTTCTGAGAACGAAAAATCTGAGGACAAGAAAAAGAAAATGCAAGAGGCGGAGTATAAGAGAGCCCTATTAGAGTTGCAACAAAAAGTGGAAAAACTACAGAGCGAGAGAGATGCGTCTCACATTCAGGCAAGAGTGAAAATTAACGAAGTAAGTCACTTGTTTCGATGAAATGGAGTTCATTCTTCGAAGCTAAATCAAATAGTTGAAACACTGACTGAGAAAGAGAAGATGTTGAAACGTCACTTACAACGAATAAGCTCCTCCAACTCTCTTTCCATCCTCAACAAACTTCGGCAGGTGAAAACAGATTGTGAGCATCTAAAAGATCATTTTTCGAACCAAATACTTTCAATTAACGAAGATTTTGAGAACCTTAAGATATTGATGAACGGAGCTTCGTTTCATGAGAGCCAGGAAATATTGATGTCTGGAAGAGTATTAAGGAATTCAACGAGTAACGATCTTTCATATGCAAACCTTCAGAAAAAAATTATTGAGGAGCTTGGCTTAGATAATTTTTTCAGCTGTAAGTAATAACAACAACAAGTTAAAGTCCAGACTTACGTTTCTTGCTGGATAGCTTATGGCTGTTCGTCAATACCAAAAAAGTCAGGGTGGCTGCGAGTGTATCAGAGCATCTGGGACCACACAAACAGATGGGTAAAGATTTCCTCATCTGGTCTCTCTCTTTTTGAGGATAACACCGAAAAGAAATTACTGAACTGCTTTAGTCTTTGTTATGCAATCCTTAAAATAAGTTCCAAAAATGAGCTAATATTTGAAATAAGTTGTGGATATGGCAAAGGAAGAGAGAAGGTGTTGCAATTCACCACCAGCAGTGCTCAAGAGAGAAATGAATGGTGCTCGTTCATTTCAACAGTACTCGAGCTTGTGACATAGACTCCTGCAGAAAGGGCTTTATTCCTTAGTATCTGTTGCTATTGATGAAGTATCACCTTTTGTCGAGTTGTGGTAGGATGCAGTGTGATCTTGAACTGTGTTGGAGTCATCAAAATTTTTCTCAGATTGTTTGTCAAACATTCTCTCATAAAGAATCTTTATGACTCGTTCCTTCGAGAGAAGCAGCTCTATAACTCTCTGCCTTTCCTTTTTGTGAAATTCTTCTGTATCGTTTTTACTCTCTGCTTTCGATCTTCTGACTTCCTCCTTTACATCTTCGATACAGCTTCTCAAGAAAATCTCAAGCTCTGTCCTTTCTTCCAAAATTTTGATGTTTTGAGCTCTGATTTGCCTAATATTTTTCCTTTCTATTTCAAGTAATTTTTTAAGTTTGTTGTTGGCCTCAATGAATCGCCTCTCTTTTTCATCAGGCTCTAGTGTGGGATTTACAGTGAAGACGGAGTATTCTCGATCACGAGGACTCATACCCTGTTTCAACGATGAGGGCGATCCTGGTCTTGGCGTTCTCGTTAGTTGATACTCCTTGATTATATTGTTACATCGAGCGAGCTCATCTTGCAATCGTTTTGTTTCTTCTTTCAGTTTCTCATTGTCTCGTTTCGTTTTTGCAATATGCTTTGCTAAATAATTTCTATCATCCTCTTGAGCAGCAAATTGTATCTTTAGTCGTTGGTTTTCCTTCATCAATTCATGATTGAGTTGATCGACTTTTATCACTTGTGCTATGGAATTGTCTAGTTCTTTTTTTAAGGATTTGCTCTTTTCACGCCACTCTCGTTCTCCTGATGTGTTGATCTTTCGCTCATCAGCAAGATCCCTATCAAATCTTCTCATCATTTCTTCTATTTTTCTATGAAACTCTTTCTCCTTAGCCTCAAGCAAATGTTGTGTCTCCAGTTTAAGATAGGTCACTCCTTCTTGAATTTTTTCCTTCATTCCAATAAGTTCTTGCATATGGTTTCCAGCTACTCCTCGAGCAATCATGGACTCTCTCATTTTCTCGTTTAATTCTCGTTCCATGTCCTTGGATTGTTGCTCCCTCTTGAGAAAAGTGTCGTGCCTTAATTTAAAAACTTCTTGTTGTCTCAGATTCTCAGCGAGTAAAACCTGATACTTTTCTCTTAGATTATTATACAATTCCATATAACTTGTTTCGCTCGCACTCATTGGACTAAATAAGTTACTTCCTTTCTTCTTCTTTTTTTGTTTAATTTTGTCTGGTCGAGTTGAAACTCCACCTCCTGTTATTGAATCAGCATTGATGAATGAGGTGTGTTGCTTGACAACGTTATCTACATTTTGCAATATTTGTTCGAATTTTTTCTGGCTAGGAATCTCTGTAGCTAATTCCTCCTCTGTTGGAGGTGTGTCCAATCTCAATTTGCTATTCAGCGTTGCTTCCATCGATTCAAATTTTTTGTTTTGGACCTTGTACGGCGAGCCTATATTTGTTGAATGAGGACTCACCGGTGATGTAAATTGAGCAACAGCACTTGCAGCTCCAGATGATGTGGTAGAAAGTGGATTCTGTTGGACATTGATCCGAAACTGGTTTTGCGAGGTTTTTGAAGCCGACGTTGGAGCATTAATATTTCTCGGAGAGGAGATTTCCATCATGAATTTTTTTTGATAGTCATTGAGGGAGCGAAGGCGGCAACATTTTGAAGGAGATAGGCTGATCTTTTTCAATCCCATGAAAACACTCTATCAACAAAAGACATGGAATACAAATGAGCAAGTTGTTTCTTCCACTGAAAGTAAAAGGTAAGAAAATGTCGCAGGTTCAACGATCCAATCATCAAGCTAAAAACAAAAAAATGTCATCATCAAATCAACAGGGGCCAATGTCATCATCGGATAGGCTCAACCAATCTCTTCTCAACAAGATGAAACAACAGATTTCTCATTCAATTCAAGTGAACACAAAACCACAAAAATCTCTTTTTGATATGACTCCTCAAGATATGATGAAAGAGGCAATTCCGGGTGCACTCTATGGAGTAGTAAAATTACCAAATTTTAGTTTGGAAAAGATGATTAATACGAATGAAAATGTTAATCATGTTCATAGAAACAATTTAGGAGTATCCGCACAACAAATTAACACCTCGGGAGCAGGATTGTTTTTGGGATCTTGTGGCTCGAGTTTAACAGATCCACAATACAAACAAGTACGGAAAATCTACTGCGGAGGCATTCCTGACAATACAAGCGAGCAAGAACTGGTAGAATTCTTTTCAACACAATTACGAAAAGCCGGAATGGATTACACCAATCATTCGCAGGCTCCTCAACCTGCCAATTCGCTTGAATTATTAATCGCAGCAGGAAGCTCAGGAGGAGGCAGTGGATACAGCTCGCAATATCAGTTCACAGACGAAAATGTTGTACAGATTTCAGTGCACAAAGGTTATGCCTTTGTTGATTTCCGAACACCACAAGAAGCCACTTATTGTGTGAATAATTTGGACGGGGTACAATTTAAAGGCTCTACTCTTAAGATGAAGAGACCAAAGGATTATTACGACCCACAAGTTACTATTAACTTTACCTATAATAGGCCTAATGGCGGTAAAACTAATGGAAGTGCTATTTCTAATCTAATTATTAATGATGTACTTATAGATGTCATGCCAAGCAAGAACGGATTTCTTCTGGATTCTCCCAATAAGCTATTCATTGGAAACATTCCAAAAGAATTAAGTTTAAAACAAATTTGTGGATATTTAACAAAGCGATATCAGTCTAAGGCGGCATTGAGATCTATTCATGTACCAAAAATTTTTGAAAACGAAAACGCATATGGAAATGATGGATTTTTATTCTGTGAATATTATGGAAGCAACGAGAAAGTGTTACCTGAAATTGTTCGAACATCTCAAAGACAATTAATTGAGGAAATGAAAAATATGGCTATCATTACAGAAGAAGAATATGCAAGAATACATCCAAACATCAGCTCTGACATCTATCTGTTAGTTCAAAGAGCTCCAGCAGAAGCCAAGATCGAGTTAACTGAAAGCGACAGAATTTCTGATCTTCAACAGGAATATAGACAACAGCTTGTTTCTGATCCAAAACGAGCAGCTGTTGGAGGTTTGCTTGATCTCAATGTTAAGTATGAGAATGCACTCCAAAAACTAGCCCTTCACGAAAACGTTCAAATCACACCAACCAACGTTTTAGCTTTTATGAATTGTATGAACATACCTGAGGATTTTGCCCGAATTGAAGAAATCAAGCGAGATTTCTACAATGAATGCTCTGCATATGGAAAGGTTGTGCAGGTATCCATTCCTTCTCCAGACCCACAAAGTACAAACAGCGATCCTGCAGCATTTATTTATGGTGGAAACAATGTTGGAAAGGTACTTGTTAAATTTTCTGAGGTTCAAGCTGCTGACAAGGCACAAAAAGAACTTGCTGGAAAGCAGTACAGAGGAAGGACCCTCATTACATCGTTTGTACCTTAACAACGCAACGAACATAAAGCGAAAATACTCGAAATGATGTGGTTCAGGCGCCATCAACGCGCCAAAACTTTCCCTCGGTCGCTACAAAATTTTAAAAAAGATTTTGAGACATCAGCATCATGGGCAATTTTTTCGCCACTCACGTTCCGAACATCAATACTCTTGATTTGAATAATGAAAATCATTTCAATGTGCTTGATTTCTTGGCTAAAACCTTGCATGATTTGTATGTCGAGTATCAATCACAACTACAACAGTATGCAAAAAATTCAATTCATAAACCAGTTTATATTGATCTATTTTCGATACCACTCCCGAAAGAAATGATCATTCGATTTGAGACGACCCTCACACGAGATCAATTGGAGTTGGATCCCGAAAAAAAGTACAATCCCGCAGTGGAATTTCAGGACATTTTATCGTTTTTGACCCATTTGGAAAATGCAGATAAATGTACAAAAACAATCTTGGAGCTAAGATCTTTTCTTCAATCAAACAAACGATTCTTAACGACGTCGCATTCAAAGAACAGCATGGGTTTAGTTGGAGTCAATAATGACATTACAAGAAATTTAAATGCATTCGAGGACACCATTAAGGATTTGATTGATGAAAATACCAAGTCGAAAGACAGCAGTTCAGATTTATACAATCGACTTCAGCTCAATAACTTTTTAATTCAATTGGAAATTCATTTGTTCTCAAAGTTTAGCTTGTTTTTGAAAAGAAAAGCAGAAAAATCATACTCTAGAAACGCTACCATGTCACGATTAAGAACACCTGAAAGCGGTCGATCCATGTCATTGTGCAGACAAGGCCCTCCAGCTTTTCTGTTGGAAAAACAAGACTCTCCTCCTGACAGTCCCAGCCAAAAGTTCTTTGATAGCAGCCCTTCTTCATCCACTTTTAGCCCTTCTTTTTTCACTCCTGACAACATGCCAGAGAGAAGGAGGAGGTCATTCACGGTTTCAACTCGCCAAAAACCATTTGAAAATTTAGAGGCAACAGAAACTGTCGTGTCTCCATTTCAACAGCCCGTAGTTGCAACTCCTTCTTCCACAATTTCACCGCCAGTTACAAAAAATTCAAGCAAGGAGAATGTTCCCGTTACGTCAAAGCCACTTGTAGTGAAAAAGAAAAAGAAAAAAGAGCAAGACCCTTTTACATATTCTTTCTTGCTGACTCAAAAAGGTTATGTTACAGACCAAAGGTTCAAGAAAAAAGTTGTCACTCCGAGATCCATTGCCAAAGAATCAGAAAAGGAAATATTAATCACAAAAATTTATGATTCGAGTGATGAAGAGGAACGGATTGCTGTCACTCTTCCAAAAAATCGTAGGTTTAGGTTTTTTATTGAATTTAATAATTTATTATTTAAATTTTTAAAGACGAGGTTTCTCCGCTCGTAGCAAAAATCAACAAAATGATCAAAGTCATCAGACAAAATCTTCCAGAAATTGAATATAAGGAAAACGACAAAAATTTAATCCCTCTTGTTAGAGAAGATCCAAACTCTCTGAGAAATATTATTTTAGCCATTTCGTTTTTTGAGGATCTCGATTTGAATGATGGTATGTTAAAAATTTTTGTAACATTTGAAGTCAGTCTAAGCAACACGAAATAGTGAGCAATCAATATGCAATTGTTGAGTGTGGAGGAATTCCTACTCTTATTAAGCTTTTTGATCATCACGGGGATGACCGAATTCGAATTGGATCAGCAAACATTTTAGCACATTTATCTAGGAATTGTAAGTTGTTCAAATTACTGAATCAATCCTCTAACACTCTGCTCACAGCAAGGATTCAACTTTCGATTGCAGAGAATATGCCAGCTCTTCTGAGATGCCTTAACAGCAATCAACCAGCTGAGGAATTGGCATCAATGACACATTTACAAAAGACTCATCACAAACTGAAATTTAACAAGACTTCGCAGATAACATTTTTGAGTCTATTGACCGAAGTTATTGCCAATTGTTGTGAGCGAATTGCAGTGAGAAGAATTATCAAAAAGACAAAAGGTATCAAAAAAGTGTTGCTGTTTTTATTGAACAATATTGGCTTCTTCGATGGTTCGGGACATGCAGGTGTCAATATATTTGATTACTTTAGAGTCAAGGGATCTTCTCAAAACAGGCCGTTCTCTCTAGCAGCACAGAATTTACAAAATAACAAGACACCTGAAGCTCTGTCCATTATCCACAATTGTCTACGAATTATTTGGAGCACCTCAAAGAGCAGTAAGTTGAAGCTTGATATCATCCGACATGGATCATTATTTACCATTTCATTTAGAGTCCAATCAAGAGGATATTTGCAACACAAAGCTTTCTGGCATGTCTGGAATCTCAATTTTAGACAAATATTTGGATCAATTATATTTTTACCTCAAAGATTTTGGATCTGAAGCTGACGAAACTGTGATTGGCCCACACAAAATTCTTGTTCCCGTCATTGGATCTTTCATGCACTGTGCTGAAAATGGTAAGTTCATTTCTCAAGCAGTTTGCCTAAACACCTTGTTAGATGCTATACGTGTTCAATTGAGAAATAACGATTTGGTGAAAAAGTTACTAGTTGTGCTTACTTCAATTAATAATATCATGGTCAAAACCAATGTCTTTCACATTGAGCTGTTAATTGTCATGTCAGGATTACTTTTTAACTTAACAATTGAAAGTAAGTTTTTAAAAAAGGTCATGGAAAAATCATAACTGATTCTCCATCGGCAACATCACAACATTAATCAAAAAGAACACGTTCGAGAGCAAATTAACACCATTTTAGAAATTATGGCTCTTTGGATCAAAAAGTATGAAAAACAAGCCAGGGCAGACCCAGAACGATCTCTCATCCTCTTGGAATATATTACTGGTGCAATGTTTAACGCTTCCTACTCGATGGAAAACGCTCAGAAAATATTTGAATTAGGTTTAATACCCTCGCTCACAAGTTTTCTAGACATTAATTTTGTTCCAAAACGAGCCAAGCAGCAACCAACGAATACATCACTCAATGCCTCCCTCGCTTCAAAATCACCAACCTCACCGACATCTGTACTTTCTCCAAGTAAGAGAAGAAGAAGAGCTGATATTACAGACCAAGAAGAAGTCTTTATTGATGCTTCGTACACGAGCGGTCTGCTTAAAACAAAATCCGTTGAAAAATCAGATGAGCTGATCAAATTTAGATGTGCTGGAATTATTGCCAATTGTGCAAGATTACCTTGGACAAAACTCTTAATTTTCAAATCTGGAATTGTGGACTATATTTCTCCTCTATTAGTTTCATCTTCAAAAACTGATTTAATTGCTCATTGTTTGGATATTTTGGGTCAAATATGTAACTGCAGCTCCGTATTGGATAGTATGTTAAAACAAGGAGCAATGAAAGCCATTTGGTCCATGGTCCGAAATGAAAAACCAGAAATTCAAGCAGCTGCAGCACGAGCGATTTCCAACTGCATTCACAATGCTGAAATTGCTGCACGAATTGGAGAGACCTATGTCAGTGGCATTGGAGTATTAGTTCGGGTGTTGGAATCTTCGTCCGATATTTATGTTTTAGGAAATATTTGTCTGGCCATTGCCAAAATGAGTCAAAATCCAATGAATCGAGCCATTTTCACGGAAGAGGGAGCATGCACACATATTGCCAACATGTTACGAACCACACAAAAGTGGATGGATGATTTGATGGCAGCCCTGTCCACCAAACCAAAAGCCAATGAATTTTCAATAGTGGTCTATGAAACAGAAACTGGTGAAAAAAAGAAGTTAGTTTATGACAACCCAGTTCTCAATTCTCGCTTAAATGATAATCTATTTTTAAGATCCACAGCTGCTCTCGCTATTGCTGAGCTCGGAAAACATGCACACAATTCAATCACATTTTTTGAACAGGGAGTGGTCGATCCACTTATTGAGAATATTAAGCTTCAAAGAATGTTGCAAAAACATTACGATTCCAACCATAGAAAACATTACGAGAATACTGCCATGATTGACATTATTTCCAATACTTCTGGAAAATCAACAATGACACAAGAAAATGGAAGTCCATCTCTTCCACCCATCCCTAAAGAGTTTTCACGCCATCAGCATCACCATGGAAGCAACAGCAGCCTCTCACATCATGTTAGTGCTGACTCCAAGATGGAGCAAACACGAAAATTACAACACAAAAAGCCCTCACCTTTTGTGTGCCACAGTATTGTTTGTGCTCCTTACATGAAATTGGAAAATTCTCTCATGAACATTGCTGGAATGTTGGAAAGTGAAAATTTGTCAAAAGGTCACAACAGCAGCAGCGACAATATTTCGTCAGACGAAAAGGAAGAAACTGAAGAAATTTATGAAGAAATTCCAATGATGGTCGCTCCTTCAGATATTGATTGTCATTACCATCACATTTTCAGAAATACTTCCTACGCTCTAAGTGTTCTTTCTGAAAATGAAATAATTTCTAAAACTCTACGAATTTGCAATACCGTCCATTTGTTGGTTCGTTTGTTGAGTGCCAAGAATGACGCTCTGCAATTAAGTGCTGCGAATGCCATTGCTAACGTTCGAAAGTTTCATGTATGCTCCAAAACAGCAACAAGTCACAAAGAATAGTTGAATATCGACAATTGTTGAAAATATCTTATGCAATGTTGATAGGTACTCAACAAATTCATCAACAAATGTTGTTGATGAATAGAAATCCATAGCTGAAGTTTTTTGACTCCTTGCAAAAGTGTGTGGATGACAGAAACACCAGTGCTTCTCTTTACTCAGCAGTGTACAGAAACGAACGTTGTCATCCTTCTTCCTTTTCATTCTGACGTTTACAATCTGAAAATCATTGAAAGCAAGTTTCAACAGCTGAACTTAATTTTTAAACGTTGCTAGAGATGATGGCTGTCCTATCTCTCCTCGTTATCTTTTAAGGGTGCATGTTGCTGGCTCTCTTGTAGAATACAACAGCAATCGATTGTTGTATGGAGAAGGAATTGGAACAAATTTCAACCTTGAGGATTATTGGTTGTGGCTTGTTGTAAAGACGAGATGTACCTGAACGTTCGGTTGCAACGATTAATGATTCTTCATGAAGTGAAGAGCACTGACCTCTATTTTTGTCTGAGATCAGTTTGCAGGCTAAAATTGTGAATCATCCATAAACGATACCATTGTAAACATGGTTTCAGGTCTATTGAATATTGTTAATGTTTGGACAAAATATTACTGACTGCACACGAGAAAAGATTTCCTTCGTCTACTCTGTGGTCCTTTCTTGTGTTTGAAAGCATTAGAAACCATGGAAATTGTTGATAACCTGTTTTGAACCTCAGCTTGGAATTTTATGGCTGCCATTCCTTTTTGAACGTTGCTGAAGAACGGTCTTCACCCTTTTTCATCTCTTAAAAAAATCTCATTTTCTCTCTCTACGAGACACCATCCTCATCAACGTCTTCTGCGCGTTTGTTGTTGTTTTCTCACCATCATAGAGTTCTTGCTGTATGAGAATATTGTATTCTCTCTGTAATTACTACTTGCCATTGTTCTTCTCGTTGAAACGACCGACCCACCCGACGTAGAATACGTTAGTTGCTGCTCAAAGGAGAGTTGAAAGAGAGAGTTTTAAGATTCGTACCGCACATTCATCACAACAATTTTGTTCATCCTCTGCGTTTTAAATTCTTCCGTTGTACATGTATATATAGCATTGACTTCTAACTTCTTTCATTCCATTCATACAAGAATACATCATGTCCTCCCCATCCCCTCAACAACAATCCCCTCTCCACAACGACACAATCACTACTACCTATCTATACAATGAAATACTGGATATAACATCGTTGTGTCCTTGCCAAAACCCAAAGCACACATTTGCCTTGGTAGACCTTCGATCGAACGAGGCCTATGAAAAGAGCCATTTACTCGCTGCCACAAATGTTGATATCCAAGCCATTCTGAAACAAATTGATGAAGGTATTACCGAATGGGACGAATTACTAGAGAAAAATCCAGGTCTTGAAGCCTTCCAGCAGAGTTTGTTCAAGAAGGCCAACTACTCGAATCAAATGTTCATTGTCTACGATCAAACCTCATCTCTCCAAGAAACCATCGATGCTTTCACTAGAAAGATCATTCCTCTCTTCCCCAGAAGTATCGTGATTAAGAGTTTGAAATCTCTTGAAGGAGGTTTTGATGAAATGATTCAAAAGTATGGAAGCGCTATCTGCTCTGATTTTGAGTATCCAGAAACCATTGAACGAGATTCCACTCTTCTACCAAATGAAATTGTTCCTGATTTTCTCTTCTTGGGTGCGTATATTCATGCCTATGTTCCAAAACTTTTAGAATCTCTCAAAATTACCAAGATTGTGAACGTTACTCCCGAACCACACGAAGATCACATCCTGCAAAAGTTTGGATCTTATCAAATTCAAATTGTGGATCATCAAACCATGGATATTAAGCAACACTTCTCGGAAGCCATTGAATTCATTAAGGAATGCAAAAAGAATGGAGAACGAGTATTTATTCACTGCCAAAAGGGCATTTCTCGATCTGCTTCTATTGTTTTGGCATATCTTGTTGCTGCAGAAGGCCTGACACTGCAGCAAGCATACAATCTTACAAAGCAAGCACGTAAATTCATAAAGCCAAACAAGGGATTTTCGAATCAATTGGGTCAATTCGAAATGGAGCTGAATCCTTCCCTCACTAAACCAACCTATCGAGATGAAGCTTCTTCCTGCCTGGAGAGATCTCGAAGAAGACAAGTACTCTACTAATAAACAAGTGCTTCATGTCTCAAACGTTATCTTTGGTTTTAACTTCATCACCCTCGCTCCTTCCATTTGCTTTCACAGTCCGTTCAACGAAGATTCATGAAAAATTAAATTAAAAAAATTTATTGAATTTGCTGCACACTCGCTCAATATTTCACACTTTTCATTGCACTCCACATCCACATTTCGCTTCTAAAAGGCTGGCACAACAACAACACCATTCTTTTAACAACAACAATTTGAAATACTCCCTTCATAAGATACCTACTTTGTATTCCTCTCCTTCCTATCAGCATCATCACGAAGATAGAGTGGTATCATTGCAAATCCTATTTGAAATTATCTACCAATTATCGGCATCATCTTTATTTCTCTTTCAAGGAAATACGAGTAGTAGAACCCTTTCCCTTCATACTACTTTATCAACAGTGACCTCATCAATTAGTACAATAATTCCAATACACCCGGATGGTTAATTCTATAGAAGAAGAAAACTCATCTACACTAGAACAACAGTCTGAATCAGAACACAAACACTCTAATCATCATGATGAATTTAAAGAAACAAATCCTCTCAAAAACCCTCTCTTCCTATCAAGGCTTTATTGAAACAAACCAAACAACTTCAAAGCATGTTGCTGCAAAGAAGGCTATTTCTCCAACAATATACGGAACAACAGGAGCCTCTCTCCATCAAGAAACAAGTTCTGTTTCCATGAGTATGACTCATGGCCTCCAAGAGCAAATGATATCAAGCGTTAAGAATGGGATATCGGAACTTGAAGCAGTCGTGAGCAGTAGCTCTCAAACCACAGCAACATTGGGAATTCCATCCACAGCCATCTCATCGAGCTCTTCTTCCGCTACTACTACTGCTACGAGTACTACTGGAGCTTCATCTTTGTTAAACACTTCTGCATTGGCTTCAGCATCCATGGCTTCTTCTGCGTCGTCGTTGGAGACTTCTCCTCTCTCGAAAGATCTTTATTATACAGTGAAGGACAAGACATTTAGATTCCTTTCACTGAGGGATAACTTTTCACTTCCATTACTGACGAAAATATATAATGAAATTATGATTCCAAACTTTCCTATTGAATCCGAGTTGGATCCGCTCGAAGTTTGGATTAATAATTTAACTCATAAGGGAGGTCGTATATTTGTTCCACTTATGCACATCATGGTTGCTTTTGAAATTGATAGCAATGACAACAATGCATTGAAAGATGAAAACATTGCAGGTATTTCAGTATTTGAATATTATGAAATGTCTCAATGTGCTTTGCTGTCATACTTTGTCGTTTGTGAAAAGTACAGAAATTATGGATTGGGAAAGACATTAGTTTATCAAGCCTATGAATATTGCAAGAATGAATTATATGCAAAGAGAAAGGCAAATAGATGGGAAGCATTAAACAATGCACTCATGCATGTAAGAAATTGGCATGTTGGAGATGACGACGGTGCTACCATTGTGCAATTAACAAAAACTCAAAAAGGACAGCTACAATTTGCTCAACAGTATATTCAATTATGTCTTCACAATGCTCAGCTTAAAGCTCAAAATGTAGACATCAAACATATTCTTGACAGTGAAGAGGATGAATTTTATTTCTTTGCAGAGACAAATGCTATTGGTGTGCATGATGGAGTAATGGCATCTGAGCAAAGACATAAGATTATGAGAAATATTGGATTTTGTGTTGTAGATTTTGAATATATTCAACCTCCAGTTTGTACAGATGAGGACGCCATGTACTGTGACGATTTGCTTCTTCTTTCTTTGGAGGTGGAGAATGACAGATGCAGGATAAAATCGACGGAACCAATTAGACATGTTCCAAGATTTAAGCTGAAATGTTGGACTTTGGAGTTGCTTTATACTGTATTCAGAGAGATTTATCCACACATTTTTGCTGATTATTTCCAATATCAATGGCAGGATCTAGATGCTAGAGGCCCAAGAATACCAATATTTACTGACCTAGAAAAGTGGAAGAGAAGAACAAGGCTTGAAAATTATAAGAGAGACGAGAATTTATTGTCCAAATTGTAGAGTTGGTGAGTTGAAGATTGTCAATCAACCATTCTTGCTGATGATTTTACATGAACATAATCGTTATCGAATAAACTTCAATGTTGTAATTCAAGCGTGCTATTTTGATTTTATGCTAGGTCAGTAGTATGATCTTCATTGAGTACTGGTTGGTGGTTGTGTCGTTTGGATCTTGACACTTTTATCATCTTTAGCATATTCAGCGGAATCTGCATCAAGTATCTTGACTATTTTCTTTTGTTCATCGAGCAATCTTAATCTTGGAATATTGCCCTTTTCAATAGCTTTAAGAATAAGCTGCCAACGTTCGTCTGTTTCAGTGAGAGGAGCTTTCAAATCTATGGTTACTTTTTGAAGGTGCTGATTGAAATACTGCAACATTCTAGGAAGATTAAGCGTGCATTGATGTGAACCAGGTTTAAATAACTTTAGCTCTGCCGACCACCAATTGTAAAATGTTGTCACACAATTAACTGTGTCAATCTCTGGTATTTTGGTAGATTTGAGTTTATCCGAGACACTTGTCGTTGAGGAAGCAGTGCTCTTGGCTGAAGAGGTTTGAGGCGTAGACGAGGCTTGGCTCGCAGTACTCTGTGCAGATTGGAGTGGAGTGCTTGGTTGTGAGGTAGTTACCTCTAGTTTAGGTGCATCCTTTTTGGGCTCAACATTTGTTGCTGTTGCCAATAGTTTGTTTTCTGTGGAGGGTTGTGCTGTTGTAATTTGTTGAACTACATCAGTGGATGTACTATTTAAACTTTCGTTTGATGCTGATGCGTTACTAACCGCAGTGGTTGTCAAGTCACAAGCGATTTCATATGTTACAGGTTCAATAGAATGAATAGAAGGCCCTCTCAAGGTCTTTGTAAGGGTATTGCCATAGGGTTTAACGTAGTTGTTGAAAAATACGATTGCGGTGTTAATTTCAAGTATTTGAAAAGGTATCTCTCCAAATGTTGTCTTTGTGGTAATTGGTATGGTAAAAGACAAGGCCTTATCTTTCTTGGGTGGCTTTCTTTTTGGTACGTTTTTCAAAATTTCACTAAATGTTGCTCTTTTCTCTGATTCGTTTTGCATAAAGTGGAAAAAGAAATTGGCATAGAGAGACTTCTCGTTAATGAGATGGATGCCTTCAAGCTTCGGAATATTGGCTTCATCTAGGTGAGTTATTGTATTGCAAAGGTGAGAATAAATGTTGGAAATCTCGGTTCTTCCAATATTCTTTCCAGGTAGATGTCTGATTTTTTTCCTTACAAGATGAATAATTTTCGCATACATGTTTGATTGGCTATCTATTTCGTCGGCTGTGTCATTGACATTAGAGGGAATGATGTTTGCGGAATTTTCAGTTGAATAGCATTCTATCATGTCATGCCAAAAAGAAACCCAAGCTTGGAAGCTTATTTGCCAATGATATCGGGTAGTTTCATTTTCAAATTCGAAATGTTTGTACTTTGAAATCAAATTTTGAGGTTTTGGATTGGATTTAAGGTATCTCATCAATTCTTGAATATCATGATCGTTAATTTCTGTAAACCCAAGACTTAATAAAGCGATACAATCTTGTTCTGTAAGGTTCTGGTACGTAATATTATGTAAATTGTTGAAAATAAAATACTTTTCGACAATTTCCATTTGTACCAAACTTCTCAACAGTGCTTTAAACTTAATACCAACTGTCTTGTTGGAAGACCGATATTTGTCTAGAATCAAATGGTCGTCCAATATCGAGTTTAGAGCATTACCAAAAGCAGGAGCTGTGCTATGTCTCTTTTTAGTTGGTGTTGATTCCTTCTCATCAGAAGAAGAGATTTCATGATCGTCCTCTGTCTTTTTCTTCTTTTGTGATGAAGATGTCTTTGCTTCGTCCTCATCGGAAGACGTTTCATCAACCGAAGCAGAGTGCACAATTTTTCTCTTCATCTTTAATTTTTAAACCAACGTTGTATGATGAGAATTTGAGTAGTACTAAATCAATTCAAAGTAATAGAAATCGATGATGATATCCTTATTCAATACCTTTGGTGAGTACGAGGATAAAGTTTTTAAAGAATTTTTTTATTCAAGGCTTTTTGCGTTGAGGTTTGTGCGAATGTTTTGTTTTCTTGTTGAAACCTTTTGAAGACGATTTTGTGAATGATTGTTGCTGTTGTTGCCATCCAATAGGTAAAGTAATATTGTCTTTTTTGCGTTTGAGTGGATTGGTTTTTTCATCTTCTTCCTCTTCTTCTTGTTTTTGTTGCTGCTTAAATGTACCAAAACGAAGTCGTCCCGATGATGCCAAAGACTCTGAATTGTTGTTCATGGTGTGATCATTTTCAGTATATAACATTGTTGTTGAAGATGATGATGAATCTATTCCATAAAAACTCATGGCGTAAATTGAATCACAATCTTGTTCAATATTGTTGCTCGATCCTAGACTTTCTACAATTTGTTCTTGATTATTTCCAGAAAACGATAACGATTGTTGAATCACTTGATCTAGTTTTCCCTCGTTTATGTAACTCCATTGCTCACTCAGATGGTCTCGTGTTATTGGATTTAAATGTTGGGTGTGGACAGCCTCATTGGATGGATGTTCCGATGAAGGAGTGTTGCTGTACTCGTTTTTGTGAGAAGAGGGAATAACAACCCGAGATGTTGTTGATTTAAATGTGAGCGAAGTATTTGATGATGAATTTGCAATATTCGTCGATGATGTAAAATTGCTTTTCCGAGAGACTGCAGCCTGTAAAACTGATGCAGGTGTTTGCGGTTTGTTTCGATTCATAAACCGAAGGGAAGAAATGGAAGAAGAGAGTTGCTTTCGAGGTTTATCATCTGAGCTGGTTGTTGTGTTCGGAGAGGGTACAGCTTTCGGTTGCTCTGTTTTTGAAGTGGGAGTTGCTGGTTTGTTGTGGTTGTTTCTCTTCATATTTTATTTGAAGTTGAGCATGACTCAGTTTTTATGGAATGGAATAAAAACCTAATAATTTAACAACATTCTTAGCGGTCTTAAGCCTCCACAAAAGCAAAAGGAAACAGCTCTTTATGCCAGGCTTTCCTTTGTGTTGCTTTGCTGTTCATTATTTGATAAATTCCACATGATGGCTCAAAAATAGAATTGTTTCTCTTCGCATTCTTTCACATGTCATGGTCAAAAAAAATGGGCGGTGGATCAGCATTCCCAACTCACACTCATCACGCAAGCTTTGAGAACAATGGTTATTCTCATATTGGCATCCAAAATCAAGCTACAACGCCCCAAATTCAACCATATTCAATTCAATCTTTCTCCTCATCGCCCTACCAAAATTATAACCTCCCTCTTGTGTATCATCCCCATATTTCGAATACACCTCTCCATTATCCTTCGTTCGGAGCTTATTCTGTGTCCACTCCTAGCCACGGATCAATCTCGAGTCTTCCAACAGCGTCCCCATCGTTGTCCAACGGTTCTGTATCTAGTGTTTATTCCATTCCAAGTAGCAACGTGAGTCATGATGTCTCATTCACTCCTCCCAGAAATGATGCGCTTGTGAACCAGCTCTTCCACAATGACAACGGTGTGTTGTACACTAACAGCCACAATTCTCTCATGTCTACCAATGACAGCCTTGACAATAAGCCATCCGTTGTTGCAGCGTCCATTGACACACACGAAGCAGAATTCAACAACTTTCAAGATCAGAATTCATTCGAGAGAGTCTCTCCAACCGATTCTGATTCCCATCTCGTGAGCTACTATTATGAGCCAGAAGAATCAGTGATTGCTTTTGAAAAAATTGGGCAAGGAGGGTTTGGCTCTGTTTACTTGATTAAAACCAAATCCAACAAGAATGAACAGGAGGAACGTGAATTTGCAGTCAAAGTGCTCAAAGATCAATACGTTTCTCTCTCCGAGATTAAGAGGAAATTTGATCATACGAATATTCTACCCTTAACTGCTAAAAAACCCACACTTACGATACGAGTTGCAAAGATAACTCATGGAGGCTTTCCTGGAGCCGTGCGAGTATTGTGTATTGAGAGTCCCTTCATGAAACACGGCTCGTTGAGTCTGAAATTGGGTGAAGGAAAAAGGTTTTCCGAAAGAACACTCTGGCAAATTATACAGCAGATGGCTTCTGCACTGGCCTTCATGTACCAAAAAGATAAATGTCTTCATAGGGACATAAAGCCAGAGAATATTTTGATTAAGGACTATGATGAATGTAATGGTGATATTACCACTATGCTTGGAGATTTTGGGCTTGTACGTTCCGAGGACACTCTTACCTCAACGACTTCTTCTGGTACTCCCTCCTATATGGCACCAGAACAAGAATATTCGAGGGATTCAGATGTGTTTGCCTTAGGCATCACTGTCTTCAAGTTAATTACCGGAGTTTCAAAGATCGATGACGACACTTTTTCAAATCGTTATAAAGCCAAAGACGACCTGTCCACAGAAATTAAGAATCGAATGGGAACAGCAGTGAGCGAGACAATGGTTGACATGGTCATTGCGATGACTCAGAAACAAAGACCAAGAGTTTCTTACGATACGATACAAGAAGTATGTGGATACATGTTATCACGAGAATCGAGTATCCTATTGAGGTCACCAAGTCCTTCGAGCACTTTGTTACTAGACGAAGATATTGCTGGGCTTGAAAGCAGAACTCAGGCCATGTCTATTTCGAACTCTTCATCAAGCACTCAATCAGAGGCATTCGAATACCAAATGCAACGAGAAAATGGTCATGTGAATAGAAATAATTCAGTGAGAATTTTGTGCTCAAAAGAAGCCTTTCAGAAGATCGAAACGGTAGAGCTGAAAATCGAACAACAAGGACAACAGATTGAAGCACATCCATTCACCAAGAAGAGAGTTAAGAGATCTACATCAGACATCTCTGAAAACGGTATTGTGATTGCCAGCGTTTATGGAAGTTCTCACTTGCCGAAAGACAGAAAGTACAGAGGACCCTTCAAAATTATTCTATTTGTCAATGGATTACAGGTTGACAAAGCAGATTACAAACATCAATAGCAAACCTCTTAGGGTGCAAAATCTCTTGTATTTTTATTGAGCTTACTCATTCAACACACCTTGATTAAAACACAATCCATACTGTTCATCTGTGGTCATGCAAGTTCATCAATAACAAAAAATGGACAATGCACCTCCACTCCCCAACACAAGTTCTGCTATGACCACAACTGGTCATCATGATTATCGATTAGAAATCTTTCATCGATTCTTTATTCCGACCGGGATTCAAAAGTACAATCCTACTCTGGATGGAAGTATCAAATTCGACCCGACCATGCTCACCGTTCTTACCAGAAAGCTCATCAAACTATTTAGATCAAGACCCTTCTCCATGACTACTGCTGTTGTCGTGTATTCGTTATTGATCAGTTTACTAAGTCCACAATTATGGACTGCTCATGGAGCCTTTGCAGCAGGATTTTCCTCTCTCGCTTTGGGTAAGTAATACAAGTGCCATTCAATTGCACGATCAAATATGATGATCATGTTATGCTTCGTTCAATGTCATTCCAACCTGATTCATTGTAGGTGATGATTTGGCCAGATCGGTCATGAGTATCTGTAAAGATGGAGAGAAAGTCAATGGAGTAACCACAACCACACCTTTGAACATGTCCAATCTTTGGACTGGCATGCATCATCTTTCCGAAGGTCAATACTGGATGTTGTGGCTTAAATTTAGCTTCTTTCAAAGATCTTCCTTGTTGTTTTTAGATACATTGAATTACATGGCCGCAAAGAACAATAATGCTGCGTTCAATTCCAGATATTACATGGCCAATGCCAAGTGGATTGAAGGTGTGAATGCAATTTTATTGTCTTTAGTAGCTTCCTATGCATCGTTACGTTTTGCTGATCACAAGTGGCATAATTATCTTCCCAAGTATATGGAATTGTTCTTGTACGCATTTGTTGCATTGACTGGCGTTCAGACTATCATTGAAGCTCGAGTGGCTAAAAAGACTCCAGAAAAATTATATGACGTTCAAAACAGATTTAGAAGAATTCGAAAGGGAGTTGTATTGATGATTTCGAGCTATGTAGGCCTATTGTGGTTTACCAAATTTGGAGATTATTTCTTACAACATATTTATCAATTCACGAATGGATCTCTATCCATGCGTTTAATTGGTCGAACTATTTTGAATGGATCCGTTTCACTATGCTCTCTGTTCTTTGGTATTGGAGCAGGAAGTGAAGGTTTGAAAGAGCTCGATATGAATATGGGACATTATTTCCATAACTTGTTATCAAATGCAACTCGAAGAGCTACAGAATTCGGAAAGCGATATGAAAAGGAATTGGCAGCAATTAGTCTAAGCTTCATGAAAGGAGCTGGACTTTTTGCATACTTTGCAGGTGGATATTATTTCTCCAAGTCATTTAGTTCATTCTTCCAAAGATTGACACAATCTGGCCATTCTCTATCCAATACCTCTTTGAAACAACTCTCACTGGAAATGGGAAAAGATGTTGCAAGCGTGGTTGCCATGCTAGGAGGATATTTCACATTTGCTACAGCATTGAGCTTATCAAGCCCAGTTCAAAATGCAACTCTGCCCATTGACATGGTGAATTTGAACTTGTCGGCATGCGCATTTTCACTCTTGGAATTGGGTGCTGCTCTTTTCAAGTTCCAATACCAATTCAATGAGAAACTTATAAGACAATCCTTATTTAATTCTCTTCCTGTTGTTTCAAAAATTGATGAGGTCTTGTCCTACGAGAATATTGCACTCAGTTTTGCCTCTACTGGCACTTTGGCTTATGGCGTTGATTTGTTGCGTATGGCATACAAGTTTACTCACAATCCAAACACTCCACAGCTACAATTCAATCCTACTCCTGGAGGCGTGGCATTGGCTTCGAGTTTAGGTCTCATTTCATTCAAACATTTTCTCTCATTAGGACAATCTGTTTCAAGTTGTGTGAAAAGTAGTAATTTGTTGGCTAGTATTACTGATTTGGGATTTTTACTTCCTGCTGCAAAGGATATAGTATTAGGAACAGCAGCAATGGCAGGAGCAGGATTTGTCCTCATGAAGACATTCCCATCTCTGAAACCACATATTGAAAAGCCATTGAAATACTTTGATGGAATGCTTGGAAGACGATTTAGAAAATTGTTATCTGTTTTTAGCTCTCCTGTTGCAGCGTTTACAGTATTTGCAACAATTGGAAGCTACATTGTTTATAAGAAGTATATTTATGATGAAGAAATGATGGCTTTAGATGCAACAACCTCTGGAGCAACAGCATCCATTCCACCAACAAGCACCAAAGGAAACAATGTGGCCTCCAAGTAGCTAAATTGTAACTAATAACTCTATTTGGAGGTTTGCAAGTTTGTTGACGAGATTTGGAGTAATGTAAAGACTGATTGTCCCATGAGCAGAGACGTTTAACTTAAGAAATAATTTCTGTCTTTGTTGGCAATGATTAATGATTCCATTAACCACTTTTCTTTTTCCTGAAAAAAATGTCACAATTACAGTCTGCGTCCATTTCATCCCTTTCATATGAAGTGCTCGCTCATATTTTCTCGTTCATTGTGGATTTGGACTCTCTTCACAACAATGTCTTTCCTTGGCGGAGCGTGAATCGAATGTTCTATGAATTCACAGAAAGTGAGTATTTCTGGAATACCTTGTATCGAGTGATGGGCGAGAATGAAAGAAATTGCACCGAATGGTTCGTAAAGTCAAATGCCGAACATGATGACCGCCACCACTCTTTGGAATTACTACCAGTCGTAAGAAGAGAGGAGATGAGTGTAGATGTCATTTCTGCTGTTGAGGCTATTTATGCTAATATAGATACATCAATATTCACAAGTAATGATCACATTTATACTCCAATGGCTGCTGGAATTTTGCAAGGAGCCTTTGAGGAGTATCTTGTAAGAGTGTTTCAAGTGGCTCAAACACTGTGTGAGTTTATGCACAGTGGACATGTGAACAGTGAGCATGTGCATCTGGCTGCACAATTATGGAGGGAAGGTCAGATTATGGAAAATACTGGAAACAGTGAACTCTTGTTGAAATTACATGTTGACAGTGAAAAATATGCGCAACTGATTGACCAACTGTCGGTTGCTGATTGAAAACACCAAGATATGAGCCGAGTGTTTAGTTTTAGTGAGGATGAAACAGATGATACTGAATCTGACCATGACGAAAGTGATAGCAGCAGTGACTGTTCTGATGATTACTCGACAGAAAGCAACTTGTCAAGTACTTGTTTTGTTCGATATTTCAGGAATTCAGAGCACGGGCATGAATTTCCTGGGGATGACGTTTGTTACTTGGCAGAACCCATTCTCCACCAAGATGACACGTTCGAAAATGTGGATGGCTGTTATTACAATTCCAATGATGACCTTGTAGTTGTGGATAACGATGGCATGAAAACAGTTGAAATCACACTCACCAATGACAGAGACAAAAAGATTGAAAATGGATGGTATTAAACAGGTTACATATTTAATTGTGTCTTGGAGAAGGTGGTTGAGAAAGATTTGTGTTAAGAGTTGTTCCACCATTAGTATTTTGATTCTCTATTCCATAAATCAGTAACTTTCCCGAGTCCAATCCTGCGAAAAGCATTTGTTCATCGTTCGATATCTCGATGGATCTGACTGAAGACATTTGATCTCTTAAATCAATTTTGTGGATCACTTTCAAAGAATGCAAATCTCGCACCACAATCGAATGATCGCCACCATAAATCACATACTTGCAATCAAAAATACGCATACAATTCAATGCACCATTCGTCTCAGCCTTTGCAATGAGATTTCCATTCAGACTGTATAAATAAAGAATCATGTCATCATTGCTGTACACACAAATTCTTCCAAGAACTTCGATATCATTGCTATACTTGCATTCACGTGCAATTCCAATCGTGTTAATTACTCCATTATTTGGATGCTTAATGGTTCGAATGTATTTTCCTCTTCGTAATGAGTGCACAATAACCGTGCCGTCCTTGCTTCCACTAATGACTGTGTCTAAATCATTGCATACAGCCACACAAGTTACTTCATCATCGTGGCCATACAGAATGTTAGTAGGTTGCTGAGTGACTAAAAAGGAGTCATTTTGAATATTCCAAACCATGACTGTGGTATCTCTACTTCCCGTTACAAAATATTTGTCTTCTTCACAAATAGCACAACATGTTACTAAATCTTTGTGTCTCCAAATAGCATTTTGTTGACAGGTCGATATCTTGGTATGCAATGGTTGAGAGTATGGCTTGGAAATTCTGAATGAATTATCAAAATGACCACATGAGAAAATGGAAATATCCTTAATAGAATTTGGAATTGGAGTGTTTGGAATTGAAAAATAGTTTTTCACATTGGATGCATTGCTCTTATAACCTAAACCTTGTTTTGGAAGTGATGCCAATGATCTTCGTTGCTTTGTGCTATGTGTCGGATTTGAGCTCATATATGAATTGGTACTCGAGTCGGTCGTGTTTGAGGAAAGAAGGCTCACAGGATCATCAAGAGGGAATCCAATCGTCTTGCAGTTGGATAAAAAGGCAAGGTCATTGATAATAGCTTGTAGATTTACATTTCCTGCCTTGGTTGTGTATACCAAACCATCTTCCGTGACAACACAAACTCTGACAATCGTATTTTCTGTTTGATAAAACTTGATGAATACTATTGGAGAAATTTTCACAGTATTCACTTGTCTACTTCCTTGGAATGATAATGCAAGCAGGGTGTCATACTTGGAATCTCTCTTATTCGTTTTCTTTGGATGTGAGACTTTAAATAATTGAGATGGTGTCTGTCCAAAGTTATCAATACGAGCTAAAACAGGATACTTGTCTCGTTCATCGAGTTGATCAAGATCAATCGTTCCTTCATAGGTCAAATAGTGGAACATGTTGTGAGCTTTCACTGCTTCAGGACCTCTTTGTTTATATCCAAATATGAGATCAATCCATTCATGTAAATGTTGCGAGACATAATCAGATTCGAGTGCTTCTCTATTAATTCTGATAAAGTCCTCTGCATTCTTGGCCCATGGTGGGAGAATAACATCTCCAATTTGATCACCACTTTGCTTTTCACCGAGAGTTAAATCATTTGGCTTTTTGAGAAATTCAGGCAAGTAAAAGAATTCAGGAATGAGTTCCTTGTGATCACCCTCACCGTGTAAACAATGATCATACGTTTGTGCTACGGATTCAAACATTCGGTCCGCATGATCAAACTTTCCTCCTTGAACCACTCGAGCCAATGTGGTATAGGGTTCTAGACGAATCAAATAGTAGGTCACATAGGCAGAAGTGGAATAGTGCGATCCATAATGATATGGAGGTTCTCCAGAATCTGACAACGTGATATACTTTTCTTCAACATTCTTGACCTTGTCAGGATTTACCACTCCCATAGGCTTTGATAAGTCTCTAAATGTAGATTCTTTGGTAAAATCAAGTGTTGGGCTCGAGTAATCTGCAATCACCCAAGGGAATACTGGATATTGTGAAAGGTCGTTAATAGTTCTACCGGCATACATGTTCAAAATCATTAAATATTCAAAGTTGGATATTTTTCCTTGTTGCCATTTCTTTGTCCATCCAGCTCGTTGTAAATTGTCTATTGGAGAGAAGGATTTTTCAACGGATCTCAAATTAGGACATTTGAGAGAAATTATTTTGGTGTAAATCTTATTTCTCTCATTCTTATCAAAGTTGAACATGACAGTAGATTCATCATTGAGATAAAATTCTAATGAACTCTTTCGCAATCTATATCTCATTAATCGAATTTCTACTAAATCCTCCAAATAAATAGTCTTTTCACGAGGAGTCTTGACTAATTTCGCTACCCGTTCACTCCAACCAAATGTTAGACACTGGTTTTCTTTATCTGCTGTCCAAATGATTCTCTTATTTGTGATTTCCATTTTTCCTGAGAACGGTATCATTGGAGTAATCATTTCACAATAAATATCTTTCATAATGGTCTTTTCTTTTTCGACGTGCTTTTGATTGAGTTGGTCTTCTGATTCGAATGGCTGTTGAGGTTGAATGGTTTGAGAATTGGCATTGATTGAAGTGACTTCATTGCTGTCCTCTGTTGAGTCCTCGCTTGTTTGATTGGTAATGACTGATAAATTAGGAATAAAAAAGGATCCCTTTTCCTTGATTTCCAATAATTTGTTAATACTTGTCTCTTGTGCTGATGGAGCAAGTTGGTCGCTCTTCTTCATAGAGGCATCTTTGTGATCAATTCCTGAGAAGTCTCTAACGAGTCTCAATCGAATGTGTTTACCAGTGATAGACTTGTCCAATTTCCATTTCACACTATCAGTTTGTTTGCCCCAAATACTTCTCTCATCTGCAACATTTCTCATTGTTTTCTTCCAATAATGGGAAGCAAGAAAATCAAACTCTTCATATCCTCGCTTTTCTTTTTTAATTCGTTCCTTCTCTTGTCTTCTGATATTATCCAAAGTTACTTTCATTTCGGAATCTAACTTCTTTTCAAACTCTGCAGAAGCTGTTTCATGATCTTTGACTGTGTCGTACAGTTTTTGAATTGTGTATTTCCTTCTAGAAATAATATCTTCCAAGAATCGAGCTTCTTCTTTTTCTGTTTGTCGAACAGCTGGAACAAAAAATCGAGCCCAGGCAAGTTTCCAGCTTTTTGAGTGAAATACTTGAAAGTCAGACAGAACAGCCTGCTTTTTAGAAGAAAATACCGAATCATCGGCAAGAATAGACTTGTCATCATCGGTCGTGAGCGCTTGTTCAAGATGATCCTTTCGTGTCATGAAAATTTCTCTAATTGTAATGAATATTCCCAAGGCCTCATCATCTCGTTTCTTTTCTACTAATCGACTCATCGTATCAAACAAGAAAGCTAATATACACATCAAACGTGTGTGAAAATCGTCATTGTTCTCAATGTCCCCGGTCACTGCCCAGAGCTCTGAAAATCTCAAAATTTCTTTTTCACTCTCTACATCTCTTTGGTTAATTCTCTTAATGCAATCGAGTAGAGATGGATCAGGTTTTTGGGATTCTCTCAAGCAATATCGAATGAGTCTCAGCGTAATTCTTAGTGTTCCTCCATCTCTCAATCGTTTACCACCTTGTACAACAGTTCTCAGGGATGTATAATTTGAAACAATGTTCAATTTCCATTGTGTAAGAATGTAAATGAGTTTTTCTGCAATTGGTAGATCTCTCCAAATGCCGTCTTCTCCTTTTCTTAAATTGATCTCGTCTTCAGTGTAATACGTAATTTGATGATTAGTAGTGGTGGTTGTAGCAGTGGAGCTTGTACTAGTATTTAAATCAACGCGTTTTGTACTTTCTGGTGTTGAAACCGTTATTGGTGTGTCATAGGTTGGAGTGGAAGGAACAGTAGAAGTATCAATATAGATAATTTCAGGATCCAATGCTGCTTCTCTCATCATTATGGATGATGTTGAAACTGTATCTTGTGATTTTGTTGGAGTTTGTGTGTTTGTATTCGTAACAATGCTTCGGATGGTTCCTAGAACAGTCTGGTTAGCATCTACTCGTTTTCTCAACCAACTACCTGAAACACTTTGGTAAGTCGAATCAAAGTAAAATAAATATTCCTCAATGAATGTAGCAAGATGCACAAAATTATCTAATATTGGGCTATTTCTGTCGTTGTAGTTGGCAATGATCTTGTCATTTTGAATGTCATTAATGTATTCATCCAAAATACGTTTGTAAATGCTTCCCAGGATTTCTTCAGCTCCCTCCAAATGTTGATCTCTGTCTTTCAAGAGAATAATGTGTCCAATTGTGTCTTCAATGTCTCTCCAACCTTTTTTCACTGTCTTCAAAGAGTGATACAACAGAATAGCTATCAATTCAATAACAATATCTTTGCAAAGCTCGAATTGAGCAGATTGTGTGGCATCATATGGTTGGGCGGCGTCCACCAATCTCGAAACACACAAAATGTTGAGCAACCATTCTTGCCACCCTACTTGGTGCAATACACAATCTTTGGCTTTGTTTGATTTCATTTGAATTTTCCAATTTTGAAGTATGTGGTGCTTTACATTTGGTTGAGTATTAACCAAGAGCCTGAAAATTGGTTGAATGACAGAATGAACTCTGTAACTATATTCTGTCTGTTCAAAGTCATCTTGATCCAAAATATCCTTAGTTTTTCCCTTTGAAATATTACCCAAGAATATGTCTCGTAGAACACCGTACGTTTGAATAGTAAAATTAAACACAGACAACGCATTGTAAATAGCAACAAATCCAAACGTTTCATCAGCACACATTTTTTGTCTCATCTTTGAATTCAGAACCAACATTTGTCCAATACATTTCAGTACGTTCAATCTTGTAGATTCCTTCATAATGTATAGGAGTTGAACGAACACTTGATATGCCTTCATGGTATAAAGCATTTCTGCAATTGCATTTCCATCAGGAGAGAGTAGTAACTCTAGAACAAATTCAATAATATCATCGTACTGCAAAGAGTCACTACAATCGGCAAGATAATTCACAATGGCCTCTAACTCTGAATATGTAATAGAGGTAGTTGTCATTGGTATATTAGGAGTACCCATCATGGTCTTATCATCACTACCAATGACTACAATTTCAGAGGACTTGGCAGTTAGACCCTTCAAAAGCAATATTAACTTTTGTCTAATTTCACGAATATCATCAATGTTTGGTCGTTGTCCTAACACAGCGGAGGTCACAGGGTTGCAAATCTTCTCAGTTCCCAGCTGATATTCGTAATCCATGTTTTTAGATCGTTCAAACCAGTAGAACCACCTCATCAAATCCAATAAGCGCTGAACACCCAAAATTTCTCGAACCTTTGTAAAGTTCTCTTTCTTGTTATTCAAGTCAAGGAGCTGTTGGAAGAGAATTTTTTGAACCTCAGCGTCGGTATAGATCCACAATCTAAAGTTAAATACTAAATAATTGATTGTGTCTGAATAGAGTAAACTATGACGTTGAACGCATGACAACAAAGTAGGTATTAAAGCTATGGTGCTTCGAGTTAAATGTTGAGGAGATATTTGCTTCAATAAGAAGCTAATCACTAAAAATCCTCTACATCTTGCCATGTCTTCAAGGTTATCCACATGCTCTGAAAGCAAATCAATGAGTAGAGAAAATAAGGTATTGACCATGTATGGCTCTGACCTGTCATTCACACTCACAACTTGATCACTATGGGAGAGTCGATCGAGTTGTAAAAACAATGGGAACAGCACCTTAATACCTCCCAAGCATCCAATGATATCCTTAGCATTATGAGTGACACATAGTTGAGTTCCGTTCAATATTCTCGCATTCAACATTGACTGGTGAATATCTGTTTTGATCTGAGGAACGGATTCCCCCAAGGAAGCCAATCCGTTGTATAATTGAAGTTGGTGAAAAGCCTCTGGAGTGTTGTTCACACAAATTTTGTTTAAGTTGGCTCTAGACTTTGGGCTGTAACACAAAATTATCTTTTGAGTGATGGAACCATCAAAAAGCTGCAAATATTCTTGAGATGTTTTGCTGTTATTCTTGGCTAAGACGGAATCTGTTGGTTGGAAGCAGTTCATGTAATTATATCCCAATCCATAAATGAGTTGAATAATATTTGGAGGTAAAGACTCATCAAATACACACAAAGTTCCCATTTGTCCATTGAAATTTGGATTTTCGGATGCTTGAAAACTATTTTGTCTCTTGTGGAATGTTCCTAATTGAAGATTTTCGTTCACTAAAAAGCTTGATCCAATCATACACTTATCCAGAGGTTTGTGGAAGGTAGGATATTTGAACAACACCTTGCATGGTGAGTTGCCATCAACATAGAGTTTAAGTTCATTCTTGGAAAACGAGAATGGACCTTTTCCATAACTATGAGTTAACATAATATGATACCATCTCTTTGGATCAAATTTGAAATCGAAAACCTCCGTATATTGCTTCTTTTGTGAGTGCTGAACACTAACTTTCAAATAATTATTCTCAAAATAAATTTCAAAACCCTGCCCTTCAGAGTTGAAAAAGCTAGCCAATCTTGGTTTGTAAGCAGCTGTATCCATTTGTAAATCTTTTCTCAAATTTGCAGAGTCAGTGACAAATGAAAATGATCGAGTTGACACTGGTGAAAATGTTGAAGGGTTAGCATTAGAAGCGGGTCTAGTCTCCACAAAACTCTCAACTCGAACCCACATTGAAATAGAATAACCTTTTGCGTTTGGCCAAATTCTGTTGTCGATCACAGGAAGTACCAAACCAGAAGCCAAACCATTGAAATCAAAAAATGCATCAGGAGAACTTTGAGTCATATTAGCTAGGGCCTTTAAAAGTATGGAAAGAAAGGTGGTATGATCTCGATCAGATTGCTGTTTGATCAATGTAAGGAACCCCTTAAGCTCCTTTACAGTAATTGAATGTCTACCAATAGTTTCAATTAATGTTACAATATCTCGAATTGTTTTATCCTCTGGATTTGCCTCTTTTTCAAATCTCGTCAGTAGCTCCAACAGAGTGCTGATTAATCCGACAGAGCAACAAATATTTCTGTTGTTCGTTGATTTCTCAACAAGCAAAGAGAATTTAGCAACCAACTCAGCAACATACGAAATGTCACAATTTAGCGCAAGTTGGAAAATTAAACGAGCCACGTCTGGATTTTGAATGGTGTAGTTTGTCTCGCTATTGAATTCTCCGTCAGATAACATGTCAAAGAGCACGTCGAAAATATCAGGAGAGGGCTTGTTTTGCTCACAGTGTAATATAAAATTCTTAAATGTATCATATCCAAGAATTGTCTTGAAGTGTTGTTTTGATTTTGAATTATCCGATATTAACGCCGTTAAAGTGCGTATTACCTCGATTGCCAACACATGTCGAGAAATGCAATCTGCTTCAGATGGGTTGGATGGAATGTTTAAATTGAGTAAGTGCATGAATTTGTCCAACTTGTCCCTGAACTGTGTTTGCAAAAGTTTTTTGTTTGATCCACACAGACCTTTTTGTACAGCAGCTAGCATTTCCATCAATAGCTGTAAATTAGGTTGAGTTGGATTGTCCATAATAACTGGAAATACCTCTGTAAAACACGTCAGTAATACTTCAAATTCGTGTGAATGTTCGATGTTCTTGGCATTCAAGAGCTGTCTAACGTGGACGAGAACAAAGTTTTTCAGGGTAGGATCTAAAATTATTTTGAACATCATTTCTATTGTGTTATGGCTTTGAAGAGCGAGAGTCAATGATTTTTCATGTGTAAGTGCAAAATCTAAAACGTTCAAAATAATATTTCTTGCTTCAATGGCCCGAACATGATCTTCTGTGTACTCGTTATGGTAAAATTGAGACTTTGGACGCTCCATGTCCAATGACATTACTAATGTATGCTGCTTTGAAATCACTCGAGATAGGACAGACATAGCCTTTAGGGAATACAGACTCTCTTGGGTGATGTCAAAGTTTTGTCTCAAAATGTCAAGTAGACACAGACCAATCTCTGATGCTACAAATGAATTCTCGTTATACAGTTCTAAAATATCGATTAATTTTCTACACTCTTCAACGTTATTTCTTCCCTTAATTGTAGAAGTATATTTCATAAAATCTATTACACTAGATCTTAACACTGCAGAAGCACACTCAATATATGCACAAATATCACTCCTCATTAACAATTCGTTTCCCTCATTTTCATCTTTGACGGGATTAGAATTGTTTGCCATTCTTTTCTCTTCTATCTTGTTAATTGGGTTGAAAGACCCTCCATAAAAGTAGAAATATTTAGAAAAAAGAACGTCGTATAATTCATTAGAAACCATAACATCAAGAGCAGTTTGAGACTCGGACACTAATCTGTTAATACTGTCTATGAAATAAAAAGGAAAGTCACTCAAAAGTCTCAACTTTTGTAGTGCTTTTTCGGTGATGCTTTCCTTATCTCCTTCATTATCAAGGAAAAATGAAAATAATAGTTTGGAAAGGTTCTTTTGAATTGTGATGTCTTGATCGGTATTGTGAAGAACTGAAGAGTAGGAAGAGTAGGTATTATCAAAAGTTGGCATGCTCGATGGAGTGCCTGGAGTAGAAGTAGAGCTATGGAGAGTTTTTGGGAAGGAAATTATGGTTGAAAGCTTTACGAGCTTTCGTAGGCAGTCAAAAAAGTGCATGGCCCTTTCATTTGCGGTTTTTGAAATAAATCCAGGGCAAGGAAATGGCTTCACATTAATGGAACCGCTATTGGAAATTGGGGTTGGAGGGAATCTGAAATTACCCAAGTCTAATGAACCGCTTCGTGATCGAACAATGGATCCCATTTGAGGAAGAGGGTTGTTTCTCAATGTTTGTGCTTGGCTCTCATAGTCGCTACTCAACGTACAAAAGAAAGAAATCCACAAACCTGTCTCTCTAATCTTGTTAAAACCCTGCTTTCCAAATAGTCGAAGATAAGAATAATTACTCTCGATCAACCTTGTTATTATCTTCATGGTTAGCAGTTGAGTTTGAAAATAGTAATTTAGACGTTCGGCGTTTAAAGAGAGTATATCAATCTTAAACCATTCTGTATCGTGTAAAATAGAAACATGTTCAATAGGCCATCCAAGATATTTTACAAGAATGTCACAACCTCCTCTAGAAAGGAAAATATCTCTAAATTGGTGCTCAGCAAGCTGGCTTATAGCTTTGAGCTTGTCTGTGGTTATAATTGCCCTAACCATTTGCAGTGAGGCTTCTTGGAAATTGAACAAGAAGCTCCATGTTTCGTAGTACTTTGGACTGTGATGATGGCCGTCATATTGCTTTGAAATAGAATCTCTAAAAGTTGTCAACATCTCAATGATGATATCCATGAAGTCAATATCTTCTCGAGAGGTTATATAGGTGAGCATTTTCTGCCTTCTGAAATTCTTATTATTTTGATACCAAATATTGTTCTTACCCGGTTCACCTCCATTTATACTGGAAGACCTTGTTATTGAGAGAGGTGTGGGAACATCTGAGTTATTCGTATTAGTGGTATTTGTTGGAACATTTGTTGCAGTGTTGTATGATACAGACTCACAAAAATGTGAAAAGATTTGAATGCCGTTTGACAAAATATAAATTACAAAATCCAAACACTGTCTCAATTCATTCTCAACCTCAATGGCTGATTCAATAGAAAGTGTTGAAATTTCTCGGTCACTAAACCTCTTATCTGCAATAATTAATTGAAGTTTACATAAAGCCGTTTTCAAAATATTAGAAACGAAAGGAAGGACATTGAATTCCCTCATAAATAATCTGTTGTGATGAGATCGTGTGAGTATTTCAATAATATCCAAAAGATAGAGTGATCGAATGCTTAAATTATTAGACTTGTCCAAGTTAAAATCTGTTTCAAGCAATAATTCACATAAGAAATGAGTATTGATTGTGATCAAAACTACATACCTTTCAAAATCGTTTGAACTTGATGTTTAAAGTGTGAGCATACTGTTGATAACACATCAATAGGATGCCCTATGGCTCCTTTAAAACCTTGTATTTGAATAGTAGAGTCGTGTGAATACGAAATGTCAGAAAACGATCCTGACTGCAGTGAACCCAAAACATCCGAAGAAACTCCAACGCTAGAAAATAATCCATTGTTGGCAGTAACAGCCTTACTTCTGGCTCTTGAATTACTTTGTGTTGTGACAACTGCCAATTCCAACACATTTTGTGGTGGAAACCAGTCGTTATATTTCTCTTTTAGTTGTGTGATAAATGATTCAAAAGCTGAATTGGTCGTCTGTATGATGATGTTCCACAAATCATGTCGTTAAATAAAGTATGATATTGAAAGTTGTAATTGTTTACCATTGTCATGATATCAATTTCACATTAACAGTATTTCAATAATATACTAACTTTTTCAAATGATGAGAGAGCAGAGTCTTTCGATGACTCTCGGGATAAATTCTCTTGTACAAATAAATTCCATGATTTGAGTAATTCTTCCGATTCAAACGCAATGTCCAATAAATAAGTATATGGTTGAGCCCAAATCTCTTCATATCGTTTATACTCTTCTTCGTCTCTCCGATCAAAATTGAAATGATCAAAGCCTGTTGGTGTAGAATCACCTGGAGTGTTGAGTGAGAGCGATTTATTGGGAGTACTCGATGAAGAGTTTGATGATGTGTTTAACTTTCCCAACCCCAACGTTCGGAGCAGGTAATTTTTCATTGTGTCGATTGGTGCTGTTGTTTGTGATGATGTTGTGTTTCAACGATCGTATGATGATGACTCTAAAAATCAGATCAGTATCGGTCGGCTTGGGAATGAGAGTGAAATGAGAAGAGTTGGGGTGAGACTCGGGAGTTTTTGAATTTTTTGTTTTTATGTTGATGGGAAATTGAGGCTCTTTGGTGTGGAAGAGGTCAAGTGAGACTCAGAGTTGTGATTATTACAATTGTAGTTGAAGATTCACAACCGTTCTTCTTTTTGTTGCCAAGAATCAAGTCTCGCCATTATAAATTTGCTAGAAATGAAAGGAAATTAAATTTCGAGAGCAATCGTGCCAGAGTCGAAAGGGAACAAGAAGTTTGTCGTTGTTGACTCGAGAAAACTTTGATTTCAAAATTGAACCATCACTTTCCACCAAAAGCAAAGAAGAAAAAGAATGTGTAAACATGCCTTCTTCGTGTTGTGATTGCGACGAACAGAAGAGTATATCGGAAGAGTCTGTAAAATTGCGTTAGATTTGCCACCCGCAAGATAGGCTGCACAAAACTTTCATTGTAAAAAGTTAGTCAACCTGCAACTGGCCACTTGAAAATCTGCGAAAGCAGAAACGAAAAATATTTTCTTCGTTAAAAAAAATAAATCAACCATGAGAGAAAAGTGGAAGAAGAAGCGTATGAGAAGACTTAAGCGTAAACGCAGGAAGATGAAGGTGAGTATTGCGAGACTTTTATATTAGTTGATCATTGTTTATGAACAATTTTGTAGCAACGTGCAAAGTAAATGAGCACTGGTGGCAAGCTTCATGCCTGGGATCGCTAATGGAGGACCGATTGAGAATCCCAATCTGAAGACGAAAGACCCCTCCAACTAAATAAAAACCAGTTTTCAAATTTGATTTTGTATTGTTCTCCGTGTGATGACGGCACACCCGCACACCTGTTGACTCGAGTTGATTGAATCACAGTCGTTTATTGTGTAATGAACGCCACCTATTTATCCTTCTTCTTCGCCTTCTTCTTTTTCTTGGGCTTGTTCTTTTGAATGAAATTCTTTAGATTGGTTCCGAGCTGAGTTGTCAGTTCCTTGTATGCTATCTTATCTACACGTTCGTAAAGACGAATCCTTAATATATTTTCCTTCTGTTTTGCCAATTCAGCAAACATTAACACTGCTTCAGGTTCCACTGTTACATAGTTGAGATCCAAATTTTGAAGAGCATTATTTGGGTTTTGTTTGATCGAGTCGCACATTCGAGACACAACATCAGTCTTGAGAGGAAGACCTTCATTGCACCCAGAGAGATTGAGGGTTTGGAGTTTTTGAGAACGAGCCAGTGCCTGACCGATGGCATCAAAACCTCTGTCTCCAATCGAATTACCTTGCATTTCGAGAATTTGGAGAGAGGTAGATTTGGCAATGGCTTCATTGGCTAATGAAACAGCTCCCTCCTCTTCTATTCCACAGTAATTAAGTGACACTTTTATGAGAGAAGGACTCCAAGACAGGCCCACTGCCAATGCAGACGCACCTTCATCTCCCAGTTCATTATGATCCAAATTTAAATACGTCAGCGTTTCGTTGTGTTGCAACGCTCTGGATATTGCTTGGCATCCTTTCGGTCCCACTCTATTGTCGATAATTTCCAATTCTTTAAGTTGTGGATGAGGTTGTAGCCACTAATGATTCAACCAAGTGTTTTGTTGACAAACATGATGATCAAAAGCAAGACGAAATGCACAACAACAGGTCATCCCTAGCAATCATAACAATCGGATTTTCACCTACCTTTCCAATGAGCTGAACTGTCTTATCCGAGAGATTATTCCGCCAAAATGAAACTTTTTCATATCCCTGAATACTGCTATCCAGACTTTCTATTAACGCCTGAACAGCTTCCAAAGACAATTCTTCAGTTATCAAAAAGGGAATATTTAAAGTGGTTGGCCCTTCCTCCGATTTTACGAGCCGATTCAATTTTTGAGCAACGGAAGGTAAGGGCACCAAGCTCTTATCTTGACATGATTTCTCGTAGGTTTTTAAGAATTTTCGGATTGCCTTTCTATTATTTTCAATTTCATCTTCTGCTTTTCCTCCAGATTTTCCTGAGGACTTCCCCGATGATGATGATGGCTTTGCTTTGGGTGGCATGTTGTTGATAGGTGCCTTTTATTGGGATTTGTAGTTTTGAAAAAAACCGTTATGGAATTAAGGACCCAAAAATTAAGTTCAAATGAGGTGAGAGCAGTAGATTTTTGATGGGTCTTGATGCACCCGAGAGAGATGATGCATTAAGGTCTCTAAACTAACGATTGAAATAATTGCTTGAACATACCCAAAGCAGTTTAAATTGTGTGAAACGCAACATCACCAAGCACTTACTGTCCAACAAAAAATGTTTCGCCTAGATGCCTTCAACAAAATCCTTCATTGCTGTGGTCATCATGATGAATGGAGTCATCGATCATGGAGCACTTTGACTACCATAATCTCACGAAAGAAAGTGTCATCTACATTCAATCGTCCATTCTTCATTCAGAATAGTTTTAATTGTAACACTCGATTCTATTCGACGACAACTTCCGAGCCTATTTCAACAACACCGTTAAAACCAACAAATGAAGAGGCCTCATCCACACCAATTTCAAACTCTATTAATATTGAAGATTTTATGAAAGTAGAAATCGTTGTTGGACAAATTTTAAGCGCCCAATTCGTGAAAAAGTCCAAGAAATTAATTTGTTTTCAAGTGAATGTAGGAGAGCAAGAGACTCGACAAATACTTTCGGGAATACGAACTCATTACCCAAATCTTGATAAAAATCCTGCACCTTCAGAAGAGGAGTTGAATCAGTTGTTTGTTGGGCAAAAAGTTCTCGTCGTCAAGAATTTAGAGCCGAAAACCATGGCTGGCCTACAATCTCACGGAATGATCTTGTTTGCAACCATTGAAAATTCTGAAACAAAAACATCTGAAAATATTGAAAATACAATCACTCCAATCATACCAAAAGATTATGAACGAGTAAAGCCGGGAACGAGAGTTTATTAACTATTAATTTAACGATGACAATATCATTGCATGCGAATATTTAAAAAAATGCTTCGCTCGATTTGCAATACAAAGAATTCAATCAATTTTTCCATCATAAGCCGTACCATCAAAGCTTCATCGTCATCATTGGTAGTAAACAACATGATGAGAATGGAATCATCTTCGGACATGATGTTTTCCACTCGTTCTGTTGTACGAGGAGATGAAAGCGGATTTCATGATGATTTTAAAACAGTCCGCAAACCTCCACAACAGAATATGAAGGAATTGTTCGAACAGAAGAAACAAGAAGTTGATAAAATTGTACATTCCAATAAGATTGTATTATTCATGAAAGGTACACCTGAAAGACCAGAGTGTGGCTTCTCAGGGGCTGTTGTAAAGATTCTCTCATTATACAATGTCGATTATGCTTCGTACAACATGAATAAGGATGTCATGATGAAGGAAGCATTGAAAGAATACAGTGATTGGCCAACCATTCCACAATTATTTGTTGATGGAGAATTAATTGGAGGAAGCGACATTGTTTTAAATCATCATAGAGAAGGTACTTTGCAAGAAGTGCTCGAAGGAAAGAAGGAGTAATTGTTTTATTCTCGACAATAATTTGTGTCACAAAGGAAATTGAGCAAGCGTAATGTATTGGCTGCTATTAAATTTTCATAACTATCCTATGGTTTAATAACATCTCATGTTATATTCATGGTATGTATTTATTATTGTTCTGTCATTCTAACAATTTCACTCAGCCCATAAAAATCGGCCAGAGCTAATGCAATACTCTTTCCAAGGGACTGATAATTCTCCATTGTGAATGGAATGTACCTTTCCCTCGAGTTGTCACTAGTATTGGATTTATAGCTCAAAAAAGATACTTCTAAGGTATAGCAATATTTTGCAACCTGCAATACTTCTCCCAAAACTCTTCTTGAAGTGCCAAGCTTGGATGGGTCTTTGCATCTTTTGGTGTCGTTCATTGAGAATTCTCTCGCTTTTTGATCTAATAGCTTGGGAAATCTCAATTGATCATACGAATCTGACTTGGACGAGGAACTAGCATAGTTAACATACATGAATCCATTGAATGCTCCTGAATGTGAGTGTAGGTCCATGTAGAAGTCAATTTGAGATTGAGGATCGTTTTTCAATTCCAACAAATATTTCCTAACATGATAAATTGTTGGTTGCGACCACTCTTGAGGATTTAGCCAATGCCTATTAAGATCAAATCCCATCGAGCATGTTCTATAATTACCAATGGCAACACCGTCTGGATTCAACATGGGAACTATTTTGAATACTAAGTGATCCCTTAAAATTTGTGCTATTGGATGATTGGACACAATGAAACTGATAAATCCATGACAAACATAACTGGCAGGGGTCTCTCCTGGATGAACTCTGCTAGTCATCATTACAATTCTCTTTTTGGATGACGAAGATGGTTTGATGTTTGTAATGGTTAACAAGTCACATCTCCTCTGCTGCACACTACGGCATAGAAGACTCCTCTTGAAATAAGGAAAATTCTTGCATTCTATGAAAAACAAGAATTTCTGCAAGTCCGTATACGAGTAAGGATAACAATAGGCAAACTTATATTCGTCTTGCTCATTGTCAAAAACAAACACAAATGAGAGGAGATTGCTTCCTTGCTGCGACACGCTGTTACGTTTGGACCCTTTTTCCTTTCTATAATAATAGACTTGCTTTTCAGGAATTCTTTCCCATCTATTTCTACTGCTAGAACTTACAATCGGCGTCATGCCGTATCTATACAATGACTTGTTTTTGCTTAAATTCATAATGGTGAAGAGAACTTTTTGATTTTTCAAAACGTTGGACACTTTAAAATAGAACCACATCTTCTTGCTTGGATTGAAGGTATCTCCCCTTATATAGAGCTCGTACTCAAAATCATGTACTCTAACGACTTTTTCTAAATTTCCGCATTCAAAGGACGCATCAAACATTAAATTTCCACGGTATGTATATCGTGGGAAGGATTGACTGTTTGCTGAATTGGTTGCCTGTGAATTAGCACCCGATATGGCGCTACTTTTCGAAGATTTTGAGGATAAATCGGTATTGGAGGGAGAAGGAATTTCTTCAAAACTATCAAAGCCTTTCTGTTGTGCCTGTGAATTTACGCTGATTGTAACTTGTTGTTCAGAGTTCATCTTGACGTCCTCTTGAAAATTGCAAAGATCGTTTTCTTCCTCGGCTTCTTCTGGCGAAGAGGAGGACGAAGATGAATAGATGTGCTCATTGCTTATCTCATTCTTTTCAATCAAGGTGGAAAGGTACTCTTCGGAATAGGTACGTGTGTAGGGTTCTGTTGAATCATTTAGATCATTTCGCTCTTCTTCCTCCTCAGCCTTCACCATCTTAATAAAAGCCTCAATATCGTCGATTGTATTTACAATTCTCGGGTTTCCGAGTATTAAGGGTTCCGAGTCTATATTCAACTCATCTTGATCAAAGCCAAATGCGTGCTCATTCATCCTATGGGATGATTTATCCTCTATTCAATTTTTTTTTAAGGTCAATGATTTGACCCCTCATTTATTCCGATAACACAATTATTACATCCTTGAATTGTTTATTTACTTAAACATCAATTTAGTATCATGGAATGAAATATTACATGCATGTGATGGTGGAGGAATTGATAGCACTAGTTTCTCTGCATAGATAGTATATAAATACTGAATCTTCTTTGTACAGATTACTCAGATATACACTTCCTTTTGCATGATCAATGGAGTGTATAGAGTTTCAAAAGTGGCATCATACCCAATCCAAAAGAGCTCATACAACAGGAACATGTTAAACCATGTTTCACACACAAAGAATAACGCTAAAATTGGAAGTCGTTCATGCAATCGCCAATCATAGGTTGCGCCATAGGTTGCTGATGTTATTCTCCAATTCAGAAAGAGTCCAGTCAACCATGGAATAAATGCAAATAATGCAAACCATCCAAGTTTTGCGACAATCTTTGGCACCATTCGAGGCTTCAGTGTTAGTTGTACCTGGAAAGAGTGTCGTATTTTCTGTACAGATCGTATCTTGTTTAGGGGGTTCTTTGTCACACTTAATTCATATTTTTCAATAGCATCACATGGTCTTTTCATATTTTCAAGATCTTTGAATCGGTTTTTCTTATCACCTTTCTTAATCATATCACCATTTCGTAACAAGAAATAAAGATTTTGTTCAGTGGTCTCGGCATGCAAAGAACAATCTTCAATTCCAAACAATGGAAAACAATATCGTTGTAAAAATATTTCTTGTAAGGATTTCTCTGTTTTTAAAATCATGGTTCGTTGAGAAAGAAAATGAGCAAAATAAACAAAGTATTTCGAGGGAAGTTTCAATTGTTGCTTGATATTGCTGCAGTTGTCTAGTGTGGAATCAACATGTGAGCTTAAATTTGTGAAAATTTGAAAATTCATCTCCTTGTTGTTGGCAAGAAATATCTGACCTCTCAGTCGGATACATCTAGGATTCAGCGTACGATTAGGGCTGTATGGAAACATCATTTTTGTAGAACTTCTATTTTTCTGTTGCTTGTTTGATTCGTTGTTTGGGGTTAAAATATAGCTGTCTAGCAGTGATTTGATGATAGGATGTAAGGAGCTGAATGTTGGCATTGTCGTTAGAGAAGTCACTGGAGTTTCTTTGTTGGTAAAAATTTGATTCCTTTTCATACGCTTGTACATGGTATACTGTTTAACATCTTCATATTCGTTTTGTGTAAGCGATAGCTTGAATTTCTGAAGCATTGATCTAAATCCATGAAATGATGGAGAAAAACGACTCTTGTATTCAATGCAATGTACTTTCCAAAACTCTTCATTGTTACCACCAACATCGTTATCGTCATTGATCAATTTCACTATTATTAATGAGGATGAAGGTATCATCCAATTCACGGCAATTGGCTCTTTCGCAAGTTTAAGAACTACAGTGATTGTACTTTCATAGTGCCACAAGTAAATATAAATATTTTGGGAGACAAATGTAAATATAAATTGTAACTCTGAAATGGTCCATTGTTTGGATTGAAAGTGTTGAACAAAATGGCTCAATTGCCGTTTTGAGTCACATTTCAAGTATCTTTGAATGTGAACACGTTGTTGTGTATCATTTTCATTGTATGTTCGAATATGTTTCAAAGTTACAAAATCTTTCATGTTCGACAATTTTTCTTCACTATTAAATAAATATCTGAATTTTGTTGGAATACGCAATAAATCATAAATAAAATCTAAACTTTCAGTACACATGTTGTCATTTTGAATTTCTTCTTCATCATAGAAATCTCCATAACGCGTTCTCACCAAAGAAGATGGAATTTTTGGAACATTGAATTTCGCACAACTTATTTGAAATAAAAAACACATCATTTCAATAGTAGAAAGATATTTTTGTGATTTCAAGGAATCTCTAAAGAATATTTTTCGATTTAACCGATCGAGTAGGATTTTGTGTAAATCCCTCAAGTCCTCATCATGATTATTACAACATTCTTGGGAAATGGTTGAATCCGATAGAGATCTCTTCAAGATTTTGTTAAAAACCTTCTTCCAAACGGCTAAATATTTCCATTCAAATAAATATGGGGATGGAAGGAAAGAGAAAATCTCTCCGATCATCTCAGGAGGTAGTTGAAACCATTCACCAGCAGAGATGGTTGTTATGGGGCTCTTGCAGGAGAAGGCCATTTTTTTTAAAGTCCTTTTAGACAAATTCTTTCCCAAGACCCAATATGAGATCATTTGTTCCTTAAACACATTTCATTCCTTTTTATTAAATCAATGAAACAAGCCCAAAATTTAAATGTTTCAGCCATCGAATATGTGTTGAGTTGGGGATTTAAGTAAACATTGATGGTTTACAGAGTAATCTTTTCAAAATCAAAATCGTCTTGTAAAGTAGTAATAATTATTTTCAGGATCCTTTTGTAACAAATAAAGTACCACCTGACAAAATGATGGTGATCCTCCCTTTTGCGTTAGTTGCATTTTGAAATCCTCAATTTCATGCAAATTGTGATCAAAATCCACACCAAACCATTTTAAAATTACAAGACCTAGAGAGTACATGTACCTTCAAACATGCATTTTCCCTTTGATAGTATATATTCTTTGTCATACTTGAATCTCTTGAAAATTTCAAAATCTATCAGAAAATAATGATCATCGTATTTCACGATATTATCTGGTTTCACGTCATTGTGATGGCGACGGTTGCATTCCAATATTCTTCGGCTCTGGTTGTTTTGAAAAAGACTTGTTTACCTCTCATAATCTCTTTGTCATAACGTGTCACAGTCTTAAACGTTGGGTCTGGAATGAAAGAGTAAATATCTTGGTCAAAGTGGACCATTCGTTTCTGCTTTTGGGACTGAGCAGAACAAATTGCAGATGCAGAAATGTGGCTTCTGGTGCTCAAATATTGACACATTTCTTTGTGATAGATGTTCTTCATCGATGTCAAAATGAGAGCAATTAAATGAACTCGGTGAGAGATGTTGGTGTGGTAAAAGCTGCCCAAAAACTTCGTTGAATAATCAACTTGGATGCTTGTTTTCATAGTATCGTCTATCACGCTATACAATGCATATACATTTGCCTTTTCTTTGTCAGTAGTTATTCCAATGGTTACAATATCATTGTGCCATTGTTCGACGTTGTCATGAAGCAACTGGCGCAAACAATATGAGTGTGCCAATCGACACATTAAAACCAATTTTGGTAAATCTGGGTGCAACAAGTGATGATACTTGTCTGTTTTGTCTTCTCGTAGCAATGAAATGTAATAATTGTTACAAGGTTTATAGAATTCAATCATCCGGTTTCAGACGTCTAATTGCATTTTTCATGTGCTTTTGTGATTCAGATAGCATGAGTTGCTCATTAATTTCCACATTTCTTTTTCAACAGTTAGAACTTGGTAATATTTGATTTTCAGCCTACCTGTTTCTATAACAATTATCAAAGAGCGCACAAAAATCAAAAAGAGGATACACAAAAGGTCCACAAAAGGCCAATTCTGAAGGATCGTTACAGAATTGGGATGTATGTGGAGAGAAAGCTCTTTGCACAATATTTTCCAACCAATCTTTCTTTTTAGTTTCTAATAAATCAGCCAAATCTTGCATGGTCTGCTGTTTTTGAGTTTGTTCAGACGTTTTATCTGAAAGCACAGTCAGGTACTCTTTACAAGACACAAAAAAACTTGATTCTTCAATATTAATTTTTTGCTTGTCAGACAGCTCAATACTCAACACCTCCAATGTGTATCTAAAGAAGGTAGTTTTTTTCGCCAACTTGTGGCCAAGCGATGCCCACCAACAGTCAGGAAGCCTCTTTTGCATAATTGATCCATGAATTTTTGGCAAATCTGTGACTTGTGAAGGATTATATTGTGGTGTATTCGATTGCTCGATCTTGGCACAAATTTTTTCCAGTACAGCATGTGCGACTGTTTTAAGTTCGAATTTTCTTAGAAACAATGATTAAAAGTGAGCCCTACAAGCAATTTAAACTGTGATGCTTACCTCTCTGTTTTGATTTTTTTCTGTTTACTCTCCGAAAAGATCGTTGGGAGTGGATAGTGTTTGGTTCTTTTTTTTGTGTGTTGATGATGATCTTCCATATGATATGGGTGGTCTTGATTATTCGGAGGAGGAGTGGGTTGTGTTACGTAAAGTCAGGCTTGTGGTTTGTGAGGACATTTTTGATCAAAAAAAAGAACGGTTTTCTTTGGCGGTAAATTTTACAGCAACAATTTGTCTTTTTCAAATCTTTGACACTTTTCATGTAAAATCTTAACATTCTTCATGTCGGTCAGGGAGAGAAGAAGTGAACACTTTCCTTGAAGGTAATGACTATTCATGTGTATACTTGGAGTGTTGGTTGAGTCACTTCCGCCACCACCACCACCGCGATTCGAATGACTATTGCTACTACCGCTACTCATGGTATTGCTTTCCATGTTCACACGACGGTTGTTGGTTTGTTCATGACAATGGATTTCAACAAGGACTCGACTTGTTTCAAATCCGAATGAATTCTCTGTTGTAATTGATTGGCTTTGTTTTTGTGGCAAACGAGTTCATAAATTGCAAGTAGAGAAGAATTCTGTTGTGGTTCAGTTCCAGCACCAGTACGACCTTGTGTAGGATTGGCAACCATACCTCTTTGAGACAATCGTGAAGACAATGAGTATAATGGATGAGTTTTTGTGTTTTCATTCATGACATCTCTACCACTGGATGAGGATGGTAATTGAGGTGATGCAGTCGTACTATTCGTGGTGCTAGAACTAGTAGTGTTCGTAGTAGTAATGATATTCTTATGGTTGTGAATCGTTTCTATCATGGTCAGTGAGCTCTTGGCATGTTCGGGCATCACTTCATTCAATAGAATATCTTCAGAATAGGACTCATAAATCTTTTCACGTGGCAAAATGTCAATAAAATAACAAAGGAATGCTTCTTGCACTTTTTCATAGGTTTGTGGACCAATGAGAATGGATGTGTTGAAGTAATGATTGAGAGTGGTTAATTTGGATGCAATTTCAACGTTTTTTCCAAATACGGTATAGCTCATTCTGTTGGGTGTATGAACTAAATTTCCACACAGTACACTTCCAGTGTTAATTCCAATCTTTACACGAATAGGAATGTTGCACTCAGGTTCATTTTCACGAATTTGTTCAAGCAGTGATGTTTCTTTCTCACTCGTATCATCCTCATTTTCTTCCAAAAGATGTTGATCAGCATTCGCTGTCATGTCCACATTATCATTGGCGGCTTCTTTGTTGAAATGAGTCATTTCCATACATCCTTCCAAAATTTCAAATGCAGTTGCACATGCCTTCAACTCATGATCGTGCAATGGCATGGTCGTCGGTTCATTAAAATAGCACATCAAAGTTCCATCAACATTATTAAAAGTATCAATCACTCCTTGATGATTATGAATAATATCACTCACAAATGTGAAATAATTGTTTAACAAGTTGAGTAACTGATGAGGTTTTAAAGTCTCTGAAAGTGTACGAAAACCCTCCATTTCGCAACAGAGAATAGTCATGACGGGTAGAGCGGTGCCACCATAACCATACGGAGATGTGGCACAATTAGGTACAATGAAACCAGAGAGATCTTGAAGCAGAGCTTCTTGTTGTCGCATCATGAATTTCTTAATCACAATTTCGGGTACATATCTATGGAGCCATATAGGCGAGTCATGGTGAATAGTCCCATCATCAAATTTGATCATTAGAACCACATCCAATGAGAACGTTGAACTCGTTAGCATAACATCAACTTACTTGGTAATAGTATTCATACCCTTCTTCATACTCGACATGTATTCTTGCATTTCCTTAATGTCACTAAATAAACTCTTTGAATGACCATCTTTGAGAGCGTTAATATTCAAATCTGTTAGAGTGCTCAATTTCAACATTTCCATTGAAATTTGATACAATGGAGTGCTGATTCCTCTCACACAAAAGAATAAACAAATCATTCCAAATATAAATACAATTAAAAAAACGACTACTGAGGTAATTCCTCCTGTAATAATTTCATCAGCAAAAGTGGCAGTCTTTGTTGCAACAGCTACACCCCATGACAATTGATATAAATCATTCACAACAGTTAATTCAACGTCGAGTACAGTATCCTTATCAATAAATGTTGATCTTTCAATAAATTTGGAACAAATTCGATCCATAGATAGATCACAACTTGTAGAATTGAGTAATTTCAAAATATTCCTCGATCGATAGGAATTAATGATTGCTTGTGCTGTGTTGTATTTTGCATCATTGGTATTGGCATTGAGAGCAATTAAATCTCCGTCAGAATTTGTAATAAAAGCCAAGTCTAAATCTCCAAATAAATTACTTGAATTTTTCAAGAGACGACTCAATGTTTGTGATTGTAATTGAAATCCAACAACTCCATACAAATGGAGAGGATTTTTTTGAGAACTATTCAAATTCTCGGGAGATATAAAACGAATGGCATTGGTGGAATTTTCTGGTAAAAATGCATAGGAAGTATCTCCTTGTACTTCACTTTGTGGTAATTGGGTTAAATTATTGATCGTATAAACTGGAATGGTAACTGCAATGGTTTGATCTCCTGAAACAGTTTTGAAGACGGGTGCCCACCGAAATTCAGTCCAATAATCTTCACTTCTTGCATAGGTCTGATACCATGGCCGTGTTTGAACTCGTGTTGTGGAATTTGGATTACATGCCACCCGATAAAAATATTGTCTCAAATACATATCTGAAATTCTCTGATTGGGCATATATCTCCAATAGTACTGGCATTGAGTTTGTAATTCAATAGATCCATTCATAAGTGTGAAATAGCCTGGAGTATTTCTACTGTACCCAATATAGACATTGTCATATCGTGCAAAATTAACAGCATCAATAGGCATACTAGTTCCATAGAGGTCAACAATGTAGTGAAAGAGTGTGAGCCAATGTGTCGTATTTTTAACATCAAAATGTGAATCACTCATTTGCCATCGCATCGTGTCAATCGCTAGCGAAGTATAATCCACTAAATTTAAAATTTCTTGTCCACTGAATGTTCGAATTTGTAATTGTTGTGAGTTGAGCGTATCTTGCACAACTTTTTGACCACTACTATACAATAAAATAAATGCAGCAGAAATTCCAAATATTCCTTGCAAAATAAAAAGAAACAAAAGAGTGTTCATGATAGTGATACACCGAGGAGGATGACAAAGAAAGGTCACTGGTCTTGACGCACAGCACATACATTTGAATAATAACCATATGGAATATTCACTATGAAGAATTTCCGATTCTTTTTCATCATGTGACAAGGATGTATTCTTCATAAAGTGATTGTGACTATGATTATAATAATTACTATCATCTTCATCATCTGTATCATTGTAATCTCCATCATCTTCATGAATGATGGCATCTGTCATTAATCGAACATTATTTTTCGAACTTTTTCGTTTGGAGTTGGCCGATGATGATTCAGCAGCGTTTTGTATCACTCGAATCGTATCATTCTTTTCTAGCACTGTGAGCGAGAAAGGAAGAAGAGAAGACAGAAAGGATGAACTTGTTGATGGTTGTGATAAAACATGTTGTGGATGTTGAGAAGAAGAACCTTGTTCTAATAATTGTTCCGAACTATTGAAATCGATCATGTTTGCTGCGCTACTCGTGATGGGAGTATTGGTTGGAAGTGTCAGGTGTGGTTGTTCACTGGTAATTCTTGTTGTATTAGTTGATGGTACAATGAAGGGCGTACTGGATTTCTGTTGTTGTTGCGAATTTAAATTTTCTGGAGTATTAGTTGTTACACGAGCTTGTTGTTGTTGTGTTGATGATAATGATGATGATGCTGGAATGACTTTTTGTACTCGGGAGAAGTGAGAAGCGCAACAAAAGTAGGAAAGAAAGGCTTCCAGCAGAGTTTGTGCTTGATGTCTCTTTCTTCGTCCGAGATGAGAATCAAAGCCTTTTCGTTGTTGTTGCATTTTGTTGTTCGATGAAGTGGATGATGGAGGTGATTCTGAATAATGAAAACGTTGTTCGGCATCTTCAAATTCGTTCAGAGCGACCGTGTCTCCGTCGCGTTGTTGCTCGTGGTTCAACATGCTCTTTTTTTGTGCTCTGGTCTGTAATTAGTGTGCAGGTAATACGAAAATTTTTTCGAAGTTCAGTCTTAGGCTAACCGTTCAATTTAAGGTTTAATTAAACAACAGCTACTCGTTCAGAAACTTGAGTTTATTTCTCCAACAATATCTTAGCTGGATTACTTCACCTACAATTGCATAAACTAACCTATTGCTGCCATGTATTTCAAACTTGCGGACAATTTAGAGACAAGGAATAAACTCACTATGCATATACTAGCCACAACCGGGCCCCGAAAATCAATAGAAGCAAAGGATAGAACTCTTCGCAGGTGCAAGTTTCCTCGAAACTCTCAACACCTTAGTAACAAAACCCCCTGGGTCAGTGTTACAACTACACTCAAACAAACTTTTGACATAACTATGTCAAGAAAAAACGAATTCATAATCATCTTAAAATTGTGCAGTAATACAACTAGTTCAAGAATACATACCAGATATTTTCGTTCTTTTAAATTGGTAAGGGTGGGGCGGTGGGAGTACTAAGGATGCTGAAATCTTTGACATGATAGGGAGTGGATATTTCTGAATGATATCCAATAATGGTTGACTGCTGCTACTCATTGTTTATGCAATTTTTAAACTTGCTTAAACCAAAGAGCACAATTACCATTCTATTTATACTCAAAAAACTTTCATTGTAATCCTGGTTGACTTCGTAGCTTCGTTGTTTACAATATAAACTTTCGTAAGTCCCTGTCGGTCCTTACTACAATTTAATTAAACAACAGCTACTCGTTCAGAAACTTGAGTCTTACTAGCTAAAGACCCAGCTGTTGGGAGACATTTCTTTCGCCTGAGAATTCTGAACGAAAATATCTGTCAACAGCATTAGAAGACCAGTCACCTATGGCCTTAATTGCCGCTTCTGAGAACTTGGCGAAACTAGCTTCGGTTGCTCCACCAATACGCAGTGAGTGAGATGAATATTTCCCATCTTCTCCGATCCAAATTGCAATCTGTTTCAAAATCCATGAAACTTCCACTGTATTCATTTCATGAGAACCAGTGAAGAGATATTTACCTTGATCTCTTACTTCCAACAAACGTTTCAACCATCGTAAAGGACATAACGGAGAGCCTGTTGCCTCAATACAAGCCGTTCTTCCTCTTGGGTTATTCTTTGTCGTTCTGGCTGTGATTTTGAATCCAATCACTGGATGAGATACAAGCTTGATATCTTCAAGAAGTAGTCCTCCCAACTCAGAACCTCTGAACATGGTTCTAATACCAATTATCATTAAAGCTGTGTACATAACAAAGATCTTATTTGAGACAAAAGAGCTACCGACATCAATCCACTTCTTGATAAACTCAATACTCCACGGTGATCTTTCTCTCTCCGAGGCGACCATAGATAAATTACACATTCCAGAAATTAACTGTTCAACTTGCGGATGTGATGTAGGGTCTTCCACCATATACAATTTACATCTATTCCGAATCGCAAAACTTGCAGCTCTACAATTTGATCCTGAAGGAGTTTGCAAGAACAGATCTGTGAGGAATACTACAACAAGTTCAACAGAGGGAGGAGGAGTGAAACCGTTCTTTACAGCAAAATCTATCATTCTAAACCAATAACTGTCGTAATTATTACTTGTAGTGTCCTTAATATGACAGGGAATAATTAAACTTGCATAATGTCTCAAACTTTCCATCGACAATCGATTAACGTTGCCACGATTTTCCAAGATTTCTTGTGTGGTTCCACGTTTCCGCTCCGCGTGGGAACGAAATCTTGCCCAGATAAAACTAGTTGTTTTACCTGATACTTCTCTACGAGGTTCCACCACCACCTTGTTTTCCACACTGGATGCACTAAGACCATTTGAGCTTTGGATTCCAGGCAATGTTGTAGTACTCTTCCTACCAGGTTGAAGGGAACACAACACCAATTGATTACTGGCTCTTTCCACAAATGACTGAAAGCATCCGCCACTTCGGTTCGGGACGTTCTCATCCTTGTACAATAGGGTTCCACTTTGAAATTGTAATGGGAGGCGAATCGATCGAAACCTATTGAGACATTCAACTGCTGCTGAACTCGGTTGAATGCTTCTTGAGTGATCTCCCAATCTGTCGGATCTACTTCTTCTTTCATTCTGCTCAGTTGATCTGCTATTACATTCTCTGAGGAAGGAAGCCACTCCAACGACAACAGTTGAATATTGTTTTCGAAGATAATCCTCCAAATATCTCGAACAATCTTGTTCATAATCTCGCTCTTGGCTCTTCCTTTCTTTATGACATTTAAAGCCACCATCGAATCGGTGTAAATAATTAGATTCTTTTTGTGGAAATATTCTTTCCAATTCATTAAGGCAATCCAAATACTTTTCACTTCTAAAATATTGATATGAAGATCTCTTTCTGAATCTCTCCAAGTACCGTGTAATTTCAAATTTTCTTCTTTGAAAAAGGCTCCCCAACCAAGAGAGGACGCATCCGTCCAAAAATAATTCACAAGACTTGGGAATTGAAATAGTCTCCCATTCCAAAAATCTAAGTTGCCTAAAATCCATTTTAGGTTGTTGAGCACATCTTTGTCTCTTAATACAAAAGTGTGATCCCATCCACCCATTGACACTTGATTCATCACGTATGAATAAATAGGATTCAACATAACTTGAGCTGGTTGAAAACAATCTAAGTAAGCAACAACAACGCCCGTAATTCTGTACAGATCTTTGCATGTAATCTGTTGTGAATCTCTTGCTGAATCTAAAACCCATCGTATTCGACCTTTGATCTTCATGATCGTTGAATCTGTCATAAACAGTTTCTTCTGTTCTAAATCGATCAATATCCCTAAGAGTTGGAATTGTTTCATTGGTGTCAAAAAACTCTTTTTCTTTTCCATCACAATCCCTAGAGAGTGGCTTTCTTTCGAAACTGTCACTAAATTCCTTAGAGCTGTTACGAAATCTCCAAAATGTAGTAAACCAATATCGTCCAAATAATTTGACAAATGTAGAGTATTTGATTCCAAAAAGGATACAAATTGATTCATCACTTGTGTGAATATATACGGAGATCCATTCCATCCAAAGGGAAGTACTGTAAACTGATATATTTCTCCATCTACTTCTATTGCAAAATATTTGCGAGAATCTGGATGCACCTTTATCTGGTGATAACCACTCTTCATGTCGAACGAAGATCCATAAACGTTCGAACCATTTCTCGGTACAAATTCTAGAAACTTCTTGAGAGTCTTGTACTTGAATTTCTGAATTTGACAAAATCGATTGAGTGGTCGAAGATCTATTATTAAACGGAACGAATCTTTCTTCGGAACCAAACGATATCTTGCAATTACTTCTGCTTTGTCTGTCTTCTCTATGGCTCCAATTTCCTTTAACATAGCAATTTCCTTCCTGAACCATTCTTGCTCCTTTTTGGTCCACTTTGAAATATCGACTTTCCCATGATACCTCTGGAAGTTTTTGGAAGTAACAACCTTCACTCCTTCTTTCAACATTATGACCATCGCTTGTGGCGCTCCTCTTTTCTGCCATTCGTACCATTTGTTGGAAATGGAATGAATTGCAGCTTTCCTTTCCATTATTTCTTCTTGAGGAATGAAAAAACGAGTAGAGGGAACCATCTTTTTTATTCCTCTTGTCACAATTAGCTGCTAGATGGTTTGGACTCTGACAAATATGGCATAGTTTTGGCAATTTCGGTTTTTCCTTAACATTATTATTGTGGCCGTTACTATCTTCCTTATTGGAACTTTGCGCCTTATTCAACAAGTTGACATGATAATTATTGGCCTGCTCTTTCTTTTCTCCGTAATTGTATTTCCTTTTCATTTCTGCGATCTTATATGCTAGAGCAACGTCTCCAGTGTTCTCTTTCCACAATGGATTGTTATTAATTAAAGAGAGCTCGCTTGCTACTTTGGGATTCAGAGCTGTTAAATGCAAATTGAAACCTCTCTTCTCACAATTGGAAACTAATGTGCGGGCGTCTTCACAGTCTGGATGACGAAGTAAAATTTTCATTGCAGCCCTTGCTGTACTTTTCAAAGATTCATATTCCGCCAAAATAGCCTGACTTACTGTGGCAATTGGCTTGAAGGTTTTGTCAATATATTCATTAACATTACTTTCAATCCACAGCTTGACTAATAGATCATTTTGAGACTCGGCACCAATCCCAATTACAGGTTGTACATTGGAGTCCCTTTTTGCGAGGTTGGAAGAGAGAGAAGAGTTCTCTAATGAAACACCTGTTACGGGGATAGTAGCTCCATTGTCGGATTTGGACACTTGATTCAGAAGCAATTCGACAGAGCTTTTTAGCTTCTTTATCTCCTCGTGCAATCTTGCATTGTCTTCTTCAGCTTTTCTCTTTTTAGCTCCTGATATCATTACATCGGGATCATGACTTGTAAGAGGTTCAGCCTGACTAGCAGGTGGTTCATTAACAGAGCTTTTAAAGAATTGAGTTAACTCCTTTTCCATTCTGGTCGCAGATGCAGTATTAGAAAGTCCATCTGGATTCTCTTCTGGGAACGAATATGCTTCACCAAGTCTTTCCATTGCCTTCACTTTGGACCCGTAGACGATATTTAAAAAATCACATATATCCTCTACTAAGGATGCTGAAATCTTTGACATGATAGGGAGTGGATATTTCTGAATGATATCCAATAATGGTTGACTGCTGCTACTCATTGTTTATGCAATTTTTAAACTTGCTTAAACCAAAGAGCACAATTACCATTCTATTTATACTCAAAAAACTTTCATTGTAATCCTGGTTGACTTCGTAGCTTCGTTGTTTACAATATAAACTTTCGTAAGTCCCTGTCGGTCCTTACTACAATTTATGGAGTGCATGGCTGGTATTTCAAGTTGTTGAAATTCAGTATGTTTGCTTTGCCCTTGTTTATATTTTTTACTTTCTCGAAGACTTAATAAAAATCAGGACGACGTCAGCTCAGTGATGATTTTCAAGCAACTCTTCCCCAGGTTCCAACCTCAACTGGGATGCTCAGGCATTTCATGATTCCAACAAGTACTAGTGATATGTTTTACTTTTAATTTACTGAGGACTTTGTTACCTTTCAAAGAAGGCCAAGTACAAATTAAAATTTGTTTGAAAAAAATTGAGCGCTGAACCCAGCACATACTTGGAACTGATCTGGTTGTTCCCTCAACATAACAACTTGAGATCATACCAAACAATTCGTTATTATCACCATCATCATCGGCACAATTTTCTTGTTGTATTCATTCAATATCTTGTTCAAAGACAAACAGAGATGAGCAACAATGATGATCCTTCTCCGAACCACACAACCACGACTCCCGGCCATACTTGTCCACCAACAACAACAACAGGAAATAATGATAAACAATTAAATGTTCCCAATACGCGCTATCATCACCATCATCGAAGGCGATCAGGAAGCCAGCCTACTCTAACCACCACTTCCTATTTATCATCATCCAATCATTTCAGTCCTGCCTCTAACAACAATACGCTCACTCCTTTGGACATTGCTCGATTGACTTCATCCATGAGTAGCACAAGTTCATCATCATCTTCCTCCTCTGCTTCAGCAACATCTTCAACAACATCATCTTTTGGTCATAATGCATTTCCGCCGACATCTGTCAATCATCATTTACATTCTACAATCACTCATTCACTTTCTAATCCAAATCTTACCCTTCTTTATACAAACTCATCATCGACGAATAATCATTCTACAAAGGTTAATTCTCCTTCTGCTGTTTCCAATTCAAGTATTGTCACTCATTTAATACCTCCTTTATTTCTTACAAATCGACAACTCACTTCTCCTTCACCTCCTCCACAAATGAACCATTCAAATTCAAATATCATCAGTAACACTCCAAATTATTTTAAAAATTCACCTGCTTTTGGATCTTCATTACCCATGCCAAGAAAGAGACGAACAACATTGCAAAGAAATGGATCTAATTTCATCACAGATAATTTATTAGATTTATATTTAAAGAGTGGAGTAGGAACGAATAGTTTTGGAACAGCATTTCTTTCACAAGACAATACAGGATCGATAAGTCCAACAAGTTATGTGACAAGTTATGGTGGAGCTCCTACCATTCATGACAATTATTATGGTGGAGGCGTAGATCATTCTTCTCAAAGCCAACAATTTACATACCACACCAAAGTAGATATCATTGACGTGATTTATAGCGACATTGCCAATAATATTCACATGCCATACCAACAATATCAACTATTACTTCATAACCAACATTCTCAAAAACGAGCAAGTAATTCTCATTTGAATGGAGCATTACAAGATTCTATTTGGAATGAACCCATGTCACCAACAAAAAAGGGTCATTACGACGATCTATCATCGACTTCGTCCTCAACTACCACACCAAACTATTCGAATCAAAAAGGACCTCATCTGATTTATATTTTACGAGTAAGAAAAGGAAACATGTTTTCTCGATCATGGATATTAGAAAAGCGATATTCCCAGTTCAGCAAGTTACACAAAGCACTTGTGAAGGAGCACAAACAAAAAATGAAAAGCATTTCACAGAAAGGAGCAAGTGAATTGGAATTGCCCAAACTTCCACCAAAATTGTTAATTGGAAACTTCAAACCCGAAAATGTACAAAAAAGAAAGGAATCTCTTCAAACATATTTAGATTTAGTTTGTAAAGGAAACAGCGAGTTGGAATCTTATTTTTCATCTGAAGCTAAAGATAGCGAATACCTGAGCTATACATCGGTGATTGAATTTTTAAAGTTGGACATTGAAGAGACAGCACCTATTTACAAATTGTCGAATGATTTATTTCTATCAATATTTCAATTTTGCATATTTGAAGAAATATTTCCAGTTTTATCGCTCGTTTGCAAATGGTGGAATAGAATTATTTATCAATCCTTTAAATCTCTCGATATGGTCTATTGCAATGAAAATGTATTTTTCCTAAAGGTATCCGTGGCTATTGATACGATCGAAGATTTAAGCAATCTAATATTAAGATTTAATAATTTAGTGAATTTGAGACTCCATAGATTTTATGAATTGGACGACAAGAGATTGAACATAATTATCAAGAATTGCAGATATTTGGAAAATATTGAAATTGTAGATTGTGGTTTGATATTACCAACCATACCACTTTTTAGGTATCGCACAGTGACACTCACTGAATATACAACCATGAAGACTGTTGATTTTTCTAACAATAGAAAATTATATAATATTTTGTTTAAGAATGAAATGAATGAATTGGGACAACCCTCTCGATCCTCAAACAGCAGTAGCAATATCAATAACAATGGAAACCCTATCAGTTCCAGTCGAGTTAGAAACTCACTTTCATCATCCATATATCCAATTGGCCAATCATTGTTTCATTTAGATTTGACGAATACAGCGATTACCGATGACACACTTTGTGAAATTTTGAACAAATTGAATGGAGTATTACACACTCTCAATATTTCTCAATGTAAGAAATTAGTGAATCCTGTCATTGAGATGAGACATTTGGAAACTCTAGTAATGAGACATTGTACCAACGTTACCAAACCTATTCTCAAATGTAATGGATTACAATATTTAGATATCAGTTATACCAATATTAATGACGAGGCACTGTTTAATGGAATTGTTCAACAAAAGACAAGTGTTGACTTGTTAACATTACGAGCTAATTCCTGCCATCAATTGAGACAACCAAGATTACCAATTGGAATCCCACTTGAAGTCCAAGTTGATTCACCATTAACAATGATGAGTAATATTCCAACCATCATCACCATTCATGCCTTCTTCAAATTGTTCCGATTAGAAATGAGCGCATGCTGCAATTTGAAAGATCCTCAATTTGAATTTTCATCCAATTCTCAATTGCATTATGTAGATTTACGAATTACACCTGTCTCTTCCTCGATGTTAAGAACAGTTGAGGCATATATGAATTCTCGTATTGAACAAATCAAACAACAACAACAACAACCGTTACCCATTAATTTACCTTTTAGACCCAATTCACCACAGCAAGAAGCTCGATTAATTACCAGTGCAGTTGAGGCATTTGACGTTTTTCAACCACAATTAGATTTTGCAAATGCCTATCCAAATGCTGCCTCCACTGCTTCGTCATCGAGTACAACGACAAGTGTACGAGTGCAACCACCTCAACGAAGGCAATCCTTTGGTTCAGTAACACCGCGACATCACATAGTTTCCTCGAATGGCATTTTTGCATTACTTGCATGATTGTGTGGCTACCAATACATTGATTTTGACTCTGTCACAATAAATCTTACGGAATAAACACAAGTGCTGTATTTTCGAAGAATCACAAGTGTCTGACTACAATGAGGTCAGAACCATTTGTAACAACTTTTCCTTGTTCACCTTCAAAATACAACCTCCAATGACCACAAGTTTTGGATCGTGCGTGATTTTTGGATTGGTCTCTGGCTTTCGGTTCAAGCATTCAAGCATTTCAACATCAAATCGAACCATGGATGTAATGACCAAGTGTGCCAATGGTCTCTGGAAACTGATATGATCATCTGTGCAAGAATTGGTTTCTGTCGAGCATGATGGGGCATAAATTAAATAACCACCTGGTTTCATGAAGAAGCTGTAGTAGGAGGCTGCTCCTTGTGTGGTAATATACATGTCAATCTCATAAATGAAAAACAGAATTTGTTCAATCATGGACATTTTCTCCAATTCAACCACCATGACTTGAACCTCTTTTCCAACTCGTTCCTTAATTTGTGATACGTGTTCAGTTAAATATTGAGCAAGCTCTTCACAATTGTCAATAATATCCAAATTGTAGGATCCTTTTGGTTTCTTTTGAACTCCAATCAAAAAGATATCTTGATCTCGTTTATATTTGGGTGTGTATTGCAAATCTTTCAAATTCCAATTCTCAATAATAGAATCTCTAAATTGATACAAATAAGGTTCTCGATCTGTCAAACCATCATAGAGCATTTTCGAGTGATATCCAAACGAGAGTGATGAAAAACATGCTTGAATCGTTTCAGAATCTTGTTGTTGTGAATCACCATCCTTCGTATTCTTCTGTGCAGGACATGGATGATCCTGAATGGAATTTCCTCCACACAATGCCAATGGTTTTCCCAAAGTTAACATGGCCATCCATTCTGCACTCCATTTCTCAATCGTTTCTAAACCATACTTGTTGAGAGCACTTTGATGATGCACAAACGTTCCAACTTGTTTCAAATTTCTTTCATCGGTCATGAAGAGTGGTCGATCTGCTTTCATATTCAAAGTTTGCAACATGGTAAATGCAGGAATTAAATCTTCTAAAATACCATGTCCAAAATTAATGGGAACCCACACACGTTCCATGGTCACAACAGAATCCGTGTACCAAACAAAATCTCGAGAAAATTGAATGTTGGCAGTTGAACCCGAATCTTTAAATGTCATTATACTTGTTGTTGAATGGTATTTGTTGCAGCAGAGTTTGTTGTTGCAGCAGCACTTGATCCTTTTGAATTTTTTTCCTCTTCTTCTACAAATTCAATCATGGGTTCAATTTGAGGTGTAAAACAAAGCCAATCCCACGCTGTGTGACAAACGAGGTGTTGTTTGGTCGAATCAAAGAGTTGTGGATTTAAAATCCTTCTCTTTTCTGGATGACCAGTCTCTACAAATATATCTTTTCGTTTCACATTCTCCAATGTTAATTGTTGAACCAATTTCAAGGCATTATTCGAGTTCATAAATAATTTCCATTTTCCACTCGATGTTAAACAAATATTATTAAATTGACAAGATTTGTAAAGACCACCGTGAAGAGGCAATTTGTAATTATCTGTACTACACGATGCAAATGATTCTAATTTAAACGAGGGTGATCTTGTCAAAGATTGTTTCACTTGTTTGATGAGTGAGAGATTTCTCTGTAAAAATCCCTTTTGCAGAAAAGAATTGACATGTCGAACATTGATGTTGGGGAATCGTTTTTCAAAGGCATTCAAAATTGGAGTTGAAATGGTATTTGGTGTTTGTAGAAATTTCAAAAGTGGTTTTGGGATGGGTTTTAATGGTTGTCGTGTTGTTGTTGTTGATGTTGTTGTTACTTCTTTCGAGAGTGGTGTGGATGATACGACTTGAGAATAAATGGACGGACAAGGAGGAGAGGATGTTGTTGTGGTGCTAGAATGAGTCGTTGTTGTTGGAGTCCATTGTCCTAGATAGAGTAAGAAGAGAAGAATGGTGAGGATGGTGACGATGAAAAGGACGATGAGAGTACGTTTATGTCGTTGTATCATGTGAGAGTGGGAATGAGAGATTTTGATGGATGACTTTTTTTTGTTGTTGCGCTCGATGAGAACTTGCGAGGTCAGCGCTGTAACATGTTTGTAAACAACCACACTTGACCAACTTCATGTAGTTGGTTGTATTTCTTCGACCATCTCAAGAAAGTTGTGTATTTGAATGCTCCAAAACCTTGAAAGTAAGACTGACATCCATTCAAACCATAGAAAAGAACACGATTACCTGAGCCACTCTTATTTATTCATAATTCAGTTATGCCAAAGCTGATAAAAGTTTTGTGAACCTTGGCACTGAATGGCCTTAAGAGTCATTGAATGATCTATTTCAAGACCACCTGAATTTGTTATTGCTGATCGAACGTTCCAGCATTTCCAACCACTGAAAAGCACCACATAGTTGCTATTTTGAGTGTAATAAAAAGATGACGTGTATAAAAGTAGGCAAATGGTTGTGTTTGCTGGAACTGCTACATTTGTGGATGTCGAAAGATTTTCATTTGCATTTGAAATCGACCATAAATTTTTCCATGAAACCGACGAGACACGCTGCCTATTGTTGTCATCCGCATTAGGTGTTCCAATAAATACACTCGCTCCTTCATATCCAGAACTCCATCCAGATGTTCCCCCAAAGTAGAACGTAAAGGTTTTTGGCTGCGCAGTAGAGTTTTTGATGAAAAACATTCCAAGCATTGCTCTTGGATATTGATAACAATTTGAATTATTGTACACCACATGCTGCTCCTTATATAAAAAGGTTCCAGTACTTCCTTGCAAAAAGTGAATGCTTGGTGGAGTGTTGAAATTAATGTACTGATTGTTGAATGAATGTGTTCCACAAATAATATTCGCCATTTGATCTGCACCACTGTTGTACCATTGTCCCAAATGGTTAGTCAGACTGGCATTGTCACTGTAACAATCTTCCTGTCTTGACAGTACGCCGAATACAAAAGGCATTGAATCAGGATGTAAAAAGGGGTCAACATGTTTCAACAAAGATGAAGTTTGTTTCTTTTGTTGTCCTTGAGATCCCATTTCAAGGGCCTTCTTTTTCCAATATTCATTCTCCTCCATCAAGATTGCAATTTTACTTGACATGGACTCGACAAGCTTTCTAATTCTGGCCTCCATCATTACCAAATCTTTGTGTTGACTGGCACCTTCAATCGATACATCGTTAACATCTTTCTCCACAATTTCTTGTTCTAATATCAAGAAGAACCAAAAGTTTTCTTCATTAAGACTGTCATAGCACTCGAATTTCAAGTACAAGAGTGCTTTTGGGTTGGAGTAGTCTCTGGAGAGGCTTCCTTCTTTGTTAAGAGAGGTAAATTTGGTTGAATATGAAAAAGTGTTTTGGTTTTTGGGGCAGAAAAACATAAATCCGAGTTGTTGATGGCTGGAGGGGTCAGAAGGTTTGGTGAGCAAGTTCTTGCAGGAATTGAAAATAACTTTCATGGATTTCCCTTCCATATTATAAGATTCACACATCTCTAAAACACTGGCAACACTTTTGGTTCTTACAAAGAACAGTTTTCCTTCTTCCTTGTTGGTTAGGGTGAGAGTGAGACCTTGTTCTTGAGAGAAAGAGCACTCCACTTTGAAGGTGAGATCTTCATCCAGAGCGATATGTGATTCGAAGGTTTGTATGGGAGGGATGCCGACCATTTTTTTAACGTGAACACGGAATGAGTTTTGGTTGACTTGAATTCCCAATTCCGATTTGAACGTTCAACAACGAATTCCGAGATTCAGCCAGAAAAAATGATCTCATCATCGTCCGCATTGTCCAGCAACATTGGAGTCAAGAGAGAAGAGTTGCTGTCGTATGACTCAGATTCTGCGACCATGAAACGATACTATAAACAAGTGCTTGGTGTTAAAAGCACAAATATTTGGCTCTTTGGTCCGCCAGGTGTCGGAAAATCCAAGTTGGTGAATTCCATCTTCAAGTCACTCCATGGCTCTTTTGAAATCGAGACAGCAGCGGTTTCAGGCTCAAAGAACGCCCATATAACCAAAGATTTAAAGTACATTCCACTCTCAACTCTTGGAAGATCTGGAGGTCGTCCAGGAAATATTTTCCTTGTCGATGCTTGGGGCAATGATGATACAAATTATAACGAAGCACTTTTCGAAAGTATTTTGAAAGGCAAAGTGGCAAACAACGCCCAAATGAATGAAAAATCATCCAAAAAGATTTCAGATGTGGAAGACAAGAACAAGCAAGTGCATGCGATTGTGTTTGTGATCACTGCAGCCTCCTGCTCAGAAAAGGCAGACTGTGCATCCTTGATGAAGTATTATCAACAAGCTGTGGAGAATCATTTGTATCCGATTGTTGTTGTAACTAAAGTGGATAACGTGAGCGAAGATTTGAAACAGCATCCAGAGCGTATGGACAATGATGAAGAGGTTACGAATGCTATTGGTGCCTTATGTAGCAATACAGGTATTGAGATTGATAGTGTATATCCAGTCAGAAACCTATCTGTGGATATCCAAAAGGAAAGAAATGATTTCATTGTGTTGAGGTGTTTGGAAATACTGGACGCAGCACTATTGGCTGCCGATAGATTCTTTGAATACCAATGTGTATTTGAAGGTCGTCTTAACAAGATCCAAGAATCAGCACTTCCCACAGTTGCAAACAAAGTTATTCGCTTGAATGCTAAATATCTTGGTCATTAAAATTGAATGTCAAATATATCTTGGTCATTATGAGTTCATTTGTTGGTGATGAAGAACGAATGAACAGCAGTTTGAAAAGTATGGGGAACAGAATAGACAAGCAAATCTTTCTTAAGGAATGAGAAAGGGACTTCAAAATACCCCATCGCACACGAGGTGAAATGTTCCTTATTAGCGATCTCTAACTCTTGGAAAGGTGTTAACTCTTGATACTCAGAGTTTCCTGCTTCTTGTACTGACTTGTAATTCTGAAATTTAACAAACAGGTATCCAGTACCATCTGTTACGTTGTTCTTGGTGTGATTTGTGCTTGCCATCCATTCACTTATTTCAGGGAACAGCTTTGTCATGTCCAACCTGGTTTCTCTAGAGTCACTTTTTCTAATACATACAAATATGACTAATTCTTTCCCAGATGCACTGCTTGGGTGAATACCCGAACAAAATGATGACTGATCCATAAAAGAAACATTTACATATTTCTTTCCACCTTCTTTGATCTCGGATTTTGTTGCAAAATGAATCCCTTTGCTGCCAAAACATGTTTTCATTTCATCAGCAAACTTTTTTACGGACATGGTTAATAAATCTGGCTCATAGTCGTTGTTGTATACAAATGTTACGGTGCCTAACACTTCGGGAGGTGGCGCAACTGGGGGTGTTTTGTTCGTCGATGACGACTGTGAAAATGCAGGAAAATGTGAGGAGGTTGATGAATGATGAGAAACATTATTCTGGACTGGGTATATAACTCTGTATTGTGGAGAGAAGTTTGTAGTGTTCACTTGTGAATTCAGAGAAGGATTGACAATTCCATAGCCAGATGTGCTAAATTGTTGTTGAGAATTGCTTCCGAAGCTGGAATGGGAGGTAACTGGTCTTGTGCTCTTTAACACATTCAAATCCTGCTGAATGTTGAAAACCGATTTCTCCAGCTGATCCAATCTTGAAGAAATTTTTTCAATAGCACGGTCTTGTTCTTTTATCTGCAACCGCAGAAGTGTAGAAAATCCGTCAAATATCTTGGTTATGGCTTGGCTTTCTTCGTAGTGACTAATTTGTGACGAGTTTCCTTGGCCCATTTTTTTGAATTCTTTGACGTGAACGTGATCGTTTTTTTTGTTACTTCGTGTAGGAAGTTACGAGGATCCTTTCCGTGTCAAACTGCGGCTTCTTGCAGAAATGAAAGAAGTCCATAGCTGGTTTCTCTGTTACTGAATCGAACAATCATTGAAATTTATAGTACAACTCTTTCAAGGTTGAACCTTCACTTGGACTTGACCCATCTTTTTACTGGCCTCCATCAAGTGTTTGTATTTAAAGTGCAAGACACTCAAATAAGCGTTGGAAACTTCTTTTTGAATTTGATCAAACAAATTACTCTTCAAATAGGTTTGCACTCGATCAACATCAAATTGATCCATTTGGTTCATAAGAGTGTCGTGAATGTCTCCACTCACGACTAATGGACATTCTCCAACATCTCCATCTAAATATTCGGTAAATATTTCAAACACGAGTTCATATTTTTCTTTCTCAATTTCTTTCCATTGTAATTGTTCAGAGGAGAAGGATGGAGTGTTGAGTGATGTGGTCGAATTTGCATCTTTCGATTTGGTTTTGTACTTCTTTTTCGATTGATCTACAGAAGTTGCGATTTGTTCACGTTGTTGGAGTTGCGTAAGGACATGAGGATGACGTTTCAAAATTTCTTCTTGTTTTTCACACAATTTTTCGTAATCCAAGGTCTTATCAATGAACGTGAAGACTTCCATTCCTCCCTCTTGCTGACAAAATTCCTTGAATTTCAACTTTTCCTTGTCATCTTCCATGGTGTCCATGAGCATTAAGCCAGTAGCCTTTTTCAGTTTCTTTGAAGATTTTCTTTCCTTTCGAATGGCCATGGCAAACACAATAATGACAATCGGAACCACTACCACGAGAGCAGTCACAACCAAAGTGAGATTGACAATACCAGCAATGAGAATGTATGAATTCTTTGACTCGGCAACACCACTCGAATACTGCAATACATTGCTCATAAAGTTGTTAAAGAGTTGTCTTTTTTGAACGTATTCTTTAGATTCTAATAAAGCTATGGCAGGTGCTGGTTGACCTTTCGTTACAAAATCAATAATCATATTGTCCATTTCCAAGGTAGGTTCATTGGTGTCGTTTAAAATATACAAATGTGGAGGTAAGAGTTGAGTTTTGAGTTGTTTTAAACCATAGGTAACATTCACTACATTGAGATAGTACGTTTCAAGGTAGGTCGTTTTGTTTCCATAGGCTGTCAATTGAACTGCACATTTCGTCTTCTCGCTAAACGATGATAAATCTCCCCTCAATAATAAAATGTCAGCATCTAAATCGGATTGAATGATATACGCATTAATCATCACTGCTGCAATTGCAACGAACGCCAAAATATTAACTGCCATGGCGCTCAAAGAGAGAATTTTCATCAAATTCAATTTAATCATTCGCCCGCAACATGTATGAATTTTCAACCGAATTGCACTCGATTGAGAATGAGAGGTTCCTGTTTTACTGATATTGTATTCGGTATCACTTTTTTCAACCTCCACCACGACATTGTTGAAAGGTTCATGAGCTTGCCTTAGAGAAGAATTGGAGATGTTGGTTTGTTTGAAAGAAGATGAAACAATAGTGCTACTCGCATTGATTGGTGTGGGTGATGAGGCTGTAGTTGGGGAGAGAGTGGTAGTCGCGCCAAAGGTTGTTTTCTTTTTTGGAGTGGTGGGTGGAGAAGAGGGAGGAGTTGGAGGCTCTAATGAGTCCGTGATGATACCTTCATGATGATGATGCTGGACCATCTTGCTGGTGGAGGAGTGTTGAGAGTCACTGTTCATTGGAGCATTCGAAGAGGGTGTTCTCTCTTCATCCGAGGGAAGAGGATGAGTGTTGTGATGGCTAGTCATCAGAGTTGTGTTCTGTTGCTTTCAAAGTGTTGTGGTCAGTGAGAAGAGTTATTTCAGGTTGGAATGGTTGGAATAACAGAGTGTTTACGTTTTTCTTGAGGTTGATACTTGAGAGAGATGTCATGGAGACTTTTGCATCTCTCTCATGCATCGTTCTCATACATTCTTACTTTCCAATGGTCATTCACTCCAAAAGTAAATATCGTGAGAGTAATCTATCAACGAATTTGCTCAGTCAATATCACAAACCATGACTGAAAGGACAAATTGTTTTTGATTCCTACTTTCTAAATCGAGTAGGTCCAAACATAACTGTGTGTCGGTCCTTAGCTGCAACGCTTGAAGCCATCTGAATAACCACCGACCAGATGTAAAGCTATCTTTTGTCTTTTCCATCTACATTGGTAGTCCTTCATTCGTACATTGTCAATCTCCCACTAATTTTTCCTGAGAGCTGCTGTCATGAGATGACATTGTTTGGCGTCCTCATAATATTTGGCAAGTTTTTAAAATTTACCTTGTTGCTTCACTCTTCTTTGTAGTGATTCCCACCATCATCATCATGCTGAAACGAAGAAGGAATTGCAGCAGTAGCACTTGTCTACCATGTTGCATGATAGCCTTTTGGCTCGTGTTTCTTGTGCTTTTCCATTCAAACCACGTGGTACATTCGGAGATCAAGTCTTCTCCAAGAGCGGCCCAACAACATCATCGTTTTTCTCATGCTTTGGATGGTATAAATCTATTGGGTAGCAGCTCCAAGAATTTTGTGGATTCATTCATGACTCTTGCTCAACGTCATGATGATTTCAATGAGAGAATGGTCCTCGTCGATGTTTATATCAAACAGCAGGTCATCTTGACTTCATACCATCTCAATGAATTTAAAAAAGAATTTAATCACGTGTTGAACGATGCTTCAGGAGGACGAGAAGAACACCATGTACCACCAACATGGAATGTCGTTGCAGGTTCAGACAATAGAATTTTTAGAAGTTGGATCTCATGGAAACAATTGTCAGAAATTTCCAAAAAGAGAAATTTACAATACATGGAACGCATGGAAGAGTAAGAAATGTGCATCGAATGAATTTTCCTTACTTTTCTTTAGATAGTTTAAAGTTTTCAACATTGAGAGTGGATGTGGTTGCAAGAAATGACTTGTCCTCATTCTTCGATTTCCAATTCATGAATCAAGCGAAACAAAAATTTGCATTGAAAATTCAACAAGTTCTGAGAGAACAATTCATACCACAGGTGCAGTCCCTCATGCTGCTGCTGCTGCAGTTACCAACCACCACGTTTAGTGATTCATTCAAACGAGAAGCACTTGACCAATCGATTCAAGCAATGACTCAATCCTTGATGGTTGAAATTGAACCCATTGTCGACGCACACCCCATCGATGAACAACAATTTGGTTTGAAAAAACAATCCTTTCGAATTTCACTTCCATCATCCATGATGACGACTCGAGATTACTCTTCTGTGTTGCATTCATTCCTTTCCAACACACACAACTCTGTTCCATTCAATCATTTTGAAACTCTATTCCAAGATTGAATGCATGGCTTGGTGAAGAATTTCTTACTCTTCTCTTTGAATCTCATGAACAAGTGGAATTGGTGTCTCGAGAATTTCAACAAACTTTATTAACGTTGGGAAGTAATGATGTCGTGCAAACCAATACTCTTACCAATGATCCAAGATATTTATGGAATCAAGGAGTGACTGGAAAGGATCAAATTGTTCATTTGATTGATTCTGGTTTGGATGTGAATCATTGTTACTTTTCTAAAAAGGGTGGTGTTGAAGATTATTTTACAGTTCCAAATGTGAATAATCGAAAAGTAGTGTTTTATGAGAGAGCAAAAATCAGTGGAGATCGAGAAGATAAAAACGGTCATGGAAGTCACACAGCAGGAATTAGTAAGTTGTCTTTCTTTTTCATTTTTACTAAAATAAGTAAAAGTTGCTGGAAATCCTGAAGTTGGTGCCACTTCCAGTGATTCACCCATTCTCCAAGACATTGGAATCGCAAAAGATGCTAAAATTTACATGACCGATGCAGCCGTGAGTGCCTTATTCTATGTGGACAATATCACTCTCTATTTGAACAATGCATTCAAAGTTGGCTCTCGAATTTCCAGTAATAGTTGGGGAAATGTCAATAATTTCGATTGTATCTTTGATTGTATATGTTTCGAGTCGAACAGTAATCGAACGAAACCAGTCACTAACGAATATTGTTTGAAACAATTTGGAAAATTGTGTTGTCAAATAGGAAATGATTATGATATTAACTCGGAACGAGTGGATGAATTCTTGAACAAGAATGATGAAATGATTGTAATTTTTGCAGCTGGTAATAATGGTAATTATGGAAAAGAGGGATCTATATTATGTAAGTTTATGGAAATTCATCCTTTCAAACTCTATATATTTCCTTAATATATTCCTTCAATTATTTGTATAAATACCACCAACGATCCACACATACAGCTCCAGCAGCTGCCAAAAACACGTTAGCCGTTGGAGCATGTTATTCATCATTACGAGAATATTCGAGATATACGCCTAATGTGAATATTTCCATTTATAATCATGAAAATTTGGGATACTTTTCAGCAAGAGGTATGTTTCATAAAAATGAAAGTACAGGACTTGTCGCGAACAGCATGTGACCAGGTCCAACCTTTGATAATAGAATTAAACCAGAAGTGGTTGCTCCAGGTGTTGCTATTTGGAGTGCACGAACTCGAAATCCTTTTTGTGATACCACTGCATTGATTCAGGTAAGTATGAACACATTCGTTCTTTCCTTAAATATTTTTCCTTAACAACACATTGTATCACCATGGTTGCAACTCGATGGTTCGTTCACAGAAAACTGGAACTTCAATGGCTGCTCCATCGGTTGCTGGTTCAGCAGCACTCATTCGAGATTATCTCCTCCAAAACAATAAGAAACGTCTCCTTCAATATGAATTAATCAATAAGGCACCTTCTCAAACTCTGAGTGGAACATTGGTCAAGGCAATTTTAATTCATTCCGCTTCAGTCATGAATGGAAGTGTGAAATTAGATGGAGATTTCTCCAATGATGAGCATTATGTGGCACTCTCTCAACAAGTGTATCCCAACAAGTATGTGGGGTATGGAAGAGTGAATTTGGGAAATTTATTGAATTTTGATGAGGTCGGACGAAATTCACTCTTTTTAGTGAATCGATTTGAATTGGATACTTCTCAGAAATTGTCACTAAAATTTAGAGTCAAATCATTACCAACAGCAGCACCACTATCCAACGCAGGTCTCATTAAGGCAACTCTGACATGGTATGATTTGAAAGGAACTCTTACTTCACCCACTCAATCCTCAATCAAACAATTAATTAATGATTTAAATTTGTCAATGGAGTTAAGAGAACATGATCAAGCCAATATAACAGTGAAATGTGTTGGAAATGGCAAATGTGTGACTTCTCTTTCCAGTGATACCTTTTTGAATGATGATTTAGTGTTTGATTCGGTCAATAATGTGGAAAGAATTGAAATGGTACCAAACACAAATGACCTTGATTTGAAATTGAATTCCATTCTGACCATTGTCATTGAAGCTTCTCCAAAGAATGTTGGAGCTCAAAACCTGAGTTTCATTCTAAGTACAAGTCACGCAGAAACAGAATTAGAATTTATTGGGTTTAGTGTTTCAGATGCTTCCCTTCCACTCTCATCTTACATGTTACTCATTCTCCTCCTCAGCACATGGTTAATGATTTAAAACGTATGCACCCAAATATTGTTTCCACGTGTTGTACCGTTCTGCCCCCCAATAGCTCTTGTCTCGTAAACCTGTAAAGCGAACGATTTTTTCTTTCATCAACCAAGATTCAGGAATGTGACATCCAAAATATTCATGTTCTAATCTCAGATTTTTCAAATCTTTACAAAACTTCATAACTTCATCCAATGAAATATTTGTTGGATCTTGATTGAAACATGCGTTGAAAATCTCATCCGAAATGTCTCCCCATGATTTCACATGTTCAATTGCGATTTCAGAAAACCAATGACGATCGTAATTTTGTTCAGTTTTGGTATAATATAGGATTGAATTCAATCCCTTTTTGTGACCTTTTACACAGTCCATAATAAATGTGGTATCTTGTTTCAATTCTGTTGAGGCAAAATGAAACACGTCCGCAGGGTGTACTTGGTTTCTTATTGCATCCAATAGAAAATCTCGATCGTTCCGAAAGTCATCAGGGAGATCATTCCAATAGGTTGCATTCTTTTTAAGGGCAGCAATCACTTCTTGATCCTTTCTTTCAACAAATCTTGGAAGAACATCGCTAAAATCAATTTCATCGTCGAAGCCATGTGGGTCATTTAAAATTCTCAACAATAACTCTTTGTTTTCACGACATTGCTGTGGAATATCATCAAACGCAAACCAATAAGGATCATCACTTTTAAGAGCAGCCAAGATAATTTCTGTGTCATTTCGAAATTCCTCGGGTATCATAAAATTACCACTTTCCTCCTTCTCATATAAGGCTTGTCCATTTCTCCTTATAAAAGCCAATACTATTTCTCGATCGTTTAGATGTTCGGGAAAAATGTCCTTCAATCCAATTTCCTTTAATTTCACAGCTTTCAATACAAAATGTCTATCCTTTCTCAAATGCATTGATCCATATTTCAAAATAAGAGGTATATCTTCGCGCTTCCCAAAAGAAGATTCATCGTACTTCCAAGGTGGATCATAATTCTTGTAAATTCTGGTCAGTACTTGTTCAATAATTGGATCATTATCGAGAGCTAGTTGTGATAATGAAAATGCAAACTCCCCTTGATACTGGAGAGTGTGTTGATGATTATGGTGTGCTTGATAATACTCGTCTGGTAATTCAAGAAGCATTTGAAGCGCTGATTGTATCGGATCTATGTAACGATCAATACTTGAATCATTGAGAAAATATTGTTGGAAAATCTTCATCTTATCATCCATGGAAATGTTGGTTTCCCAAACCGATAGAGATAAACAATCACATGCTTCTGGAATACAAGCTTGGATTTGTTTCTCTTGAATTATTCCACCAACTATTGTAAAACTTGGCAAAGCAATTCGCAGTATTTCGAGAGCAAATTCTTCTTTGTCCACCCAATCTAGATAGGACAACGAGTAAGGAGTTGATAAAACAACATCCAAACAGAATTTTCGATCATTTTTCAGTCGTTTAGATGCGAATTGAATATTTTTAGCATTGCATTGAATCGCATGTTTCATAAATTCTTCATTATCTTTCAGTCTTTCAGAAATTTGAAACATCTCACAACGTTTCTCACTGATTGCTTTCTTTGCTTTCTCAATATCATCAAGATCAAATACAAAATCGAGTCCATATCTGTTTCGATAAATATTTGCCAATTTTTCTTTCCAGTCTTTGAATTGTGTGAAAACCTCCACGGGAATATATTCCAAAATGTCATGTTCTCGCTGTTGTAATTGATACCAAATTTCTTCTTGAAATGGTTTCCAAAATTCCACAGAATGAACTTGCTCTTGATTAGCTTTATACAACTTTGCAATGTCAAGAAATTGCACCTGTGCAAAGGCGAACAGCTTTTTCTCGTAGTGGTTACTATTGAAACATCTTGCCCATTTAAGCACACACTCGTGATCGTTTATGAATTCGATTTTTATCTTGTCTGTTTTTGATTTGGCCACCCATTCCTCCCTTGCGAGTAACCACTTTGCGAATCCTTTGGATTGATTTTCAAATTTTCTTTTCAACAAATCATAGAGATGGTGAATGTGAGGATTATATATTTGAGAATGTTGATTCATCAACAATGAAGAAGAGACATGATGAAAATCAAGTAAAATAAGCTGCACTTGATCGGTGGTGGTGTTGGATAATTTCAAGTGTTTGTTTGTGGGCAAATAAATTGCAACGTGATGATCGTCATTCATTGGATGACCAGAAAGTTTTCGTTTCATTTTTTTAAGTTGGCAGTTGCCACAGATAGTTCAACCATGACCCAACAGCATTGGCAACGAGCTGTCTTGGGTTCGATTCCCCCAATCTTTCGAGGTTGTTGTCAGGCCCTATACTACCGGGGTACCGCGCGTAAGGGTGTTCAAGAATGGGATTGAATCAAGTAAGCACTTCTCGCAATGTAATTCTTTCATTAGGATCCAACATCAACATTCTCGCAACAATGTCAATAAATTCTTCTGAATACGATGTCGTCGTCGCATCTTTCAAACTTTCCACTTGAATCAACTTCTTTTTCAGAAATTTCTTCATATCTTCACCTTCCATACAGAATTGAGCCAATGCCAATGTCGTGTTACAAGTCATCAATTGAAACAGCGTCACTCCAAGTGCAAACATGTCACTATGCACAGAAAAAGGTGCAATTTCTTGATTGGAATGTTTGGAATGAATTAATTCAGGAGCCATAAATAACAATGTTCCAGGTCGAGAACCATGAGTGGTGAGGAGATCGATCGATTTGGATAATCCAAAATCTGCCAATGCCACTTGAATGGTTTCAGTGGACAAGTCGTAATCACGTACGAGAATGTTTCCTGGTTTGATATCTCTGTGACATTTTACAAAATGTGAAATATTGTAAATGGTGATTTTGTTTACAAAATAATTATTATTTTCAATTAATTTTGCTTGTAAAAAAATTCGTAATAAACAGAAACTCACCGATGTAAAATATTATGTTGAGTAAATATCCAATTCAACGCCTCACATAATTGTCGTGTCACTTGTCTCAACATCTGTCGATGATATTTTCAATATCATTCCAAATGAAACAAGACAGAGACCATCAAGACCAAATACGATTGGACAGAGTTGGGTGACATTATAGAACCAATCAAAATTTGGATTCCATTCGTTTCTAAAAAGTTCATTCCCACAACGTACTTTCTCGAACTGAATATGCAAATGAAAGGAGAAAAAGATGAAAATGATCGTCTCTTGAAAATCACGAATCATTTACCATATGAGTATTATTGTTGCTCCCCATCACCAGAACATATTAATTATATTGTTATTGGTGAATTTGAAAGAGCTTGTCGCACTTATGCCATGCTTTCAGATGCTGAATATGAAGCTCCAACCATTCATACTCTATTGTTTAATTTGAATATACCTGGTATTGAGGTTTTCCTTACAAAAGAATTCAAATTGAAACAATATTCGAATAATAACATTGTGGAATTCGATAAATTGGAGCAGCAATGGAACAGAACACATCAATCACACAACATGCTGCAAAATTTCAAAAACAATCCAACGCACATATCACCGTTGGTGGAGGAATTACCTATCACAAACAACAATTGATACGTCTGGCATGTTTCAAAATATGAATGTGAATTTGGGAAATTTTGAATTTTAACAGTTTTGACATTTCTAAAAACTTGTGACTTTTTGTGAATGTAAGAATTTGAAGTGAAAATATGAGTGATTTCAACTGATATTGAAAACATATGCACCCAAATATTGTTTCCAGAAATTGTAACCTTTTTCTGCATTCTTCCAATAGTTCTTGTTTTGTAAACCTTCAAAGCGAACGATTTTTTCTTTCATCAACCAAGATTCAGGAATGTGACATCCAAAATATTCATGTTCTAATCTCAGATTTTTCAAATCTTTACAAAACTTCATAACTTCATCCAATGAAATATTTGTTGGATCTTGATTGAAACATGCGTTGAAAATCTCATCCGAAATGACTCCCCATGATTTCACATGTTCAATTGCAATCTCAGAATACAAATTACTATCATAATATTGTTTTCTTTTCATGTTACCTAGAAATGAACTCAATCCCTTTTTGTGAGCTTTTACACAGTCCATAATAAAACTGGTATCTTTTTTCAATTCTATTGAGGCAAAATGAAACACGTCCGCAGGGTGTACTTGGTTTCTTAATGCATCCAATAGAAAATCTCGATCGTTCCAAAAGTCATCAGAAAGATCATTCCAATAGGTTGCATTTTTTTTAAGGGCAGCAATCACTTCTTGATCCTTTCTTTCAACAAATCCTATTAGAATATTGCTAAAGTCAATGTCATAGTCGAAACCATGTGGGAGATTTAAAATTCTCAACAATAACTCTTTGCTTTCACGACAGTGTTGTGGAATGTCATTAAACGAACAAGGGTCTTTGCTTAAAAGAGCAGCCAAGATAATTTCTATGTCATTTCGAAATTCCTCGGGTATTATAAAATTACCACACTTCTCCTTCTCATATAAGGCATGTCCATTTCTCCTCATAAAAGCCAACACTATTTCTCGATCGTTTCGATGTTCGGGAAAAATGTCCTTCGAACTTATTTCACTGAACACACATTTCAAAGCATTCAATACAAATTGTCTATCCTTTCTCAAATTCATTGATCCATATTTCAAAATAAGAGGTAAATCTTCTCGTTTCTCAAAAGAAGATTCATCATACTTCCAAGGTGGATCATAATTCTTGTAAATTCTGGTCAATACTTGAACAATAATTGGATCATGAGTTAGTTTTGATAATGAAAATGCAAACTTCCCTTGATACTGGAGAGTGTGTTGATGATTATGGTGTGCTTGATAATATTCGTCTGGTAATTCAACAAGCATTTGAATCAAAGCTGATTGTATCGAATTATTGTAACCATTAATTCTTGAATCATTGAGAAAAAATTGTTGAAAAATCTTCATCTTATCATCCATGGATAATTTGGTTTCCCAAACTGATCGAGACAACCAAAAACATGCTTGTGGAATACAAGCTTGGATTTGTATGTCTTGAATTTTTCCATCAACGATTGTAATATTTGGCAATGTAATTCGTAGTATTTCGAGAGCAAATTCTTCTTTGTTCAACCAATTTACATTGATGAACGAGTCAGGAGATGAAATAACAACATCCAAACAGAATTTTCGATCTTTTTTCAGTCGTTCAGATGCGAATACAATATTATTAGCATTGCATTGAATGGCAAGTTTCATAACATCTTCATTGTCTTTCAGTCTTTCAGAAATTTGAAACATCTCACAACGTTTCTCACTGATTGCTTTCTTTGCTTTCTCAATATCATCAAGATCAAATACAAAATCGAGTCCATACTCGCTTTGATAAATATTTGCCAATTTTTCTTTCCAGTCTTTGAATTGTGTGAAAACCTCCACGGGAAGATATCCCAAGATGTCATATTCTCGCTGTTGTAATTGATACCAAATTTCTTCTTGGAATGGTTTCCAAAATTCCACAGAATGAATTTGTTCTTGAGTAGCGTTATACAACTTTGCAATGTCAATAAATTGCACCTGTGCAATGGCGAACAGCTTTTTCTGGTAAGTATAATAATCATTGAACCATCTTGTCCATTTAAACACACACTCGTGATCGTTTATGAATTCGATTTTTATCTTCTTGTCTGTTTTTGATTTGGCCAACCATTCCTCCCTTGTGAGTAACCACTTTGCGAATCCTTTGGATTGATTTTCAAATTTTCTTTTCAACAAGTCATAGAGATGGTTGATGTGAGGATTATATATTTGAGAATGTTGGTTCATCAACAATGAAGAAGAGACATGATGAAAATCAAGTAAAACAAGTTGCACTTGATCGGTGGTGGTGTTGGATAATTTCAAGTGTTTGTTTGTGGGCAAATAAATTGCAACGTGATGATCGTCATTCATTGGATGACCAGAAAGCTTTCGTTTCATTTTTTTAAAGTTGACACACCGTAAGTCGGTGTGGTTCATTCTGAACACTAGATGAAATCCTTACGAACATACCCAGAGCATCAAATCGAAGCAACACCTATTAACCTGCAAATAACAACAAGCAACTCAGTCTGTAACTTCCCGTAGATAAACCAAGATGGGTGGAAACATTTATCGCAACCTCTTGTGGATGTATTACACACGAAATAACATAGAACAAGAGTTCATAATGTGCCTGTTCTATGCGAAAATTTTCCCACGGTTATCTATGTACGTGCCTTGATGATGATTTGGATGAGGGTTGCTCTTTAGAGAGCTGTTTTAGTTGTGGATTTGTTGACATTTTTTGACTTTCAGTCAACCTTATTGTTTTCGTTACAAAACACTTCCGTTCTTTTCAGAACATTCAATGTTATGTAACTTCAAACAATACTTGATTAATACCAATGGGTTTGTCCAGAGAATAATTATTTCATCAAAGTGGTGGACATGTTTTTCTTGGCCTTCTGATATAAAGGAGAGCTGAGGAATCTGACTTCCATCGTCCTGCCACTTTCACTGCATCCATATTTCTCACCCTTCTTCACCATTTCGGTGGCTCCACCGATTCTTAAACTCGGTCCGGTAATTTTCGCCTCTGGTTTAACTTTCCTAATAGCAGACTGGATGATCGACTGAACCTTTTGTCTTGATAACAATTTGTTATCTCGATATGAAAATAGAGGAGAAGTGTTCTTCTTAAACTTTTTAACCATATTCATATCTGTGGAGGTTATCCCGAGATAAAAATTGTGGGTATCCCTGAAACCTTGAAGTTATCCGTCCCGCCAAATTCTAGATATCCAAGCCAACACTAGAGCATACCTGTCTAACCTCTCAAAACAACCGTTAAAAATTAAACAAAAAAAATTCCTCTCATCGTCAACGTTGTCCTGAACAAATCCAACACTATGAATTGATGACCTTCGCATTGTCAGTTGGATCAACATGCAATGAAGCAAAAACATACTTCATCAAAAAATCTTATTCTTCATTGATGATAGTTGTAAGCGTAGTCAGTGTAAATACCACTCTGCTATCCAACTAGACCACAGTACGTTGCTTCATCCAAACAATTGGCTTCGTACTTCAGAGCAACCAATAATCTTCCTGCCCTATACTTAGCTACTATTGGTCTTTCAACCTCTGGTGTTTGCTTTCGAGTAAAAGTTTTGTGCTGTTGTTGAGAGAAAACTTTCATTTTTTAGATTTTGCATGTTGAAAATAAAGACAACTTTGAAGAGACAGCCTGGCTTGACTACAGTCAATAATGTAACTCTACAACAGCCAAGCACAGACATTGGAGTGTATTGTCTGAATTCGAAATCATTTTGCAATAAAACTTTTTGGTCGACCAGTAATATCGCTGCATTCAATTTTGGTATAAAACGGAGAAGAGCTAAAATTTTCAACAGTTCTATCAAACAAACGTTTGAGCTTGCAACATCACACAGAAGACGTCCGATAGAATTGATACCTCTTTTATTGTTGTTTCATTCTTCATGGTTCTCTCACACTTTGGCCAAATATTTGGGATAACCACAATTTTTTTGAGGGATATTTTTCCAAGATATACTTGGTTAAAATGGCTACAGTGCAGAATTCAGGACTTTCCTAAATTGGTTCAACAATCATTGGTGTATCTCGTGCATTCTTGTCAGTTTTATGACCTGCAAGATTCACTTTAATTCGACCTTCGGTAATGAATGTGATATCGTCCCACTGAAGTTGGGATATTTCGCTTGGTCTACACAATCACAGGGAGAGCACAGGTCAAATAGTAATTAAACCCTTCGTTTGGAGCCTTCGGTTTAAATTGAGTAATGTAATTCTTGATGTAGTCAGCCATGAAAGGATCCCTTTGCAAAGGATTTCTGTCACAAAGGTTACATGATTTAAGGGCTCCTGTTTTGACTCGATAATAAAGTGGATCTTTCAATAATTGCCAATCTTCCAAATCTGCAAAGAATTTAAGGGAAGATTCAACCTTATCAATGAGATAACCTTTTCCTACATGAAGTAGATAAGCGATGAAATCTGTCATGGAATGTTCGTTGTAATCGGAATGAGTGCAAACCAACCATCCTCTTAAGATGGCATAAACTCGAGTTATTCTTGAAGAGTAGTGTCAGCCAATGTTACACTCAAACAAAGACCTTTAACATCTAATAAAGAGCACCGTCCAGATCCCACGCTGCAAAGACCCAATCTTTGTTGTTTGAGAGTTCTGATGAGTGCCAATTTCTGAGCATATTTTTGGTGTGAGAACGTCATTTCCGACACTGAACCAACATCAACCGATATCAATAATTTCACATCGATGAGTGTAATCATGAAAATTTGGGATACATTTCAGCAAGAGGTATGTTTCAGAATAAGAATGTGAATTTGGGAAATTATGAATTTTAACAGTTTTGGCATTTCTAAAAACTTGTGACTTTTTGTGAATGTAAGAATTTGAAGTGAAAATATGAGTGATTTCAACTGATATTGAAAACATATGCACCCAAATATTGTTTCCAGAAATTGTAACCTTTTTCTGCGTTCTTCCAATAGCTCTTGTTTTGTAAACCTTCAAAGCGAACGATTTTTTCTTTCATCAACCAAGATTCAGGAATGTGACATCCAAAATATTCATGTTCTAATCTCAGATTTTTCAAATCTTTACAAAACTTCATAACTTCATCCAATGAAATATCTGTTGGATCTTGATTGAAACATGCGTTGAAAATCTCATCCCAAAGGTCTCCCCATGATTTCACATGTTCAATTGCAATCTCAGAATACAAATTACGATCGTAATTTTCAGCTTCGGTATAATATAGGATTGAATTCAATCCCTTTTTGTGAGCTTTTACACAGTCCATAATAAATGTGGTATCTTGTTTCAATTCTGTTGAGGCAAAATGAAACACCATACTAGGGGGTACTTGGTTTCTTATTGCATCCAATAGAAAATCTCGATCGTTCCGAAAGTCTACAGAGAGATCATACCAATAGGTTGAATCCTTTTTAAGGGCAGCAATCACTTCTTGATCCTTTCTCGCAACAAATCCTTGTAGGACGTTCCTAATATCAATTTGAATCTCGTCATCGAGTGGGTCATGCAAAATTCTCAACAGTAACTCTTTGCTTTCACGACAGTGTTGTGGAATGTCATTAAACCAACAAGGGTATTCGCTTTTAAGAGCAGCCAAGATAATTTCTGTGTCATTTCGAAATTCCTCGGGTATTATAAAACTACCACACTCCTCCTTCTCATATAAGGCATGTCCATTTCTCCTCATAAAAGCCAATACTATTTCTCGATCGTTTCGATGTTCGGGAAAAATGTCCTTCGAACTTATTTCACTGAACACACATTTCAAAGCATTCAATACAAATTGTCTATCCTTTCTCAAATGCATTGGTCCATATTTCAAAATAAGAGGTAAATCTTCGCGCTTTCCAAAAGAAGATTCATCGTACTTCCAAGGTGGATCATAATTCTTGTAAATTCTGGTCAGTACTTGTTCAATAATTGTTGAATCATTATCGAGATCTTTTTTTGATAATGAAAATGCAAACTTCCCTTGATACTGGAGAGTGTGTTGATGATTATGGTGTGCTTGATAATATTCGTCTGGCAATTCAAGAAGCATTTGAAGCCTTGATTGTATCGTATTCTTGTAATCATCAATATTTGAATCATTGAGAAAAAATTGTTGAAAAATCTTCATCTTATCATCCATGGATAATTTGCTTATCCAAACCGATTGAGACAAGTAAACGTATGCTTTTGGAATACAAGCTTGGATTTGTATGTCTTGAATGTTTCCATCAACGATTGTAATAGTTGGCAATGTAATTCGTAGTATTTCGAGAGCAAATTCTTGGGTGTGCGCCCAAAATAGACAGGACCACGAGTCAGGAGTTGAAATAAAAACATCCAAACAGAATTTTCGATCGTTTTTCAGTCGTTCAGATGCGAATCGAATATTTTCATAATGGCATTGAATGGCATGTTTCATAAATTCTTCATTGTCTTTCAGTCTTTCAGAAATTTGAAACATCTCACAACGTTTCTCACTGATTGCTTTCTTTGCTTTCTCAATATCATCAAGATCAAACACAAAATCAAGTCCATATCTGTTTCGATAAATATTTGCCAATTTTTCTTTCCAGTCTTTGAATTGTGTGAAAACCTCCACTGGAAGATAATTCAACATGTCAAGTTGTGACAATTGTAATTGATACCAAATTTCTTCTTGAAATGGTTTCCAAAATTCCACAGAATGAACTTGCTCTTGATTAGCTTTATACAACTTTGCAATGTCAATAAATTGCACCTGTGCAATGGCGAACAGCTTTTTCTCGTAGTGGTTACTATTGAAACATCTTGCCCATTTAAGCACACACTCGTGATCGTTTATGAATTCGATGTTTATCTTCTTGTCTGTTTTTGATTTGGCCAACCATTCCTCCCTTGCGAGTAACCACTTTGCGAATCCTTTGGATTGATTTTCAAATTTTCTTTTCAACAAATCATAGAGATGGTTGAGGTGAGGATTATATATTTGAGAATGTTGATTCATCAACAATGAAGAAGAGACATGATGAAAATCAAGTAAAACAAGTTGCACTTGATCGGTGGTGGTGTTGGATAATTTCAAGTGTTTGTTTGTGGGCAAATAAATTGCAACGTGATGATCGTCATTCATTGAATGACCAGAAAGCTTTCGTTTCATTTTTTTAAAGTTGACACACTCGACGGTTGACATGTGTTTGGTGACATGGGATTGACAAGTAACGAGATGGAAGTCTCTTTGTGAGCGTTTTTCAGAGTCACAAGACATCTTTCGCCAAAACAACGTTATGAACAGATAACTATTTCTATTTATTGTTCAAACATTGTTCTTGGTTTTGATCTTGTTCACTGAAATTTTATGAAATTTTAGGCTTGTCCTGTGAACGTTTAAACTTGCATTGTTTATTTTGTTCATGATTAAACAACAAACAAAATTTCATAAAATTGAAGGGAAGATAGGTTTTGTTTGATACTGAGACCTCCATAAACTTGTAAAATCATCGAAATCAAGTGACCGTTGAAAGCTTCGGGAAAAAAAACAAATGCAATTTGCTCCCTCATTCATCACCTGGACGGAACGACCGGCTTTAGGCCTCTCGAAAACGCCCAAGTGTTTAGCCTTAATTCTTGTTTTTTTTGTCGTGCTACAAACCATGATATTCATCATGTCGTATCGATATAATACCTCTCGACGAAAAGGACAAATGAGTTCCTTGTATCCTCACGCTTTGGTTCCGTTGGATTGTACACATGAAGAGGAATTACGTGCCTCATTTCCGAAACCTCCGAGTAATAGACAAATACCAAAAATTATACATCAAACCTATAAGCCTTCCAATGAGAACGAGCTTCCCAAAGGAATGAGAGCTGCCATGGCTTCCTTTAAAAATTTAAACTGCAACTATTCGTATCGATATTATGGAGATGAAGAAGCGTTGCAAATGCTCATGGAACATTTCGGAAAAGACTCGGACGAAGTCTATGCGTTTCAACATTTAATTCCTGGCGCTTACAAAATTGATTTTTGGAGATATGCAGTGTTGTGGATTCATGGAGGATATTATGCCGATGCCGATATGGTATTAAGGGAGTCCTTAGATTCCTGGATTTCTCCCAACGCGACGTTTGTCCTTCCTGTGGAACTTGGACTTCCTTTTTTTGGATTCAATATTGCATTCATGGGAAGTGTACCTCGTCATCCTTTACTTCGCATTGCAATGGATATGGTCATTTACAATGTGAAAAACAAATATCTACCTCAAGTTCCAGGAGAGGAAGGAGACGAGGAACCTTCTTTTCGAGCAACGCTTGCAGTTACGGGTCCTATTCTCATGGGAAAAGCGTTTAATCGATATTTGAATGAGCCTGATGAAGCTCCTCATAATATTGCAAAAGCAGAATGTCTTCAAATTCAAATATTGGGATTTTGTAAATTACCCTATGGTCCTCCCTCTTCTTCAGAGTTTTTAACCACCATTCCCAATGTGGAGAACTTTGATATATGTGAGGGTCGTTCTGTGATTCGATTCAAATACCCTGGATATGATAGTGAGCAGAAGTATAGTGGAGAACCTCATTATGTGGTTCAGTATCATAGAAAGCAAATATTTCTTTAAAAAACATCTTGTATTCTAATACGAAGAATGCCATTCCACACACAGATTGGAATCACACCTAAGATTTTTCACAAATTGAAAACTAATTTATAAATAAGTTAACAATCTTGTACACTTAGAAAGAACTGTTCATGAAAGCAATACACATGACAAGGAATAAACCAAGGAACATTGAGAAGATTCCTGTTCGGTTCGAGTTTCCTTCACTAATTTGAGCACTTGTCTTGGGAGATGGTGATGAAATATTTCTTCCCACCACAGGTTGAACGACATAGGTCGGTTGTTCCAATGCTCCACTCAAATCCACACCAGGTACGAGATTCTCTCCATTATAGACTCCCACATCTTTCCAAGCCTTAATGTAGCACTTCAATAAATTCTTATATTCTCGACTACAGGCTTTTGTCAAGAGTGTCGAGTTGGAATCCACAGGATGGAGTTGATTGGAAATGGCATAACTCGTCGTCAATTCATCGAGACCATTGTTATAGGCACATGATAAGAAATCTTGTTGATAACCATTGCAAGGTGGCACACAAGTTCCATTAAAAGGTGAAGCACTCGTTGCTCCTCCACAACCACATTTGTAATCAGTTCCAGAGGGACAAGCCTGTGTGGTACTGCATGGCAAATTGATAGGACTTGCACATTTTCCAGCTTGACAATATCCAGAGAAACAATCTTGATGACTCTCACAATCGACTCCATCAAATTGAGAATATCTTCGAATGCACTTGTTCTTACTACATCTCATTTGAAGTACTGGTAATTTGTAACAATCGGAAGCAGACTCACAGAATTCTCCATACACGGATGGAACCTCACACGATTTATAGGTTGCACTCGAAGATGCCTTCTTGCACACCAAACCAGTTCCACACACAGTCGTTTCTGGAACAGCTGTACAATTCTGTCCCTTACTCAACATGGTTTGAGCCTTACACACGTCATTGTAACAACCAAAACCAGTGGCACATTCTTGACGTACATTATTGGCTGCCGTGGCACATGGTCCACCCTCCGTATTCTTGACAATTTTCAAACAGACATCAGCCACACACTCATATCCCGGTGTGGCACAATCGTACATGATATTCTGATCAAGATCGATGGCTCCACCTCGACATGGTTTACCTTCTTCCTTAATATTTGCCACGACGGTCATACTCACACATCGATGATTCACACAATTCGTTCCAGCAGTGATCGTACCATAACTACCCACACAATTCTCACGAACTGTGCAATACTCACCCAACATTCTTGTACGTCTGAAGGTACATCTCATGGTCGAAGTAGGACACGTGAGCCATGTTGGACCACACGTCGATGCTGTCTGAGTACCTGTACAAATCTTTCCCAAATTGGAGAGAATTTGAGAAGTGGTGAGACACGTACGATTACCACTACTCTGGTCAAAACCATTGGCAAATCCAACTGGACACACATAGGAAGATGCTTTCGAATTGATACTGTCTTGATAGGACATGGGTGGTTTTAGGAAATTAGAAGTACAAGATTGTGCCAAAATCATACGAGAGGACCATGACAAGACAGTCAAGCACCATACGAGTGTTACTACTAGTTGCAACACGTAGAGGGAGATGAATCTCATGATTTGAGTATACTACTATCGTGCTATGAGAGATGAAACGAGTTTGTTTTTTTTGATGTGTTTTGCAATGAAAAGATGCACTGAGGTGTGGTGTTTACAAGAACCATTTGATATCTCCAATGAGAAAACCAAAATCCCTTTCACTTTTTGTACCATACTCTCTTTAAAAGTGATTTTCATGCAACATTTTGATATCTCGTAAATACCTGTCAAATATGATGAATCATTGATGAGACCCGAAACATCGGTGCGCCATGTTTGGAAGGCTCCTATTAAAAGGGTGCACCAATATACCTGAGCGACATCTGTTGCCATAGTTGAGATTCAATTACCAACAACATGAATTTTTGTCATGATTGCGACTGATTGAAGAGATTTCCAAAGCATCTCGTTGACGAATAAATCAGGTCATCATGGATAAATGTATTCTTGTGTGTGGTGTTTGTATGAGGAGATGACAGGATGAGATGACAACATGATGTATGACGACACTCCAACAATATGAATCTACTCACATTACTGTTTATTCTTTTGCTTCTTTCTCAATTCTTTCTTGAATTTCATGAAAGAATCAGTTAAGGAATCACAAATGTCCTTCTCCAATTCATCGAATAAATGTTCATCCAATGTTGGACTGTCTGTAGAGAATTCATCAAGCTTATTCTTGATATTGTCTTGGAATTTCACAGAGCTTGGAAATGGATTTTCTCCATTAATGTCAATAAACTCTGTGAAAATCTTAAATGCCATTTCATACTTATTCTTTTCAATATCCTTAATTTGATCTCTATTCGATTCTTCATCACCAATATTTAATTTTGTACGTCTCAACTCGACAGACTTGTCACACATTTCACGATAAGTGTGACAATTCTCCAAGAAGGTATACTTGTCTAACTTGTTTTCCTTTTCACAAAATTCCTTAAATAATCGACTAGTCTTTTCATTACTTAAAGTTTCCAGAATCATGATGGAAGTTGCTTTCTTGAGCTTGCGAGAAGATGCCTGCTCGCTTGTAAGTGCCAATACAAAGATGGTAATGACAATAGGAATAGAAAGAGCAACTCCAGCTAATACCAGTACCATATTGACAGTACTGGCATATCTCAAATATTCTTGTTTTTGTTCACTGAGTTTCTTGATCTCGTTATCCACCAAGACGATAAAGTATGTGGTATATCCATCCCATACTTGGTAATTGAATGATTTCAAAATCTTATTTGCAGCGAGTAAATCACCCTGTCGAACTGATTCCATCGCTTGTTGATTGTACTTGATATATCCTGGGCTTTTGGGATCGAATTTGGTTTTTGACAATACATCCGCGGGTAAATTTTTAGACATTTCCAATAGAACACGAGAGGAATTTGCTTGTTTTTCCTCATACAAGGGTATGTAGGAGAGTGATCCTGTTGTGACTGCCAGTCGTACCATACAATTCATCTGATCATAGAGTTGTAAAAAACTTGCTCTCTGTAGAAGGAGAGAAATTTCCTTTTTCGCTTCGAGTTTGAATGAATTTCCAACCACAACTGCAACTGCTAGAAAACAGCAAATATTCACAATCATACCAAACAGTGACAAGAATCTAACAAGATTCAATTCAATCACTCCACAACAGGTTGGAATTCTAAACGTTGTTGAGGAATGAGTGGAACGAGTCGAGGTTTTTGAAGTGGTTTTGGTAAAGATGGTTGTGGTTGGAGCCAAGTGGCGTTGGGTCGTATTCGAAACAACAGGAATGGTCATGGCAGCACTAGTAGTACTCTTTAAAGATTTACTTCTTCTGTCCATCTCTTGTTCGTGTTGTTGCAGTGTTGAGAGTTGAAGTGGTTTCAATGATGTTCGTTTTGTGAAATGAACAATGATACTGTCATCATCACTGCAAGCATCGTCGTCGTCGTCGTAATCGTCATTGTGAGGTTCAACAGAGCCATGCACGTCCGTAACGTAAATTGGTTGAGAGTGTGGATGATGTCGCTGCGAAGAGGTGGTGGTCGTAGTAGTTGTTGTTGTAGATGTCACGGTGCTGTTGTTATGGATGCCATCGATGGGTGAGGGTGGCAGCACTTGTTTCATATTGTTTTGTTTTGTAAATGTAATAATTATTAGGAGGAAATCTCAAAAAGACATTTAAGCCCATGAAACGATTTGGAGTGTGTTTCGGCCTTGTGCACGATCTATGTGATGTCCAATGTCTCGTGTCAGCAGTTGTGCAGAAAAGTCAAGTGCCTACAGAATTAAGAACAAAATCCGAATTTTTTTTGACTTTAAAAATCTTCAGACCGAGATAAGAAAGTACTACTTGAACATCGAGAAAAACAAACTACGGTTGATGGAGTGTGATTGAGTGAGTCATAAGGAAAGTCTCATTATTGTTGTTGAATGGCTACATTTCATCTTCATGGATGAGATCTCATTGCCAACACAAGATGGCCCTTTTTTTTTGTTGTTGTTGTAATACCAGCATAAAGGAGGCGTTTGGAATGAGATTGAGTGTCGCACTATCACTATACCAATCTCACTTCATGGCAGAAAATTTGCATCTATTAGTAACTTTTTGAGAACACTTCTTCTTCTGTGCGATGATTTGCATCTTGTTGATTCGTTCTCGTAGATGAGAGTGTGGTTGTTGTTGTTACTGGCTCATTTTGAGTGTTCTCTTTTGTGTTATGATGACTTTCTTGTGTTTCCTCAATACTATTTAAATCCCAATAATGAGGTGGTGTGGGTGGAGCAGAAAGTAGTAAGGGAGGGGATGTATTGGATGTGAATGATGCTTGTTGTTGTGGTGGTTGCTTGGAAAGAGTTTTTGAAGAAGAGGTAGAACTTAAATCTGTCGTGGTGAGTGTTGTTGCATGGAGGGATGGGGATGGTTTGTGTGAATAATGATGATGGTGGTGATGTCCAACCGCTGAAGTATTCTTATGTCTGGCACATTCTCTAATGATTCTGTTTTTTCGCTTTTCATCATTTGGGAAAGCAGCATCATAGAATGCTCTACACTCTTCACAGTCATGTCCTGGCGTTGCATGTCTCTTTTTGTGTTTTGGAGATTTGAAATATTTTGAATATTCTTCTTCATCTTCACTATTAAGGTGTGAGGATGATGTGATGAGCGGCGAAGGTGATGGTGGTGGAGAAGATGTTTGTTGCTTTGGTGTTAAACAATTATTATTCTTTTCTCTGATGGTATTCATTGCTTCTGCTGGCTTGTTGGGTTGGACTCTTGTGGTGGTTAAATTAGTGTAATTTGGTGGTGAACAAGTGTTGGAGAAATTTGATCCAATGGTTGATATAGGATTCGTGGCATGAGTGTGACTTCTACTTGACAAAGGAGATGGTTCTTCTTGTTTCACTTTCTTATGGGAACCACTTCCAATTCCTAGGGACAAGTACAAAATGTCATCACCAAGAGATGATGAATCTTGATCCTCTCTCTCTAAATCTACGACCACTTGTCGATGTAAGGTGGGCGATTTTTCAATAATGACTTCTTCTTCTTTGATTTCATGCTGTTCTTCTGGTGGTTGTGTGGGCATTGGCAACACTAAATACTCTTCATCCTTGTACCGATTCTTCATGTGTAGTTTTTTTTGTTTTTCAATTTCTTCCTTCTTTTTCATTTGAATTGCATCCAATTTGGTTGTGTTTGTAGCGATGGATGTTGAGGTATGTTGTTTCTTTGAGGTTGTGCTCGTATCTTGTTGCACGTCATGATTAGAAGAAGTATCATTGCCATTATATTGAGATTGTAATAATATAGGTATTTGAATCTTCTTAGAAGGACTTTTAAATGCTTTAAGTTTCTTAGGGCCATGTTTTGCAAATAGAGGAAATTTTGTTTCATAAGAATCGCTTTGATCTTCGACATCAACAATTTCTTCAATAATCTTCTTTTTCTTTGAAGAAGACGCTGATGCCTCACTAATCCTAGATCTCTTTTCTAATACAGAATGTGTTGTTAAGGATGTTATGCGATTAGTAGTTGATTCCACAACATCATCATGAGTGCTACTTGTGAAACGTAAACTCGAATTCGCAATACTTATTGCTGGTAATGATGCATCATGGTGTGTATCTACTTTTCTTAATGTTTCATCATTTCTAGGATTGGAGGTTGTGGAAATCATTTTAGATGCACTGCTTGCAATGTTGGAAGTGGTTGTCATTGAGGTTTGAGGGGGTGGGTCAATTCGTAATGAGGTCATGGATACAGTAGCAGCTGCAGCAGCAGGATGAGTAATTGCTGACCTGTCTGTGTCAGTAATCGTGTTGGTGCCTTCAGTGATGTGGCCATTTAAATTACTACCAGTCCCATGCTGATGATTGATCGTAATCGTTGGAACATTGGATCCACGCTCAATAGTATTTTCGGCTCGCATGGCATTGGTTTTGCTGTTTTGAATCGAGTTCAATAAAAACGAAGAATTTTGAATATCCGTTATTCCATAATGTCGATTTGTGTTCATCATAGCTTGGCTTATCTTTTTGTGGTTTCCGTTTAACAACTTCATTACTGTATCCTCCAATTGAGAATCTTCTTCAATATTTTCCTCCTCATCAATATCTTCATCAATTTTCGTGGCATTGGTTTCAATATGTGCTGTATTGGCCTTTTTTAAAAGTTTGTTTTTCTTTCGTGCAAATTTGGAGATTTCTTCTTTCAGTTCCTTGACCTCGTCATGAAGTGATTTAATACTCTCCAAATCATTGGATACTTTCAAGAGATGATATTCATAGTCTTTCAAATGTGCTACTTGATTCAAATAGAGTTGGTTTTGAAGTTGATATAATTTTATGGATTCCACCATGAGTTGTTCCGAGGCTGAAAGAAGAGCCTTCTGTGATGATGATGACAATGCGTCCACTAAATAACCAGTATGTTGTTCTTCAAGTGTGTTGGAAGGAAGTTGTTTTGACAGAGGTTGTTGCTGCAGGTATGGCTGTGGATGTACATTTTGGAGAATTTGTTGTTGGTTGAAAGGATTTGGTTGGAAAAAGACTTGTTGTTGATGAGAACCCACAAAACCCGATGATGATGGGTAATTGGCAGGATTGAATGGATACATCAATGATTGTTGATGATAGGAGGGATTAAAGTTATTCAAAGGAAAGCCTTGCTGAAGGCTCGGATTCAAAGGATGATAGAATCCATGATTATTTAAAATTGGTTGATGATGAAGAGGATATGTTGTGGGTTGCTGTAGAGGGTTGCTGTTACGATAGGTACCGTTTAAATTGAGCTGTTGACAGGCTGATGGATCTTCTTGCTGAAATTGTTGCGGTGCTTGATTCGTTGGATCGTGAGGCGGTTCCATTCTTCTCTCGAGGACATGATCGTTTTTTTTTGTTGCTACTTCTTGCAGATAGAAGAACTTTCTATCAACATGTTTGGTATATGAAGAACAGAAGCCAGGAGCATAATAATCCATTCCTTTAACTCTCTCACTCCTTTCTTGTTTGTTATTATTCTTGAGCTGTACTATGATATATCAGATCATCTTTGAAAAAATATGAAAGCACTTTCCAAAGCCAAACTTCGTCATTCTCAAAAGCAACAACAAGATGGCAAAGCAGTGCCTCCAACTCCTCCCTCTCGGAAAACCAACCATTCACAATCATCGAATCATGACGACATTTCTCTCAATGATCATATTCCAATCAATCCTCATTCCTCCTCTTCTTCTACTTTACATCATCAGTTGGAATATGAAAGAAATTTACTTCTTCTCACTCTACTCAACATGAATTTAAATTTAATCATTCATACGAGTGGTAACCATACCAATGATGACACTTCATTATCACTTCATTCCTATTTACAATCTCTTCAATCCAATTCTGAAGATGTGAATTTAGTCAATTCTCTGAGTCGGATCAACAATGTACCATCTCTTGTACAACGTATTCTTACCAAACAATCCATTGATTTGAGTGAATTTGAATTGATTTTACCTGAAAATGATCATCCTATTCATACTGATCACTCTACTGAAAAGAGTAATACAAGTATCATCATGACAACAATGAATTTGACTCAACCCTTGCCAATGACATCATCATCACCAACATTTCCGACAACAATGACATTATCTCAAGAAGAAGAGGGTCTCAACTCGATCACTCCTCAGAGTCCAACAACCACAACAACAACACCACCAAAATCATCCTTACAACCTCCAATGATGAAAAATTTGAACACGACTCAACGATTGAAACCTCTTCCAAAACCAGCATTATTAGATACTTCAGAATTATTATATAAAACTGTGATTGGTGTGGTTGAACCTTCGAACAACAAATCATCCTTGTTACTTCAATCTTCAACTTGGAATAACATTTCCTACAATGATTTGAAATTAATTTCCTATGAACTTGTATTAATATTATCCAATTCATTGATTGAATATCATACCATTCATAATAATAGACAATATATTGATACTTTATTGAATGTAGTAAGAAAGTATTGTGGAATTTCTAAAATAGATCATTTTAACATGATTAAGAGAGTATTTTCTGGAATTTCTACTACCACTGGTCATAATCCTCTACTCTCAAATAATATTCTTTCATCATTTAATACCATTGATTGTGTTGAATATTATCAAGCATTAACCAAGTTAAAATCTTCACACACTGAATCCAATGTTGAACAAAAATCATCTCTCTATCTTTGGAAATTAATTGCTAATAATTTAAAAAATAGTGAAAATTTAAATGTATTGAAAATCTATGCTCTAGTATTTTTAAATGTATTATTATCATTGATATTTATCAAATTTCATCCATCTCATACAAATACTACTACTACTGCTACTAGTATTACTACTAGTACTAATACTAATACTACTACCACAACTTTACCTTTTCAAATTAAATTGAAAAATCAAATATATTCAGATTTCAATTCATTACAATCATGCCTTTGCAATGAATTTGAATTATTTATCAAGTGTGAAGAACATCCAATGGAGAATGCCATTCAAATCTATACAAGATTAAATTCAGATATTGTCATGCCATTAATTCCACAATTGAGTGAAAATTTAATCAATAATGGTCCACTTTCAATCATTTCTACCATGACTACTACTACTAGCACTACTTTAACTCTACCCTATCCATTTCCTCTCAATATCAAATTATATTCTCAACTCTCAGATACTCGAGTATTAAATATTTTAAAATTACTTAAAAATAATCAATTAGAAATTCCAGAATATTTTGAAGATATTATGAATGAGAGTAATGGTGTTGATTATAATGAATATTTTGAAAATGTTATTGAACATGATTCTGTTACCATGGCATTGAAACCTATTCGACAATCTTTGAATATTTCTGAAACAATGGATACCTTGTGTTTCATTGATTCCATATTTAGAATGGAACAAAATTGTAGTACAGATACTGATTTAATGTTACAATGTGATCAGTTATTGTTACTACTCTTTCAATATTATATCAAGAAGAGAAATATTATTTCTAATTATTCTAAATATAGTGAAGAAGAAAAAGTGTACTATGATACTATATTTGGAACGATGCGACAAGTCTTGGGTCATCAATTATTAGATTTTACTTCAAGTTATAGTATTGATCATGAAATATTTTCTTGTCATCTCAAATTATTTAGATATATTTGTTATATCATGATGAAGAATGATTCGACATTAACCAATCCATCCATGAATTTAATATTTGAAAATATTACCAAATCATCCATTCGAAAACAATATGAAAGAATTAAACAACAAGAATGTACACATGTGGCATGGAAGGGTCATGTCCATACTCTAGAAGTAACTATAGCTAGTAAGAATAGTGGTGTCATCCATTCTTCTAATAATAGTAATAATAGTAGTCCTACTAGTCCAACTAGTATCCATACTCCTCCTATTATAAATTCTCCTACTACTACTAGTATCCAATCACCTACTACTAGTAATAGTATTCATACTCCTACTAAAAATAATGATTTAAAAGACTTTTTCGCAACGGACATGGATCATGAACAAGACGATACAAAAGATACCACTCTCATCATTTGTAATGAATTTATTCAATTTGGAAAAGAATTACTCTCAGAATTAACATATCAACAATCTACATTGTTTGCATCACTCTCCAATTACTATGAAGGAGCATTTATTGAATCACTTTATATGACTTTTGCTTTTTATATGAAAGATTTACAATCCATTCTATCCAAGTATTTATTTCCAACAACAAGTACTAGCACTGGTACTATGAATACTGGTATGAATACTAATACTACAAATACTACCAGTAAGAATAGAGATAATGCTGAATTTTCTTCCAATCATAGTCATTTATTTAATATTTTTTCTGTTCTTCAATCTTTTTTAATATTATTTAATGAATGTATATTTGAGAGTAATGACGTGAATGAAGAAGAGAATGATATTCATGATATGAATACTACTACTACTACTACTTACAAACGTTCCTATCCTCATCGAATTCTAAAAATATTTGAACCTATCATGAATCTATTGAAACAACCCATGACTCTTTACATTAATCATATTCAAAGTCAATTCTTTAAATATTTAGAAAATGCAGTCAAGTTAGAGAAATGGCAACCTCTCAATGAAGATGTTCAATATTCATCATCCTATATTGATATCTTTACATTTATTCGACAAGGAGTGCCATCACTCTATTCGATTTGTTTACCCAATGTATTGGAATATTACAAACATTTTCATCAATGTTTGAGTGGATTAATGCAACGGTATTGTGTTCATATTATGAAAGATTTACCAAAACCAGAAGATTTTATACCAAAGAGATTATATCCATGGAGTGGAGGTCATGTTGTGGATGATACAATGACTCGTAGAGTGAATTCAAGTAGTACGACAACTACTAGTAGTAGTAGTCGAGTGAATCAAAAAACTGGAATGTTTAGAAAATTTTTAAAATCTGCGAATAGTGCTACTTCTAGTGCTACTTCTACTACTACCTCTAGTGCTACTTCTACTACTACTACTAATTCGACTCGAATGGACACAACGACTATTACTCTTGGATCTTCTTGTTTGGAAGCCATGAATGATCTCATTACAGATCCAAGAAATCAATCATTCTCAAATAATGATTCCAATATCATCACTTATGAATCGTTGTTTGTCAGATTGGCTAATCTTGTCAATACTCGTCGACAATACATCAAGACAGTGAAAGAATTAATTGAATATTCAGAACAGAGTCGATTATTATTTATTGGAAAATCAAATTCTACAATGGAATATAATCATCAATTACCATCCATCTATGCAAGTGTTGATTTTTATTCAAATTTAGAAGGAACTTCTGATTTGTTAAAAGATTTCATTTCTCAACTCACTGAATTAATTGGAGCTAGAAATATCTATTGTGAATTGTATAATAATTTATTTGGAGAATTATATTTACCTCAAGTGAAAGATTTTACCTTTGCACCTAAAATGATTCAAGAATATTTTGAACCATGTTTAGAATCATTATTAGATTTGTGTGATGATCCAGTGTGTGTCGAGTGGATTATTACATGCATGTTTAAACATTTAATAAGAGTCTTGTATTTGATTATTGTTGAAGGTTATTTATCACCCTATAATGAATTTCATTTGAAATGGAGATGTTTGGGTGGGAGTGGTGAAGGATCTAGTAGTAGTAGTAGTAATAATTCTAAAAATTCTAAAAAATTCTAAAACTGCCACTACCACTACTACCCTAGATGGTCAAATTTCAAAACTTCTCTTAAATGATTTGATTCAAATTGAAAAATTCTTTTATAGTGAAGGTGAAGGAATATCCGATTGGAATTTCATAACCTCGACCACGAGTCATTTGAAGAACATTATTGCCAATGTGATGGATAAATCCAGTGAACAATTGATTCATGGAAGTATGAATAATCCATCCTTTGATGCAGCACCAACAAATGCGACTACTTGTACAACTGGTCATCATCATGTCTTTACCAAACAAATCTATTACAAGGTGTTGTATCATCGAAATGATCCCATTGCCAAGAAATTTATTAAGAATCATAAATATAGATATGATTGAATGTGTGTGTTATAAATCTCATTTTGTGTGGTGTGTTCAAATGTTGATTCACAACATGTCTAGCACTAAAAACGATTCGAATACATCTACTACTCACTTTGTGCCTTCTTCTTCTTGGTATATCCAAGTACCTCATACTTGAGAAATGAAAGTAATTGTTGTTTCTTTTCCAAACATTCCTTTCTATTGCTATGAATTCCCATTAATAACTTGACAAAATCTGCATGATTGAAATTTTCAAAGTGTTTGACATGAAATAATTGTGGTGATGGTATCTTTGTGTTACAATGCTCACATGAGGAGGTCTTGGTAACCATTGAAATAAATTCATTTCCATATTCTGGATAGACAGTCGTGTCTTGTCCTCCATTGACAATATGAAATTGAATGTTAGGATTATGTTCATAAAGTGTATGCAATAGAGAATGATGTGAACACTTGGTGGTGATGTTTGTTGGATGACCAGTTTTGGAAATTTCAGCAGTACTACTACTACTAGTAGCAACAGTATCATGACCACTCTCTTCTGATATTGTCAGATTCAGTTCATTCTTACTTTCCAATGTTTGGGATTGTAACATGTGATAAGGTGAGAATTGTTTCAAATCTCCTCTCATGACTCGATACAATCCACTCAAATTCTCAACACCTCTCTCAACTTCTCTTTGATATTGTTTTTCTAAATCATACACACATGCTAATAGAATGACTCGATTCACTAATTGAGCTAATTTTGGTTTTTTAACAAGATTAGTGATGGAAAGATGTGCACCTGAGGAATGTCCACAAATCGATAAATCAATGATGGGAATTGAGGTGTTAGAAGATTGATGAGAGTGTCTATGATGATTAGAATGTTGATGATGAGAGTCTTGATGATTAGAATGTTGATGATTAGAATGTTGATGATTAGAATGTTGATGATAATGATGAATAAATTCCTTATGAATCCATTCAATACATGTTTCAACATCTTGTAATTGATCTTCAATATAATAATAATTTTCATTGAATCTATTCAATTGATAATGATCACTTGTAGAATCCATTTGGTTGGTAGTATTATTATTACTGGTAGTACTATTACCATTATTACTGGTAGTATTATTCTTATGATTATTACTGGTAGTATTATTCTTATGATTATTCTTATTATTCATATCACTATTACTTGTTGAAATCTTCCTTTTTGAATATTTTCGATAATTACAAATGACAATCACATGATCTTGTAAATAATTTCTCAATGTACACCCAAGATTATGATACAGTAATTTATCACCACTATTCCATGCACCACCATGAATAAATAATAGAACTTTGAGACAAGAAGTATTGTTGGATTTCTGAAGAGATGTTGTTCTAATATTATTCCGAAGAGTATTGAAATGATCATCATCATCATGCGAATCATGATTCCCAACCACATTCCCATCATGATAATAAATATTCACATCATTTCGTTCATGTTCACCATAATGAATATTTCTCAAATAATAAGGTTTAAAATATTGTACAATATAATAATGAAAGATCATACTCAAATACCATGGAAGGAGAAGAGTGTATTCAAGTGCAGTACTCAACACGACATTAAGAGTTTTGAATAATTTCATTTTTTATTCAATCTTTCCAATCAACCTCTTTTCAAAACTATTTCGCAAAGACCTCCCAACCAACTTGGAATTATTCACCCAATAAAAAAAATGCAACACGCACCATCCAATCTTCGAAATCGAGGGAAAGTGTTGACTGACAGGTCTTCCTCCTCCGAAGATGATCATCCACACACTCATCACGACCACCAACACACTCATCATCACATGGAGGATCAATCACGAGCCTATTCTTCTTCCATGAATCAACATGAATCTCCTCCTAATTTATTAATATCTTGTTGTACCAATACTACTTACATGATTCTAGTGTTGTGTTTATTATTTGGTCTCTTTATTATTAATGAAAATCTTTCATTATTTAAATACATGAAAGAAGAGAGAATGATTGATTTTGAAAGACAATTTATGGAATCCACAACAACACCACCATCCACATCACTGAATTCAACTCTTAAATATCATTTATTATTTGTTCATGGTGCTTTTGGATCCAAAGAAGAATTTACAAGTCGATATTTTCCATTCTTTATGAATTTACAAAATTCTAAAATTTCAAGTATTGGTGCATTCTCATGGACAGGTCATGGAAAGTCTCATCACTCCAATTATATTAAATATTTAAGAATGATGGATTATGTGAATGATTTGGAATATGTGATTGAAAAGTATTATAAAAAGAGTGATTTCAAAGATCATGATCGTCAATTAATGAGTGATTTCAAAGATGATCATGACCACAAATTAATTCTAGTGTGTCATTCTCTTGGAGGTTTAATTTGTCAAAAATATTTAGATTCTCTTTCAAGAATTCCATTGAAACATTCCAATGATAATAATAGAATCATTCCTTTGGCTAGTATGATATTATTAACAAGTGCTCCACCAGTCTCTAGATTTGATAACATTCTATCCAATATTCGTTTTGATCCATTGAATATATTATTGACTAATTTATGGACATTTACTATTGATGCAATTGCAATGTCATCGATTCATCATACCAAACATTATTTTTATCATGAAAAGACTTCGATTGAATATATCAACAAGATTCATCAACATGATTCAAAATTACAAAGTGAAGGATTAATTTTTTATTTAGATAGTTTGACATGTACATTGAACGCTCAGAGTATGATTGAAATGTTTCAACTCAACAAGGATGAACCATTATTGTTTTCACATCCATTTCATATTAGAGTGCTGTCGATTGAAAAGGATTCTTTTTTCACGACCAAACAGCATGAAAAAACAATCGAA